TTGGGGTAGATTTTCTATGTCGGGGTTATAGGATTCAAAAATTGACAAAAATTATATTATACCTTCAAAGTTCAATGGGAGTGACCCTGCATTTTCTAAAAAACCATTTGGATTGACAAGGACTCCTAACCAATTGGCGACACTAGCATTTGAAACTACGTACACAATCGATCCCAAACAACAAATCATATAAAAATGCTAGGAATCCACTGATATAAAGTTATCCAAAATGAAACTATTTGGTATCACAATATAATCACAAATTTACTTTATTTATAAATATCCAATTTTATTAAAAATTTTGCTTAAGTGGAGTGTTTCAACCGCTTAAAATATAATCATTAATTTTTAAGTCTCTATATGTAAACTGTTACGAAAAAGTATGAAAAATGTTTTATTAATTGTTGGGGTAAATAAATAAATAAATAAAACAGACTTACACCACAACTTGGTCCAGTGAAATGAATTGAATCACCACCTAATTTAAACATCAGTTTTATTATTTTGAGTTATAGTTATATTGGAGGTGAAGATTAATCCTGTGTCATGAGAAATGAAAGATCCATGGTCAGGTAGTAATAATATGATTATTTAATAATTATTTATAGACATCCTTTCACTATTATTATTACTAGTAACAGTTTTATAGTAGTAATAATAGTAGAAATATTGTATAATTTACGCATAAATTAATAGATAGTAGTTTTTAATTATTATTTTAAACAAGTTAGGGTAAAAACGGTTGTGCGTTGGTTTTTTATAATGTACATATAAAAAAGTATAAAACATTAGAACTTGTAAAAATAATTTTAACTTGTTTTGCAATGGAATGATGTACAACAATTACTATTTCAAGTGCAATACGATGTGAAATCAACCAATAGTTCATTCAATGTGATTGTAATTTCAAAATATACTATTTAAAAAATTCGAGCAACAATTAATAGTACTTGACAAATTAAATTTATGGAAACATAGCTTAAGGAATAAATTGTCTTGTATTAAATTCTAACAAATTAATCAAGCGGGGCCTTGTAGTATTTATTAGGAGAACAATAAATATTAAATTTAAATGATAAATTATAATTTTATGGTTAAAGAAGTTCAAATTACTATTTTTCATTTTAAAATTATATATTCCTTTTTAGAAAATTAATACGTATTGCATTTTAGTCTATTTTATTACAAGTGAACATCTTAAGAACTTTTTTTTCTTTATATAACTCATAGGAATATCAGTTACTAATTATGAATTTCAATTATTGACTTCAAAAATTTATAAATTGAAATGAAGATGTAAAATTGATATTATAAATATCAAAAATAGTATATTACTTGTTAAAATTATAAAATCAATAATATGATGTTTAAGATAACTGTCGATAATTTTAAATGTCCTATAAAGAGAATAAAAGTATTCTTAAAAAGTTCGTTCACAGTTATTTACCATCAGGGATATATTCATTCACAATCAAATGAATTAAAAATATAGTACATGTTAATATTTCAGAGAAAGAAAATGTAATTTTAAAATAAAAAAATAGGACAATGCAATGTAATTTTTTTCTTTAAAAAAATAATTAATCAACTCAAATGTAACCATTATACAAAGAATGCTATCAAACCAATATCCTATTAAGAATATATATATATATATATTTTTTTTTTTTCTTATTTATTACTATATATATGTATAATAATATGTATAAATTTTATAATTATTAATATTTAAAAAATTTAAAATTACTTATATTACACATACTTATTATTACATATACTTACACTAAAATTTAAATGTATTAAAATTTAAAATTAAATATATATAAAAAAATTATATATAAATTTGACATTATATATTTATTATTTTATGTATTTATAATAAAATTTATAATTATTATGATTTAAAATGTTTAAAGTCACTTCTATATATTCCACATCTATTTTTAAAGTTTAGAATGTTTAAAGCTAATTATAATGTCAGTGATACAAACATTACTTTAACATAAAATATAAATAAATTTATTATAAATTATGTTAAATTAAAATTTATTATAATTAATTATAACATTTTATATAACTTAAATTATAATTATTATTAATTTATAATTTTTATTTTTAAATTATATTTAAAAAATTATTAAAATCAATAGTTATATAATGTTATAAATAACAATAATAAAATTATTATGAGTAGTATTTAAAAATTTATTAAAAATTATTATATATAAAAAAAAAATTCATTGTTAAGTGTTAAAATAGAAAAATAATATTTATTAAATTATATAAAAATATCTTTACGAAAATCTAATAAAATTATCGAGTTATCTTTTAATTAAAAATAAAATTATAAATTTATTTTAAGTTATATTTAAATTTAAATGTTATTGATTTAAATTATTTTATCAATTAATTTAATATATTTTATATTTAAATATGTATTTTAAATATTAAATAATATTTTAAATAAAAAATATATTTATAAGATTATTATTTTATTTTATATATTATTAAATTAAATTTATCAAATAATTAAATTATAATACAAGTAAAAAAATAATTTTTATTATATTTATATATTTTTTTCTGACATTTCATATATCATTAAATAGAATTTTAACTTTACTTATTTTTAGTTTAATCTATATATTTTATTTTATTTAATATTTTAAATTTATTTATTAAATTTTTATATATATTAATATTTATTATTTTAATATTTTAAAAAAATTATTATATCATTAAATTATTTTATAGTTAAATTAATTTTTATTGATTCTTAATTAAAATAATAAATAATTAAAAATTATATTAATTATTTTAAAAATTGAAAATATATGCATAAAAAATAAAAAAAATTATTATTTTAATTTATGACTCGTATAACATAATTTTATTATATTTAATTAATTTATCAAGTAATATATAATAATTTAATATTTTAAAAGAAACTTAATTATATATATTTTTTATTTATTTTTTTGATCAACAGCTAAACTTATAAATTAATAATAGATATTGTATTATTATTAATTTTTGTTTATAATATATTAGTATGGTAATTTATTTATATAATAATAAAATTTAATATATTTTTATTTTTAAATATTAACATTTCATTTTGTATATATTTATATTGAAATAATAATTTTTAAATATCACACATTAGTTAAATAAATACACTTCAATTTTATTTTCAACTGTATTTTTTTATTTAAATTTTTATTGTTATGAATCAGATGAATTACTTTTTTAAAAAAATATTATACTGCCTTTTAATGATTTTTTAGTAAAAATTTTATTAAAATTTAAAATTATAATTATAAATAAATAATATATTATATGAATTTAGTTCAACAAATATATACAAATGTATAAGTCATAAATTATAAAATATTTTATTTAAATTTTATAATTCATAATAAAAAAATTTGTTATATTTAATAAATTATTGTTATAACTATTTTTTTTAATTTTATAATGACAAATACATTATAAGATTATGAAATAATATATTTTATTTTTAAATTTTTGAAATAAGAAATTTTATGTTATTTAGAATTAATTTATTATATTTATCATAAATATTTTTTTAGTCTATCAAACATTATAAATTAATTTAAATAAATTTAAAAAAAGATTAAATTATACGAATTTTATTGTCAGTGTATTGTTCTAACATGTATGGTATTTTTTAAATAAATTTATATTCATAAAAATAAAAAAATAATACATTTTAATTTGCATGTGATACCTTATATTTTTTAATGTATTTATATTTAAATTATTATTTTTTTAAAATAAAATTGACAAGAATAAAAAAATATTTTTTAATTTATACTTAATTTTTTAAATTATTTTATTCTCCATAATATACTTTTTAAATAATAAATAAAATATTTGTTAATGTCAAGTTAAAAGTTTACTTACTTATTTATTTATTTTAAGATGCATTATATTATTAATTTTATCATTATTTTAATATCTTACTTTAAAATTTAAAATATTATTTTAATTTTATTATTATTAAATTAATAAATAATTGTTTAAATTTATTTTATATGTTAATTTAATTATTTATTTTAAATAAAAAAACTCATGCAATGTACAAATATATTTAATATTATTATTAAAAAATTAAAATACACTATAATTATGCAAATATATTTAACATGTTACAATATTTAGATTTACAGAAAATAGAATTTAATATGTTTAAAAAAGAGATTGAACATATTTATTATACAAAAATGAGATTATTTAGAAAGAAAAATGAAATATAAAGTTGTAGGAAGAGAGAGTGTGCGTTAATGGGTGAATGTGAAAAAAGAGAGGGATTGGTTGGTAGGAATGGGGAAGAAGAGTTACGGAATTGAATTTGATCTGAGGAAAGGAGGTGGGTGCATGTAAGACAAGTGTGTCAAACCCCAAACCCCATTTAAATTACATTCCTTAAAAAAGGCAAGAACAAGGAGAAGGGCACTTTGGTAATTGACTACCAATCCCACAAACCAAACCTATCAAACAAATCCTTCAATTTTCCGCCAGCCCCAGCCCGGATCTTTCGCGGACGTGTTTCAGACAAATTTTCTTCCTCGCAGAGCCAAAAGTCACTTCTCGCCATTATTTTATTTATTATTTTCTCTCATTATAACATAAACCCTCTGCTTTTACGCTGAAACTCTTGTTACTATTATATAACTCTCTGTCAAGACCAACTATTCTAACCCAAAGCTTAACTTGCATGCACTCTTCCCTTCTTCTTCCTCCTCTTCTTCTTCTTCTTCCCTTAATTAAACAACATCACGACACCCGCATGGGGAAGTAGAGCTGTAGGCCCAAAGAGTAACGTCACGCCAGATAAAGAGGTTATTTCAGTTTTGGGCCTTTTTTCTGCACACCGAAGCCTCTTTTGTTCTTTTCTTGATTTTATTTATTACTGCTTTTTCAGAAACGCTGAGCTCAGACCTTCATTTTGCACTTAGCAACATTCATCAAAATCAATGGCTCCTGCCACTAACTGGCTGTCGTTTTCGCTCTCTCCCATGGAAATGCTCAGAAACCCCGAACCACAGTTTGTTCAATACGACGCCGCCGCTTCCGCTTCTTCCTCCTCTCATAACTATTTTCTCGATAATTTGTACTCCAATGGTGAGTGTAATGCACTATAATCACTGGTGCACACGTGGAAAGTCGCTGAAATGTTTCTTTTTGTTGTTGTAGGGTGGGGGAACCCCAAGTCTCAGGTTCTGCTGGAGCAGAATCTAAACCATAGCAACGTGAGTTTCATGGAATCGGCGCAGACTCAGAGTGTTAGCCACGCGCCTCCGCCGAAGCTGGAGGACTTTCTCGGGGACTCTTCCGCCGTGATGCGATACTCCGATAGTCAGACGGAGACGCAAGACTCGTCGTTGACTCACATGTACGACCACCATGGCTCTGCTTACTTCGGTGACCAGCAGGATCTTAAGGCCATTGCTGGATTTCAAGCTTTTTCGACTAACTCTGGTTCAGAGGTTGATGACTCTGCCTCCATCGGAAAGGCGCATCCCAACGAGTTCGGGACTCACTCTATTGAGTCCTCCGGGAACGAGTTCGCCGCGTTCTCCGGTCCCACCACCGGAGCCTTGTCTCTCGGGGTTGCGCAGAGCTCTGAGAAGGCCGTGGTTGCGGCAGATTCCGATAGCTCGAAGAAGATAGTTGATACCTTTGGCCAGCGGACTTCAATTTACAGAGGCGTTACTAGGTATTATTTTTCTTTTTATTTTTCATTTGATTTTTCTATTAATCACTGTTTTTGGTTTTTGTTTTGTCTATTGTGATTGTGCTAAAGAAATGAAAGCTTTCTCTTTTTGGACCCCCAAAGGATCTTTTGGCACGTTGGAAGTCGAAAAAAGTAGATATAGCTAGCCCCTGCAGTTCAGTTGTCACTTGTGAAAGAAAATATTGGGATAGTGATTTTAGTTATTGACTATAGTGTGAGAACGAGGTCAAGGTCAGCAATTTGGCCTCTTCTCACACATCTATTTCATGTTAGATTTTGATTTTATTTTATTTTGTTTTTTGGGGGCCTCTGTGCAGGCACCGATGGACAGGTAGATATGAAGCGCATCTATGGGACAACAGCTGTAGAAGAGAGGGTCAAGCCAGGAAAGGGCGTCAAGGTCTATCTCTCTCTCTCTCTCTCTCTCTCTCTCTCTCTCTCTAATAACCCTTTTTTTTTAAGGAAACAAAAATGAAAAATGAGAATAATTGGAAAGCAAAGAAAGGAAGAATAGGCTATGATCCTATCTACGAGACTGAAAAGTGGCTTGCATGCATTGAAGATGCATTTAATGGTTGGTGGAGTGTGGGAGGACACCTGGGTTTCTTTCTAAACAGTCTTTTTTATGATTGACTGATGGTGGTACATACATATACTACGAATACTGCTCCTTCTGCCAGTACTTCACTGTTGTGTGTGCATTTTTCTTTCAATTGATTTGATCCGATGTGCCGCCATTTTGCACCATGTGAGTCGGGTGCCTTTGCTTTCTTGTCTGCTTGCTTCAGACACATTATCAGGCCACTAATCTCTCTCTCATTTCTCTCTGTAAACTGCAATCCTATTCCTCCCTCTGTGGCTGTTCCGTACTCCTTTGGTGTTGACGCCAACCCCTGTCTAGTTTCTTATCTATCTGTCCTTCGACATCCTCATTAGTCAGAAGTCATAACTCATACTGTTGTGTTCTAGGCCTTTTTCTTTTCTTTTGCTTTTGCTTTCCCACTTGCCAGGAAAGATGCGTTTGACCACATCACCCATCACTCCCATATTAAAATTTGTACTTGCTTCATTGAGGTGGTGGAGCGTCCACTGTTGCCTGATAGGTTTTTTTCAGTGGGTCTGGCCCTCTCTCTGAATAATGTCCTCTTCGTTCTGAAACAAGCTCACGGGATTTGTTTTAGATCTTATGATACAGACAAACAAATAATATATAAATATTGTAATCAGTCACCTTATTGGAAGAGAGAACAGAAAGAAACGGCATATGAGCGTTGTGTCTATAATTTATCCAATGAGAAACAGGCAATTCGGTATTTCTTTTTTCCGCATGTTTTTTAGATGCCGGGATATGTCTTTGACTATGAGCTACCTACTGGGATTACTGCGAATTTATCAAAAGGAAAAGAACAATTGAAAACTACTTTACAAACTGATGCAATCAATTTTTATCTTCAAATTAATGTTGTTAATAGTTGGAACTTTTTGGTACAATTAAAATTCGACGAGTCGTTGTTCTATAAAAAGAGGATGGTATTGAAGGATCTCATCCAATGTATAGTTGTTTTCTATCCTACGTAGCAGCCATAAAGGGTGTGAGAGAGAAAAAACAAAAGAAAGAAAAAGGTTGCTTGTGCGCATGCACTGTGTCAATTGGCAAGCATAGGATCACTTTTCTTTCGGTCAATTACACTTGTAGGTTAGAAAAGTAATTTTTGGCAGATAATTTTGACTATTTCGTAAGCTGATATTTGATATGACTTTTTCTTTGCATGGAACGTGACTTCGGTGCATTTCTGGTCATCCATTCATCTCTTCTACAGTTTATTTGGGTAAGCAGTATTTTTATTCAGATTTTGTTCTAGAACGTTTCTCAGCCAATCTTGTGCAATATTTTATGTTGTTTGAGACATGGTTTTTAACGTAGTAATTTGTCATGGTTATCAGGAGGATATGATAAGGAAGAGAAGGCAGCGAGAGCTTATGATTTGGCAGCTCTAAAGTACTGGGGTCCCACCGCTACCACCAACTTCCCTGTAATAGTCACTTCTTGTATCGTTTTCAGTTTTGAACAATATTATATGCCTGTTTGCATGAAATCCCTCGTTCATACCGGGGCTGATAACCTTGAAGTGGGACTGAAGAAGGAAAGATTAGTGAGATAGAAATATGCATTACTTGGTACTCAAAAGGTTGAGGCTAAGGTGCCAAGAAAGGGTATATACGATCTTCAGACCAACGTGGCAAGAATGAAAAGGGAAAAGGGCGGGGGAATGAATATATGATTAAGTGAACGCACAAACAGCTTCTAAAGATGCTTGATTTGTCAAATAGCTTCGTGGGTGTATAGTACATTTATAATACTAACCGAGATTGTTAGTGGATCAGTATTGGACCTAGCATCACTCATCTTATTGTTATCCTGATTTTTCAGGTTTCCAATTATACAAAGGAGTTGGAGGAGATGAAACATGTAACAAAGCAAGAATTCATTGCATCACTGCGAAGGTTTGCCTGAGGGAGCTTGATGGAATTTTAACACTGCACTTCTATGTGACTACTCGTAATTAGATTTCTTTTCTTGTAGGAAAAGTAGCGGTTTTTCCAGGGGAGCTTCCATTTACAGAGGTGTTACAAGGTATGGAATTAGATATTATTTAACACGTTGATGCACTGATGCAGGCGTCGAGTCCTATGTTTTATACTTTTAAATTGTATCCTGCAGGCACCATCAACAGGGTAGATGGCAAGCAAGAATTGGCCGGGTTGCTGGAAACAAAGATCTGTACTTGGGAACATTCGGTATATATATATATATATATATATTTCTTCCATATTTCCTATGTTATTAAAAATTATCATAATAGATAAATCTTAGCCCATGAAATAACAAACGTAAGGAGTGGTAATTAATTATAAGCCCATGCTGACTTCATTATAGTTTTGCCAGTTTGACCAAGAAGTTAAAACAGTTCTTTGTTAAATATTGAGTAGAATACTGTATGTATAATCTAATCCAGCTCAATTCACATGGTAACAGCTTCTGATGAGCAAGCAGAAGACGGCATACGATATTGCAGCTATAAAGTTTAGAGGTGCAAACGCCGTAACCAATTTTGAGATGAGTAGATATGATGTGGAAGCAATAATGAAGAGTTCTCTCCCAGTTGGTGGGGCAGCAAAACGCTTGAAACTTTCCTTAGAATCAGAGCAGAAAGCTCCACTGAGCAACAGTCAACAAAACCCTCACTGTGCAAACATGAGTGGCAGCATCAATTTCTCAGCCATTCAGCCAGTTACTACTATCCCTTGTGGAATTCCCTTTGATTCCACAACCGCGTATTATCATCACAATCTCTTCCAACATTTTCATCCCACCAATGCTGGCACGGCAGAGTCTGTAGTTACTCCAACCAATGGAACTGGACTCACTGCTCTGCCACCGCCACCAGCAGCAGCTGAGTTCTTTATTTGGCCTCATCATCAGTCTTATTGATTTAATCAACTAAGTTATCTTTCGCTAATTTCTTGGCTAAGCTAACAAATCAAAAGCTATAGTCCTTGGCTGACCCGCTTCCCACCCTCTTCTATTAACCCTTTAGCTGTTAAGAAAGATATGAGGTTTTTGCGTTCGCTAGTCAATAGTTACAGTAGGAAGCTGGATATGTAACTAACTTCTCAAGAAATCAGAAATGTTTCATGCATTATAATTTTGCACAAGAATTTCCTTATGTGCTTCTTAACTTGTAGTGGTAGTATGATCATCTTTGTTTGATTATTGATTTGGCTTAGTGTTTTAAATTACTGTTTTATGACATTATTCTCGTGAAATATGGAACTGGACATGCATTAGTTCCCTTCCGCAATAACACATGATTACTCACTGCTCTATAGCTTTTTCATGATATAATTCACCTGAAACAAATTGTATGAAACTATGTCATTGCCTGTTGGGTAAGTTTTTTAAAATTTTTAAGAAAATATTTTAACGAATTGCATTTTGAAGTAAATGTGTATAGTTTCTATATTTTTTATAATATTCTTTATTTTCTTTAGAGCTCTATGCTGTCTTTCTAAACACAACAATTTATCTTAAGAAGACCTCAATTTATCTTAATTAAAATTTATCTTATGTATTGTATTCTATTGCTTTTACATGTTTAATTTTCCTTTATTGAAGTTAAAATAAAATAAAAACTTATGTTATATTAACATTGTTTTTGTGCAGTACCTACTATATATATATATATACATACATATAAAAGTCCAATGCACAATTGTGATCAAATAATATATTTGGCTTTATGAAATACTAAGATTAAAATTAATGGTTACATGTCTACTTTAAAATGTCATAATCATTCAAATAAAAGATCAAACAATTTATGTGTGTGAAAAACAAGTTGAATTATGAATAATTGTGGAAAAATTGTTCACTTAAGATTTTTTATAAATATTAAATTTCATTAACTCTACTGTCAGATTACTGGTTCTATATAAATTACATTTAGTTTACAAAAAATATACAATAAAGAATTACTTAAAACCTTGAAGAAATTTATTTTAATGTGTACATATTTTTTAAAATATAAATAATTATTATTTTAGTTATGTACATGTGTGTGTTTATCTAAATTTTGACATATATGCTCAATATATTAATATTATATTATTTAATGATTAAATTATTTAAACTTGTATATAATTATCAAGTGAAGTAATTTTGATAAGAATTGCTTTTAAATAACTTAATCATCATCTTATATTTATAATAGTTCATATTTAATATTCTTATTTTCACAATAATCAAGTATTTTCTCTTCTGGTATTCTTTCTTTCACAAATGCAAGAGTATATACTTGACGTAAAAAACAACCAAATCCTTTGAAATGTATTTGAATAAGTGCTGTCATATTTCTTTTGCTAACATTAAATAAAATGTGTATATACTTTTATCTTAAAAATATGAAATATATTTAATATTTTTAATTAATAATTAAAATTTTTTGTAGACATAAAAGGTTAAAAAAATATCATTGTTTCAATCAATTTACTTTTAACAAACTTATATTAATAATTGATTAAATTACTTTATTTTTCCCCCCCTAAAACATTACCTGAGAGTATGTACAGCAGTGGTACCCTATTCTGGCTTTTTTATTGGGCCACAGGCTTTTGCAACTGTTTTTGGACAAATATTTTAAGATAAAATCGTAAAACTGTGATTATTGAGCATTGCAGTAATGGCCCACTAGAATCCGACCCTCATTTTCCAACTTTGTCAGTCTCACAGGCTCACACAGTCCATAAAAATATATACTTAGGTTCCACATAAAAAAGCACAGAAACCGTTATTTTATGGGCCATGGGCCCAAGTATTTCTAATCCTTTACTCAAACTTTGTTGCACAGAATATGATGGTTGGACAGAGTTGGGAGTAAGACGGCATATTCAAATGTGTATTAATTTACAATGACGTTTCATATTAAAAAAGAACTGCTCTAAACATGGTTCTTGGACATGATTTTTTCCATAGAGCCCAAAAGAAAAACCAAAAGGACATGATTTTTTCCAGTTACATTTACGCTATAAAGCTTTCTAAATGTACATTGTTGCAAGTTATGAAATGTCACTTTTTTTTTCAATCACCTTAGGTAGCTCCGAATCACAGGGAAATGTAATTATGTAAACGAGGCAGTTTTGATGGAGAGTATTTACGGAAGGATATGAGCATGTCTAAATGGCACAGCAGAGTAAAAAGTAAGGTACAAACACCCTGGTGCATCATTTTCAACATTACATTGTTGCTTGAGAAACAGTTGTTCTCAAGTGTTATCCCAAAACAAAAACTATGATTTACTTCTCGAGTGATGCTCCCTACAAATACATTCTAAATTCCAAGCCCACTAAACTTGTGATTTTGGATTCGGCCACACACAGTGCTACAAATATTTATACCAACCTTCACAAATATACATAAGAAATCCCACTAATGAAGGAAGGATCATTCCATGATTAGTTGCCTGTGGCGATTTAGGTCCGTCAAGTAATTAGAGCATGTATAATCTTCTAAGTCACATGCCTCTAACAAGAGTGATTTTTGTGAAACTGAATTTTGCAACGGTTGTATAGCTGTCTCTTCACCTTTCAATAGTTGCACAACCTGTAAACATAAGATACAAGTTAGCCTCATAGAATGGAAAAAGGCAAGAAAATGGGTCAATCAAACTTAGTGTTTGAAAACAGTTAAAAAATTGTAAATGTGTATCCAACGCAGTAGTTACAATTAGAATCCAACATGCTATAAAAAATATGTTCATTTTCTAACCTGATTCATGAATGGACGTTGGGAGGATGCATGGTGGACACACATGCTAGCTGTCATCATGGCACGCTTCATTTCAGTAGAATCATATTCCTCTCCTAACCTTGGGTCGGCTATTTCCTTTACATTGTTTGTATCCAGCATTGGCTTGGCCTGAAAACATTGGATGATGTTTATATTTTGTCTTTTATCAAATTAGTAGTTTTTAAACTTAAGCAGACTTTGGCAAGGTAAAATATGAAGAATCTTGATTGCAAAATCCCTATGGAATCATTGATCAGTGATCTCAAAGAAGCATATTACACTCACCTGGAAGGGAAAATCACTTTAGATACTATAGATATAATGGGGTTATGAAGACTTACCCAGATAACAAGACTTTGCCTACTGTCTGAATCGACTGCACGACGTCCTGTAATGAGCTCCAATAGCAAAACCCCGAATGCAAATACATCAGTTTTCTCATCCACAATTCCATGCATGAAGTACTCTGGAGCCAAATACCTGCAGCCAGACATTTGATGCACGCATTGTTTTAGCTTTAAGAACATGGTGATAATAATATATTAGTCAATAAGGCTACAATACTAACCCAAATGTGCCTTCTATTGGGAAGACAACGTGATTTGCCCACTTATTTGGGAGCCACTTTGCCAGTCCAAAATCTGAAATCTAAATACAGCACAGATTATTTTCCTTGCCTAGTATGGTAGAAAGAATACAATATGTAATTTCTTAATTTATATTATAAGCTGCTACCATAGTACCTCGGCTTCATAATTTTCATTTAATAAGATGTTGGAGGCCTTAATGTCTCGATGAATGATTCGTCTCGGGCATTCTTTATGGAGATAATGCAATCCCTCTGCCACCCCAATAGCTACCTTGAACCTTTTCTTCCAATCCAAGCATTCAGAACCTAACATGTTGAAAATCTCTAAGTTAGCATGCAAAACATGTAAGGGCAATAAGAGAAGGAAGACATGCATAGAGAAGCAAGAGATGGATGTAGCACCGCACCAAAAAGCAAAGAAGCAAGGCTTCCATATGGAGCAAATTGTAGGACAAAGTAGAGGCCACCTTCAATCCCAAACCCAACAAGATGCGTTGCATTTGGGTGGTTTATGTGTGCAATGATTCCAAGCTCTGTCAAGAAATCACCTGCTCTGTCTGCAGCATCCTTGTCATTCTTCATTAACCTCTTTACAGCTATAACTTGACCATCGGATAAGCGTCCTTTGTATACTTCGGCATGACCACCTTTCCCAACCAAGTTCTCTATGGAACCACAAATACCAAGATTAAAACAATCCAAAAGCCAAGTTTATGTATAGTCACTATTTATCTTACAGTTTTTCTAACGTGCGTTTAAGGATATAAAATAAGAACTTATATATAGTAAATTTTCATGAAGAATACAAGATAAAATTCATTGAATATCATACTAACATCACAATGCAAAAATTTTCAATAAAATCTTACTATTTATTAATTTTTTACTAAACACACATTAAAAAACTGCTGATCTTAGTAGTACTAGGTAGCTTTGGGCACATAAAGACCAACAAGAGATATTCAATTTACTTTAATAGGACCAAAAGGGCAATCTCAGGCTCACCAACATCCCGTGGAATTTAAACTTTTGACTTAGAAGCATAATTTGGCAACTAGTTTGGTGTTCGACTAATTTCAAGATACAATTAATTCTAATGTTTAAATGTTATTTTACTGTATTCAAACTAGTTGTCTACGGGTTTTCATCAAATTATTTCAATCATTGACTAATAGTCAAGATTTTAGAAAATAGATACAAAGCATACTGGCAAATTGAGTGAAAAATATAGGCAAAAAATTTAATATAGTTTTTTGTTTCTCTTTAGTCTTAAATGGAATGTTGCTTTCACAACCATTTTGCTACGTTTACATTTTCTAAAAGTAGCATGAACATTTCAAACTCAACAATTTCCGCACACTAATTATAACCTCAAGGGCTGAAAGAAACAGATAAAAGCCATCATAAATGTTGAATACTATACATCCTAAATAACACCAGTTCCTTTGCTATAAAAAGGTGTCCCTACTGCAGCAATTGAAGCAAATGACATATACCAACCATTTATGACACCACCAACAAATTTTTGGAAGCTTTGAGAAGGCAACCAAGCTATGCCCAAGACAAATTTATAATAACCAATTTATTAGCTTGGGAAATGCATGTGCCATCGATGAAATCAAGTGAAGTATATTATCCACACTAATATGGCACTTTTCAAAGGACACACTGCCCAATCTAAAAGGCTTATTATGGTTATGGGTGGGACACTGTCCGATGTAGTTGACAGCCAAAAGCATACGGCACGCACGCCTGTGTATTTTCAATGAAAACCCTTTTAACGTAAGTTTGTCTTTTGTGTAAAATACACAAGTTATACACACAACAATGGTCCCAGGCACTTTTAAACTTTGTAACTAGAATAACAACATAATAAATATTTTTTTTATTTTAATTGTTACAAAAATTATCAAATCAGACTAACATGATAATTTATTATTCAAATTAAACAAAATAAATATAGTCATGTATCTATATGAGTAATTTAATTTAACTTTTTTACACATGCTGAGGCTGGCTTATTGAAATTTTGATGGTGCAAGACTTTAGTAACAGGCAGACACTGGCACGCAGTACTAAAGAATAAAGAGCAAAGAGAGGGGGCCCCATGATAAGTGATGTGTCCAAGTCTGTGGACAAGGATAAACAGGAACCCTATGCTACGGTCAAAAAGGTCGTCTATTCTGCAGTTTTCAAGAGAAAGCTTGGCCCTAACCAATTTCCGAGCCAATGGTGGCAGTTGACCGCTGGGTCATCATCAACCATAATACAACATAGAATAATCAACCTTGTAACATTAATTTAATAATTGAAACCTAAACCCATTTCTCCTCATTTTTAACCTTCGATATATTCCCTTAATAATAGATTAAGTATAATTAGAAGTATAAAAGGTAGAGAGATTTAAAAGTATTCTTCATTTTCTCTATCCTAGACTGATTTCTGCTTAACTTTGCAAACTACAAAGTATTTCTAAAAAACACATTTTTCTTTTCTTTTATTTTCAATTAATTAAAAGACAAACCTTAAATAGAAGATTATAAGTATTTTTAGCATTAATTTTCATTTTAAATTAAAATTTTAATTCAATAAATAAAAATAAAAACTAAAACACATTATCAAGATAAAAATTTAATATTGGTAAAACAATATAAGTATAAATATTTTATAAATACATATTTGATTCAACTTATGCTGATAAATTTTAAAATATTTTTAAAAACAAGTATTATTTTTTCTAAAAAAACCATCTCCAAAGGTGCATTAAGTTTTACTAACTTCCGGTGGATATATACCATCGCCTAGCCTAAATTTATCATTACTGAATAAACAACTATTTTGTACATTCGAAAAAGGTTATAGCGAAAACGATATGTTATCTACTAACCCGAGAGTCTACACTTTTAATAAAGATGAAATGATACGTAGTTAATTATAAAAGGGACACCAAAAGAATATCAAAATCAGATTAAGCCAAGTCCCTCTCAAAAATAACCCCATTTCAGAATTGTTCAAAGCTTTATAAAAATTATTGGGACCATATTTCTAGCATAAGGAAATAAACCAGGTTCAAGTCCTTTTCTTATGTTTTTTTTTTTCCTTTTTGTCTCTCTTCTTTTCACCCATGCAACACTCAGAATGTGGCGTCAAAGTATAATTTTTTATAATTAAATTAAACATATTTACGTCTCTTTGTTTATGCTAACGGTGAATAATGAATATCATACAATTTAAGAAATTATATCTACTATTGAAAGAAGATTGAAATTCTTCACCAAATTGAAAGAGACAGAGAGCGTATGTTCATACCAGGACTGAAATCATTAGTAGCAGCAGCGAGCTCTGCGTAATCGAAGTTCCTCCAAGAGGGTTTCGTGGGAATGGCCCCAATATCGATACTATCTTCAGCACTTCGAATACGAGCCAATCTCTTCAAGTTCTTCTGAGAGATATCATGGTTCATCGTCAACAGAGGAATGGCCGTTAATTTTCGTACGGACTTGAACTTGAAGACGTCCACCATAGCCTTCCATTGCAAGAGTTGACCGTCCCATCCAAGCAATTTTCCATTCGTCGCCGGCGACTTCTCCGGCGAACACAAGCTGAAACTGCTGCTTCCACTGGTGTCAGACTCTGCCCCCGAAACAGGGGCTTCTAGAATCCCTCTCGGAGATGTCTCGCCGTCGCTCGATGACACTTTTCCACGATTAACCATTGATGCCACTTCTGGGTTTTCTTTCTCTTCTATTTCCCCGCTCTTCTCCACTCTCCACATGTCCAACAACCACTACAAGGAACAGAGGAAAACGGGGGAAAAAAATAAGACCTAAACAATTTTCTTTTTATATGTAAAAAATATCTTTGGTAAAAAAATAAAATAAAATTCACCGTGCTTTTCTTTTCTGATCAATTAAATAATGTTTTTTTCCTTAATTTTATGTTGACTGTTCTGTTCTGTATATTGTGTAACAGAAACAGAGGTAGTTACAGGGTAGCAATATCTAAAACAACGAAATAACGAAAGATTACCTTAAACAGACATGGGTTATTCTTCTTTTTATCGTGAGAGTGTATATTCTAGAAATTCCAAACCCAAACAACTCTTGCCCGCACCTAAAATCTGAAGGAAGGACTACTAATGTCTTTGCTGAGAAAAGTCCTTCTCTATAATTTGGTGAGGGGCAGAGACAGAGAGATAGAGGGATGAGGGTAGAAGAAGAGGGAATAACAGAGAAGAAAGCTTCAAAATTGGCAAGTGTTTGAGCGGTGCTTATTCTTGGGAGGAGAGGAGCATGCAAAATCCAGCTTTATGAGGGAGCCTTGGAATGTTTGCTATATTTATACACCTTTGTGTTTTCCCTTCTGTCTTCTTTTTTTACTTTTTAAATTGGTTTAATTATTTTAATTGTTAATTTTTATCATTGGATATTGTGAGGCTCGTGCTTTCTGCATTAATGTCAGTTAGTCAGTTTGATCGGCAAAAATAGTTTTTATTTTACATATTTACATACTACGAAACCAAATATTAAAGGGATATTTTCTAATAATAAACTTTTTTTTTGTGGCCATATTTCAAAATTATAATCGATTTATATTACAGTAGAATCAATGTGAAATATTCAAAACATGTACGTTTGGTTTCTCTCACATAATCATGTTTAATTTTTTGCAACAGTAGTTTACATAAAATATATCTAATCATTCTTAAATACAATTAAGTTTATTTCTAAATTATGTATAAATCAATCTAATAAATTATTATTTTTATAGTTTCATTAGCATTTTAATTTTAAAATAATTTGTTTATAAACATAAATTAGATCACTTTAAATTTGTATTTACATAAAATCAATTTTACAAAATTAATTTCATCTAAACTAAAAATTGCAAAAACTTATCTAATATATTTTTATTTGTCTTTCAAAATAAATTAAATTTGATAATACAACAAATTTGTTTTTATAGTACAAATATAAGTATATTTCTAATTGTTTTGTGAATAGTCAACTTTATTTATTGAAAAAATTAAACACTTCCACTTTTTTTATAAATTACAATTCATTTTATTTACTGTGGAATTAGTTTATTTTTCAAGTCTTTACATGTTCAATAAGCCTTATAGCGTGTTTGAAATTGTGTTTTTTTCTTCTTCTAAAGATTGAAAATGTCTTTTAAAGATAATTAATCATTTAAAAATATCTTTTGAAAACTTGAAAAATCAATTAAATTTAAAAATAAAATATTCAAATACTAATGAGGACGTGGAAAAAAAAATGGTTTTATTGATAAACGAAGTGTTGCTCGTGACCTTTGCCGTAACTAACGCACAAAAGCACCTTCGAAGTGGGAACTTGCGTAGTCATATAAAGGCCAAATCATGTCAGCGTATAATATAACTTTGACGGTGGCATTGGGCAGCTGCAAATGGAATAGGATTAACCCGCACCACTAACACATTTTTTAGTCTTCACACACCACTTATAAAAAAACACTAAATTATATTTGATTATTTCACATTTGTGATGGACTTCAGAGTTATTTTGACTGTTTAGTTGGTTTTTTTTCTTATAAATACATTTTGTACAATTGTGTTGTGATTAACTAGTTGCAATTGGTGTACAATTATAATTTTAATGACAAGTTGGTCACTTTAATTGGATTTTTGTGCTTATCAGTAAACTGAGAAAGTACAGCGAAAAAAAAAATCATGGAATGAAAATTGTACAGACTAATAAACGGATGTTGTCACAAACCGAAGGGTGCAATAGAATGCAGGACATTAATTTTTAATTAGATACCATATAATAAGGTTATCATAAAACTTTCCCATATATTAATCTTCCTTTCTTTAGATAAGAAAAAGTGATTATGAGCAACTAGGGACACATGTCCTAAGGATCAAGGTGAGCATGGTCCTTCTTAATTTTTATATAATTGGTGTATAAGTAGGACCCCATTTGTGGTTGAGTTTGTTACCCTTGTGCTTGTACTGTTGGCGAGCAGCATCATTGTAAATACGCTGGTGAACCCCCCATGTGTTTGATATATAGATAGTGCGAATCTTAATGTATATATCAAAGTTGAGTGGGTTATAACCTTGGTGCATCTTTCTCGCTTGGACTTTCACATTTTATTAATGTCAAAACTTGTTACCCGTGTTTTGTTGTTGTTGTCACCTTTAAATTAGCTTAAAAATGAACTGCATACACTGGTATGTGCTAATTTTGGGAAAAAAATTTTGAATATAAAATAATGCATACTTTGGGAGTAATATTTGTAATGAATTTTTTTAAAAGAAAAAGAATGGTTGAAGTAGAGCAAAGCATTGTACAATTAAGGTGAAGGTTTTGTATCCTACGGGCTACAATTCTTGGGGAGAATTAGATAAATACTATATAATATTAGTTTCACAAATCTCATCTTACTTTGCATGACGTTAATACAACCGTGAAAGTATTCCATGATTGCAGTGTCAACTAATCATTTTACGAAAAAGGAGAGAGAGTCAAAACATGCTTTATCAGGTTAATGCAAAGCCATGAACAAGATAGCCCGCTGACTAATTTATTTTGACCCAGATCTATCATTTTGTGTAGAGAGGACAAAAATAGAAAATGTTAAATTTAATTAAGTAAATTGCTTTGTATTAAAATAAGTGTTATTTAAATTAAAGAGGTCGAGTTTCACTCAAATTTTATTTACTTTTAATATGGATATGTGAAATTATTGGATTTTCTCATTTGATCTATGGAGCATTATATTTTGTGTCAAGAATCTTTACTCATCAAAATTTTCTGATAAAAAGTAACTTGATCACGCATTTAATATATGAGCGTGCAAGAATTGTACTCGAGTTTATTATTCTTGACTCCATAATGACCTAGATTAGCATGCCCGTAAAATTCCTGGTGAATGATAAGTTTAAATATATTTTTCATTTATATGTTCTTACAAAATTTTAATTCAATTTGTAATTTTTGAATTTTTTTAACATTTCTGGTTCTTTTTATTGATGCAACATACAACTAACACGTGACACAAAACATTTAACATGTAATAACTTTTTGAGTAATCATATTATTACTAAAAACTAAAATTAAAAGAATAATTTTTGAAATATTAGCTAAAATTAAAATTATACAAAAAAATAAATAAAAACCTAAAACACCGTTAAAAAGACAACGTCCAAAGATCTTTTTGGTTTCTGGCTAGTGACTTGTTTGTTTCTAACTTTACAGCAATTTTGTCTTTGCCGGTGAAATCTCGGACCCGCACCTTGAATTGCACCCGCAAAAGGCGCGCCAAAAAACAAAAGGAATTTCACTACCAAAACCAGCATTGAATTTCATTTAGGGAGTTAACTTTTCCTATGTCCCAAAGAGAATCAAGTTGAATTGTGTCACATTCTTATTTATCCCTCAGACACAGTACTAAGATATTAGATAACTTTCCTCCTCATTGGGTCACTGTCACACGCAAGAAAGAGCTTAAAGAGGGGAGCATCCTTGGTTAAGTTGGTGAACTAAACCCGTTAATTTGTTTTTATATTGACAATTTACAAAGGGCTTTAATCTAAAACCCCACCATCTCCAACCTCACCAAGTCACCCATATCACTTCAGTTAGGGAAGTGGGCTTAACTGAATTCCATTGACGTCTTTAAAGTACACGAGTCAATAACGATTTGTGGGGACCCTCAATTTTATAAGGAGAGGTGCAAATTCAAACTGAACCAACCAAAATATGCTATTCTTCCCTCCATGTTTAGAAGCACATTGCCTAATTTTTGACCGGTTTTGGTAATCAAAATTCAAGGTGGGGCACCAACTAAAAGAACATAGATAGACACTACTCGGATAGTGATCAGAGGGTGTGCAAGATTAATATAGGGATAATACCTATGTGGATTAGTTATGGAACTTCCCAAAGGGATTGCAATGGATTCGTTCCATCTCCAAGATCTAGTTAGTTTGGCATCCACGTATGTTATAGCAACCATGGAATAGAAAAGAGTCATTATTTCAACATTCATTTCAAATATTTATACTATATTTATATTTCTTCATATACATTTTTTTTTAACTTGCATGTATTTTTTAGTCTTTACAATTTTGCAAAAATTGTATTTTATTCTCTATATTCATTTCCTTTTTATAACTTAAATAATTTTGTCGCTTTTATAAAATTTGTTGCATTTAGAATTTAGTCCATAACAAGTTAAGCGAGAAAAAATATTTTTAATTTTTAAACTACATTTAAAAATAGAAAATTTATAACTATCTCTAAGAGCCTTTAATTAATGCATTTAGCATTTGCCAAAAAAAATAATTAAATTACCCAAACGTTTTTCTGGTCTGGAACTGAATTCTTTTATTGTCTTGGTGGAAATAAGGGCCAAGACCCAAACTATAGAAACAGAACAATACTAACTTAGGAAAGCCCATAACTCCAATTAAACTTTGAACCCAGATGCTGAATTGGACAGGGCTACATTAAACGATTTACTCTGCTGGTTGATATTATGTAGCGAATGAAATCATCGAGAGTGGAGTAAGAGGAACCACCTGGACTCACACTCTTATTGGCCAACGCAGCCATTTCCTGAGCTGATCTGAGAGACTCCTCCCTCCTATGCACCATTAGATCATTCACCATCTTCTCCACAACGTCCCTATCACACACATCCTTCATGTCCAACCCAACTTTCCAAACCTCACTCACAAACCTACTATTAATCTGTTGATCTGCAAAATAAGGCCAGCAAATCATGGGCAACCCAGCCACCACACTCTCCAAGGTCGAGTTCCACCCACTATGGGTCAAAAACCCACCGACGGCCCAGTGGGCCAGAACCTCCTCTTGCGGGGCCCAACCCACCATAAACCCTCTCTCCCTGGTTCCCTCTTCCAACTCCACAGGTATTTTATCCTCACCATCTTTTCCTAAAACCAAGTCAGGTCGCATTACCCACATGAACCGTTTCTTGATTAACCAAACCGTGCCAAATCTCCAATAGCTCATTCCTTGTCATTAGCGTGCAACTACCAAAGCTGACATATATCACCGACTTCTGAGGCTGCGCATCGAGCCACGCCATGCAACTCTTGTCCAATTCATAAAGACAATATTTAAACGAAGGAATATTTGTTTTCTCTTTAGATGTTGCTTTTCTGAGTTTCAAATGGTGGTGGAGAGGTCCAATGGCGTAGAGTTTGGGAAAGTGGAGACGTATTTGGGAGAGAACGGGTCCTTCTAGCTCCTCCAATGTGTTGAGTACGAGTACGTCTGCTCCAAGTGATTGTCAGGTCAGGGAGACGATCGAGTCCAGATGTATGTGGTTCTCTTTGTTTGCTCGGAAGAAACTTGGCAGATCTCTACATCTAAGCAAGTTTTCCATTCCTGGCATATTCGTTATGATGCGATCCATGTCCTCGTCTCCTTCAACAAGTTTACATTCATAATTAATTAGTCACGTTATATATAACCAGTTTTTGTAACGTATAAGATGTGATGAAACAATAACATATAAATAACTTTTTTAATCTATTTGTTACAAAATTTCTAAGGCAATTTGAGAGGAGATATTGGATATAAATTTGAGTAACCTACCGCAATTTTAGAGTTTTATTTTTTCATGGATAAATGATACTTTATTTTCCATACAATAGTTTTTTTTAAATTTAATTTTTATAAATAAAAAATTTATAAATCAATTTTTATACACGTAACTTTATTTTTAAGTTCATCTATTTCATTATGGTATATTATTATTACATTTTTCCTCTTACATGGAGAATGATTATCTATTCTAATATGTTTAAATTGTCTTTTAATTTTTATAAAAGACTATTTTTTGTAATTTAATTTTAATATAAAAATTTATTTTTAATTTTATTCTTATAGTTATGATGACATTTTTATATTGAGACATTTTTCAATCATTTTTGGAAGAGTATTCTAAATTTTTTAAATAAACTTTACATCTTGTTTCATAATATTTCGATTCATGACATTAAATTTTATTATGTAAGATAATGTCTTTTCATTTTAAATTCATGTAAGAACTATCTTGAAAAGACTTAATGTTTTGAATCGTCTTTATTTGAACATCACTTTTCATATTTTTATCTTAAATATAAATACTTATATGTTTTATTATATTATCATAATAATCATCATTCATTTTCCTATCATCATTATCCTAATGTTATTTTTTCAAGATAGTCAATATGTGATTGTAAGAATAAATAAAAATAATAATGACAGTAAAAATTAAAAAAATTATTCTAATCTTTTTTTTTTAATAAATGTATCAATGGTAAAAAGAAAAAAAAAGTTTTTAAACTTTTGACATGACTCAAAAGGACATGATTGAGATTTCATATATTAAAATAAAGATGATAGAAAAAATAATAAATGTAATGCTTACGTAAAGACAAAACAAGACACAAAATTAAATATAAAAAAGTATAAAGTAAAATATAAAATTTATTTAAAAAAACTATAATATTTTTTAAAGATAATGAAAAAAGACTACTTAACAATTATAAATTATTACAAATTAAAAATAATTTTTTATATAATATATAAATTTGTTACTTATAAAATTTAAATTACAAAAAAAATATGTATTATATAAAGACTTAAAAATAATTTAAATCTCTCACATTAAATAACTTTTGTCAAGTAAGAGAAATAGTTAATGCCATCACAGTATAAAAATAGATAAAATTAAAAATAATTTTTATATAGGACTGATATAAAAAAAATTAGGGACTTGAAACTAAAATTTATTTATTTATTTTTACGTGGAGTTTGATATCATATTAATATATGATATTAAGATTTTAGCATATGGACTGATCTGGGAGCTGAGGAGAGGTTGCAAAACTTAATTTGAGTGTGACGTAGATATGTATATACTTAGAGACTGAGATGAATGGATCTATGACACCATACCTCTAATGGGAAGTTCGTTGCATTCAAAGAGCTCTGGAGCAGAGAAATAAGCCAAGAAGCAACAGGCACTGATTGTACGAAAATGAATGAGTGGTATCCCAAACTCAGAAGCTAACTCAGTGGCAAGGCTTCCGAATATCCCATCCACTATAATGCAACTAACTTTGGGTATTCCACTACTCTCAGACACCAGAATCTCTCTCAAGAGGGGCTTTGCATGGGAAATTATGGAAACAATGACGTCCACTACACGGTCTCCGAAACCTGGGTGCTGGCCCTCGTTATAACCATCAGAAATGGTCTTGAAACGAATCGTAGGGTAGCATGCTGAAAGAGCTTGGATTTCACTGAAACGAATGAGACGATTGTGGATGTAGTCGGTGTTGAGAAAAGTGACATGGAGATTGTGAAGGGCAAGAAGCTCAGCGAGGTTGGCCATGGAATTAACATGGCCCTGCGCTGGACAAGGGAAGATGAGCACGTGTGCTCCTTCAGGTGGAGGTTTTTCTTCTTTTGCCATTGATATTTTACTTTTGCAAAATAATTAACGTTGCGTTTGGTATGTATTGTGGCGATAAATACTTTCATGTTGTCGAATGCTGACAACTGACGGTGTAGATTTTTCAAGCAGACGAATAGGTGGATGAGTAATGCGTACACGACAGCTCGTTGTTTTACTGATTGATTGAAAACTATGCATGATATTTACTATAAATACTCAAATTGAAAGTGTGAAAATTGTTGTGTTTATGGATAGGAAGGAAAGGAACGTTAAAATCATTTTTTTTTTACTATATTTTTTAGTTATTATTATAACTTATTAAAAATTATAAAAAAATGTTATTTATTTTAAATTTAATAGAAATTTCATATTTTATAATAAAGTTTAGTTAATAATTAATAACTATTAAAAAAATATGTTAAAATGTGATGTTAATTCTTCTTTGAGAGGATATGTTTAACACTTAAAGCTAAGTTTTCCTTTCTCTTTCCACGATAAAAGATAAGTGAATATAAGGATACGAACGTTCACATTAACTTTTAAGAATGAATTTAAGTATTTAATGTAAAAATTACTAAAAATATGTTTATTATATTAAAATATGAAAAATACTTATTTTTAATAAGTTATTATTATTATTATTATCATTAACTACTTTTTATCAATTTTAAAAATTGAAGTTAATATTTTTATAGAAGAAAAGTGTAAAAAATCAATTACATGAGTAATATTTTTAATATAGAATAGAATAGTATTGCTTTCTCATAAAATACTTATGGTAAAATCATTTTAATACTCGGTATAAGTTTTAAATATATGCATTAACATAAAAATATATTGTTTTTTATTTCAAAATTAGAAAGATTGGCTGAAATAATTTAACGTCTTAGTATTAGCTTAATTGTTTTATATTTCTAATTGTTTATAAATCAAAACTTTACTGAAATAGTTTTTTTTTTTTCAGAAAACAACTATTAATCTAAAATGAACACAAACTCAAAGTTATTGGCTTTGATACAAGTAGAAAATGTCTTATCTAGTTATCCGCATTTAATTTAGTATTTTCTCTATACATTTGATAATACAAATAAATTAACACACCATATTAATTGCTAAAAACTAAATTATTTTAATAGGAGAGAACATGTCAACAATTATTTATGATTATTTGCTTTATTAACTGGGTAGTACCTTAGACTGCACATCTTAATAATGAACAGCAACAAACTAAATTAAATAAAAGAAAAATGTTGATTCAGACGAAAATGACTATAGAGATGAAAGGGGACCATGAGATGCCAAATTTGATGTGGGGTCATTCTTCCAAGAATATATGCACAGCCAAAATGATAAGCATTAGATGTAGCTGTGCTTGCAGGAATGTACAGTGCAACACTTGATATTATGATTTTATGTAGTGATCAAACGGTCCAAATTGGTGCAAGAAGAACCACCCGGACTAAGCTAAAATCGTCTTCTTCCTTTCTAATTAAGAAATTTTCATTTTTTTTTTTTATAAATGACCAGTTAACATACGTTAAATACAGTGTGTTTGTTTCACAAAGAAATTAAGAAAGATTTTTGTATTTATTTTTGTTTAAGTAAAATAAAAAAAATTATTTTATTTAAACTAAATTAATTCACTTAAACTAAAATTTAAAAAGTTACAACTTTATCTTCTTCTTTTATAAATTACTTTACTTTTATTACACTGACGTGTAATTTATAGAGAATATTTTAAATTTATTATTTATGATTAATTTTATGTTTTTTATTTTTTAGAATTATCCAAAATTAAAACATCTCAGTACATAATGCAGAAACTCATATTATTTAACATGTCAAATTTTAACGCGATCATAATAAAATAAAATTGTTTTATTTAAATGTGAAGGTTAGAATTAATAAAAAAAATTAAAATTTAAAAAATTAGTTTTTAGATGTAACAACATATATAATGAGTTTAAATTTAAAATACACAAAAGTATTAAGTTTTGTGTTAACTCTAAAAATCATATTTTAGATCTGATTTTCTCCAATTTGTGGAAGAACGTAACATTTAATTTTAATTTGCTTAAGCAAATTAATTTCATGAGATAAAATTTTGTTCTTGAATGATTACAATTTCTTTCTACAGTATCTCAATTCTAATAAGACAATTTTATTTTAACTGTTAACATAAAATAAATAAATAACTTACTCACCTTACCCATTTTGTGGGTTGACTTCCCAAATTTTAAATATAATTTTAAAAGCATAAAAGTATGTATAAGAAAAGAAAAAGCTGTAGTTCATAAATATTGAATATATATTAAAAAGATAAAAATGCTGAAATATACTTAGTTTGATTTGCATAAATACCTTAGTCTTTTAGAGTCATTGAGTTAACCACTCAGAATCCAATATCAATGATTTAATAAATAAATAATAAAATAAATAAATAATATTAATAATAAGTTAGACACTTGCATGTGTTTTTCCTACGACTCTGTTGACAAAAAAAAGGCTTTAATGGGGCGGGCCCAGTTTGATAGGATGGAGAGTCTAGCCCAGTTAAAGTTGATGATTGGGAAGAGTAAGTAGTGGAACAGACGAAACTGAGGGACCAGTTGGTTGGACGGTGGCAGTGGCAATGGCTCTGCTAGGGGAGGACGGGCGCGGCTACGAGCTGGCGCGGAAGCTGGACACGATTGGAGCGTGGCGAACCTGGCTGGGCGACTCCACCTACGCCAACTTCGGACCCTTTCTCTCTTCCCCTTCCGCTTGGGACTCCTTCATCACCTCTAAGTCTCACTCTCACATTCCCCTTCAGCTCCGAGTCCGCGCCCTCCTCTTCGACAAAGCCACCGCTTCTCTCTTCCCCAACCCCTCTCTCTCTCGCCTCAATCCTTCTTTTCTCCAACTCCACCCCGACGACATCTACTTCACCGTCGACAACGCTTCACCCGACGCTAAGGTCTTCAAAACCCTACCTCTCCCCTTTCTCTCTTAATTCTCTAAATTCCTGCTTCCTTTTCATCATTATCTTCTGGTTTAATGCAGAATCAATCCAAAACAGCTTCTGCTACCGGATCCAGGTATGTCGAATCTGAACTTCCTGAATCGTGGTACAGTCAAGTCATTGAGAAGTATAAGGCTAATAAGAACTTAGTTCCGCGTTCGCCGGCGGAGATGGCTTCGTATGTTGCGTATGCTAGTAATCATAAGAAACGGCGCGTCGCATTTAAGGAAGATCCGAATGGAAATTCCGTTACGGAACCGAATGGTGGTGGTTTAGTTGACGATGATACTACTGTTTTTCCGGAGATAACGTATGTGTTTAATTGCGTGCCTGAGAGTGCTCTTCCACCGAGTAGTAGAGTGGAGAATTTGCAGAAAGTGAAGGTGTTTAGTGTTCTTGATATGTTGCCTCCTATCACGACCAGGAATCCTGTTATGATTGAGAGGCTAGGTATTAAGCCTGAGTACCTTAATGCGGAACATGGAGGGGCCTTGGGCCGTGGGAAATTTGGGCCTGAGGGAAACGGTAAGGTTATTGGGACTGAGCAAGCGGTGATGCTGTCTCAGAAGGCGGTGGCGCGTGTGTTGTTGGGTGTGGGATTTGAAGGTGCCATGGAAGCTTCCATTGAGGACTTCTCTGAAGTGCTGGGCGAACGTATCTGCAAAATAGGGAAAAATCTTAGAGTGCTTGCTGATAGTTATAAGAAACAGTGCTCCGCCATTGAACTTCTAAAGATGTTGCTTAAAACATTGGGTTTTAGGTAAGTTTAAATTCATTCGTGTTTTTAAGTTTTTGGAAATTTTATATTAAATTGTCTAAAAGGCAAAGAAAAACTTGTTTTAATACAAATTTGCTGCTCTTTCTGGATATCTATTTTCGATACTGTTGTAGCTTGTCTTATTTTGATGTGTTTCTTTGTTATCCTGTACCGAAATCTTCCTATGAATTCAGGGTTTACCATGGATAAATAAATATGTTTATCTTACTGTGCATTAATATATTAAATAGGTGATTGCTCTAATATGTCAAAATTACTTTTATTCATAAACACTCAAGAATCAGTGAGGGAGAGGAAGAAGAGGAACATATAACAAATTATGGTAGCGTGACCTTCTTGTTGCATATCTGTATTGTGGTTGTGCATGCATTTTTTAAGCAATATTATCCTGATTTGTATTTGCATTCAAATCAAAATATCTTAGACATGCCATGGATGCATTTTAACATTTTCTGCTCTTGCTAACAGCAACTTTGCACCATTAGTGGATGTGGTTAAAGATGGCTCCAAGAATATTGTACAACAAACTCAGCAACAAGTTCATGGAATTCAGCCACAGGTGCAGCAACAGCAGAGTTCCCTTCGGCTACCTCAACAAGTACTTATATCTATTTCCTTGCGCATTATATGATGTTGTGAGTGTGAGCTACTAGTTCAATGCATGGATGAATGAAGGAGCAGGCAGTGAGCCTCAAGTTTAATCATGATTTTTTCTTGATCCATCAAAAATGAATTTCTATATTTTGAATCTGAATGCGAGTTGAGGACACAGCAGCTCAAGTTCTGTCCATCCAAACATGTCTTGATTCTTGCACGAATGTGGCTTATGATGTATATTTGAGACTGCAGTTTGCATGCCATTTTCAATATCCATGACTGCAATTTTTCTGCTCATGTCCAATTTATATAATATGCTGCTATTTTTATATTCGTTCATGCTTTTTTCTTAACAGCTTTTTCGATATCCATGATTTATTAGGTGGTCCTTCCCTTTTTCTTGAGTAGATGTAGTGGTGGTTTGATGTTAATTCTTTATTTCTTTTGAGTTTTTGAACTTTGGAATCTGCATTAAAAAAAGTGTTTGCCCTTCCCCTCTCACCAATTATTGTATCATGTGAAGCAGGGAATTTGTGCTGATTGAACAAATTTCTGCATGCATCCTTTATGTTTTTAGTGCAGTTGTTTTGCATGATTGAACTCGTTCTTCATTAAGAGCTTTTTGATCTATTCTCTGCAAGTTCTACTAATGATTTCTGCAATGCAGTATTACCAATGTATTGCTAATGTGCAGGTTCAAATGCAAAGGCAGATGCATCCACATATGCAGCAGATTATGCACTCCCATAATATGGTTTATCAGCAGCTGCAACAGCAGCAACAACAACAGCAGCAGCAGCAGCAGTTAGAGAGAATGAGGAGGCGCACAGCATCTACTCCCCGCCCTACTATGGACATAGATAAGGAAAGACCATTGGTTCAAGTCAAGATTGAAACCCCATCAGATTTACCACATGATGGTGGTACCTTCAATTCTAGACATCCTGCTCAAATGCAGTTTAGGCAGCAGCAGATGGCTGCAATGTCTAATTTCCATTCTCAACCTGGTTCTCAGTTCAGACATATGGGTTCCTTACAGATCCCCCAAATGCAGTCGCAGTACGTTACTCAAATAAATTAATGCTGCTGTTAGGGTGGTTTTTATGTTATCTTTATTAACACTTATATTAATTTACTGTTTGCATAGGAACATTGGCATGGTTAGAACCCCACCTGTGAAGGTGGAGGGCTTCCAGGAGTTGATGGGTGGGGATTCTACAGCTAAGCACGATTCAGAGGAAAATAGGCTGACTTCTCCCACGGGTAAATAGTTTTTCTAGTCTTTTAATCAGCCAGTGTGTGCATCCCTGGAGGCCCTATAAAATTGGTATGGTCTTAAAATTTGTTCTGGCCTTTATTGTAATATAGCCTTTCTTCAGTTTACTTTGTATAATAGCCCATACAATGCATTCCAACCGTACCATGTTGGATCTAACATATATTTATTGAATTAATTGTTCACTAAATATACCAATTTCTTCTAGCGGTGTTCCGTAACAAATAAAAAAAGATAAAATTTTGTTAGCAAATATCTGCTTTAATGTTTGTAATTAATTGTTTGACAGCGATATAAATTGCAAGGAAAATTTCTATTGTGCATCATTAACTTTCTTCCTATACATTCAAGAAACGAGCGTTTCTTTTAATCTGAACGCTTCGGATAGCGCTTTTTCGCGGGTTTTCACAAAACTTGCTCACTGCTTAAGCTATATACATTGTGGGTAAAGGTAAGTTTTTGTGTATTTTTGGGTTCGTAAAGGGTTTTCATGAAATAACACTACAATTCTGAGTTTCTTACAAATGTTAACCGTTGTTTTTAAGGAATTGATTAAAAAAAATAATGTGAAAAACTTTTATTAAAAATGTTGTTAATATTTTTAATGCAGTTTAATATAATTTTATTAAATAAAATTTACTTTCAATTATTTAACTAATGTCTTTATGACATTGAATCTTATTTAAAAACAAATTAGTTACGCACCATTAGAATCAGCCACTCCTTAATAGAGAGATGGAGGGAGAACAATGTATTAGATTTTAAGCATAAATTCTTGGTCTATTTTCCCCGACTTTAAACAGACTAAGCACGTGTATATACCAAACATTTTTTTTCTCTTCATTTGATCATTTACCGCACTACACGAATAAAATAAACTAATAACATTTTTGCAGAAATAGAATTCTCTCTTTTTCTTCCCTTATGATAATTGCTACCCAAATCAGAGTAAATCTGTTTTTAATCTATGTTCTTAAACTATCACTTCATCTGTAACAAAAAAAAAAGATAATTCACTTCATTTTAAAATTACCGATTAACTTAGAAATAAAAGAACTGTGAAAAGAGACATTGAGTCGATAAAAATGTATCAAATTTTCAAAATCAGAGAGAAAATAATTTCATTAAAAACTTTTCAACGTGAATTCAAATACCCTTAATATATATATATATATATATATATATATATATATATTATTTTTTTAAATCCTTAACAAATGTTCTAAAATCACTTCTTAACATTAGCCAACAAATCACAAAGTTCAAGTTCATGTACAAATCGACAAACAGTGATACTTATAACACGAAAACCAGGGCACGTTAAATGGTAGCGACTATTTTTTACTTCTGAAAACATCGATTCATGGCTTTATACAAACGCTCCAACAACATATAAAAGACATCTTCCCAGAGCACCCGTGCTGCTGGTATATTCGCTTGAAAAGGAAAACCTGAATCTTATTTTAAAAAAATAAATATCACAAATTATTATATTGCCAAAGTGCCATTAGGTGCTGAGTTACAATTCTAGATCAATAACCATATAATATACACCATAAATGATAACAGATCACAACAACGTAAAACACACTTGGGAAGAACTATAATTGGCAAGCAGAGGAAATATAAACAAATAAAAATTCACATGATAAATTCTGTCCTATTAATTGATAATCATTTTGGGACAATAATAATATAATCTAGAGAAATTTTTGACCAAAATTTTTCCTTCAGTCGTTGTAAATTTAAATGTCCAACTCATCAATTATGTTAACAAAATTGCGTAAAAAATTCTGTAGGTTTTGTTAGAACAATTATAACTTTTGTTCTACCTCCAAAAGGCAATTACTGATTACTCCAATTAAGGTAGGAGACTAAGCTCCCATCACTACAGGAACTACATAGGTTTGAAATGAATTCGACCAATACCAACGGATCTGACTGAAATTTATTCGTGAGCCTGCAATTATAGTTGTTGGAGTTACAGTAGACAACATTGAACTAGTAAAATATCTGGGTTATCATTCCACATCCTCAACTGTGGACCACGAGTTGCAGAGAGTTGACCTACAAAAACGAAGAAGGGACAAGTAGTGGCTGCTTAGGAAAAGGGTATAGTTCATTCAGTTGCTTCATGAGCAGACTAGTCTCATTTTATATCGGATCATGTGCAAAGGACCACATCAAAGCTCACATCAACAAGCAAATAACTTGGCTACATCCCGATATTGAACAGAAATGAGTGAAATGGACGGGACATCCACAAATATAAGACGAATTACCAAACTCATTTATGACAAAAGACATTAGTTTGTCCATACCAGAGTGGACAAGCAAAAAGCTCAATTTTGTTGGACCAAAAGCCTGCTTATCAACCAAAATTAGGTTTCCCTCTCTTTTGCACAATCATTAGCACAAGTCATTATTTTCAACATGAAAATGTGAATAAATTTAATAACAAAAATTTCCCCATTTATTTCCAACAATGATCAATACCATGGATAACCACTAACATGAATTTGTCAACACTAAGAATAAAAACAATTTCATATTTAATAGAAATTTGAAAAGCATAAGTTGATTCTAGGAAGGTGGCAAGAAAGGTAAGACAAATGCAATTATCAACACAAAAATAATGTACCAAAATATCAGACATAAACTGTAAAACTAAATTACGTATCAGCATCAAGGGATTAGGAGATACAAAGAGGAATGCAATGTAGGAAAAAATATAAATAGTCACTTGCCTCTTGATATTCTGCTGTTTTCTCTCAAGCTGCGTCGATGTCACAGTTAACCTTGGCTGTGCCCTTGAAGTGTTACCATATTTGAAGAAAGAGCTGTTTGCAGCTAACTTGCTGATATAGTAATACAAATTTCAGGTGTTGTCAGTACAACCTTAGACAGAGTCATAAAAAAAATATCAATCGGTTTCCACCAGTATCATTCCAGGGAAAAATATACAATCATTTTGTTAAATTCTGTTCAGCTCCTGCATTAACATAGAATACGTCTCAGAATGTAACACACAACCATTCTTCTTCATATGATTCAGAAATTCTGAGCATTGATCAAGATATCCACTCTTAGCTAAGCCATCAATTAGAACTTTCCAAGCCACTTCATCATAATTATACCCACACTGTAGTAAACTACGAAAAATTGCTTCAGCCTTCTCTTTGTTCCCTTGTGCACAAAGCCCACAAATAAGAAGCTTATAGGATTCTAAATGTGCTAAATGACTACACTCCAACATAGTATCTAACAATCTCACTGCCTCCCCATACTTTCCCAACTTGCAGCAACCACTAAGAAGGGTATTATGAACATTTTCAGAGGGAGAGATTCCACTTTCTCTCATATAATTTAGCAACCTGAAGGCTACAGTCAAGCGTCCCACTTTGCAAAGTCCTTTAATAACCTTGCTGTAAGTGTTTACATTAGGCACACAACCATGCTGCACCATTTTTTCAAAGAGCACAGTTGTGATTTCAAAGTCAATTATATTCCATATATCTACATTTTCATCAGACATATTTGTTAAACTGAAATCAAGTCCCACAGGATTCCTGCCTTCCTTCTTATATTTTTCAATTATTAGATGCTTCATTAGGATGCAGTATGTTTGACGAGAAGGCTCACAACCAGTATTATACATGCTTTTGAAAACACTAAATGCACTATCTAGCAGTCCCATACACCCATACGCGTTGATTAAAATATTATAGATCAAGGAATCAAGCAATATGCCTTCATTTTTAATTTTGACCATCATCTCTTCAGCCTCCTGTAATCTTCCCTGGCTGCAATATGCCTTAATAAATGCAGTATATGTGACCACATTAGGTTGATAACCAGAGGAAATCATTTGGTTGAGAATCTCATTAGCTCGGTCAAAGTCACCTTCCTTCAATATTTCCTCAATGAGAATAGTATAAGTATTTTCAGTGGGCTTCACATCAAACTTTACCATGTCTTCCACCAACAACATTGCATCTTGCCTTTTACCCTCTTTGCGTAAGCCATCTATCAATACATTAAACGTGATGGAGTTTGGCAAACATTCCTCAGCAAGCATCCTTTTGAACAATAAAAGGGCATCTTCAATTTTCCCAGCTTTGCAGTATCCATCAATCAAGGCTGTATATATATGTTCATTTGCTTTGATGTGTTTGTCTTTGATGGACTCAAAGATCTGATGAGCTTCTCCAACTCTGCCAATTCTACAGAGGCAGTCTATCAACGAGCTAAAAGTCAGCTGATCAGGACTGCAGCCATCTTTAATCATCAAATAAAACAGGCGAAAAGCACTATCTACAACACCTGCTTTACACAGCCCATGAATTAATGTATTATACGTGATGACGTTGGGCAACAGCTTACTTTCAAACATTTTGTTAAGCAATGCCATTGCCCTGTCCATGCTTTTACTCCTACAAAAACCAAAAATCAATTCATTATATGTCTGAGCATTTGGACAAACTTTATTCGACTCCATTAGACCCAAAACACCCAAGGCATCCTCCATCATTCCCCGTTTACAATATCCAACAATCAAGGAATTGTACGGGACAGCACTAGGAGCCATACCTTTCTCCAGCATTTTGTTTAGCATTTTCATCGCCTCCTCCATCCTGCCCTCCTTGCAAAAGTAATCAATCAACACAGTGTAAGTATAAACATTAGGCTGACAACCTCTTTCCACCATCTCCTCAAAGAGATTCAGGGCTTCCACCCCTTTACCCGACTCACAAAAAGCACCTATAAGAACTGTATAAGTTCGAACAGTGGGAAAACATCGATCTTCCTTCATTTGCAAGAACAACTCGAGAGCTCCATCAAGCTGCCCAGCTTCACAAAGACCATGTATAAGATAAGTATACGAAACCACGCTCCTCCGGCAACCGCTCTGCGCCATAATCCGAAACACTCTATAAGCTCTCTCCACATCTTGACTTCTACAATAACCCAATATCAATGAAGTGTACGTGAATGAATCAGGTAACAACCCACCTTTTAGCAACCTATTAAAAAAAAGCTTCGCCACAACCACGTTCCCTAACTGGCAATAAACATTCAACATTGTATTAAACGTTATCAAGTTAGGGGCAACTCCATCATCCAACATCTCCTTAAACAAACTCTTCAACTCATCAATCATAACAAAACGCGACAAACACATCAAAAGCCTGTTATACGAAGTAATAGAAAGCTTAAAAGCAAGTTGTTGATCCTCAGTGGTGTTCATTCGACGCAAGAGGTTCAACACGAAGGTAGCATCGTGAGGGGAAGCACAAGACTTGATCATGGAGTTTCGAACATTCTCGGCAGCACGAAGCAACCCATTGCGAACGAGAATGAGGAGAAGGGGTTCATATGAATAAGCGGTGTGGATAAAACCGTGTTGGCGATGGATCCATCGGAAGAAGTTCAAGGCGGTGAGAGGGTCAAGGTTGAGGTTGAAGAGGGAAGAGAGGTGGGTTACGGTTAGAGAAGGGATTAAGGTGTTAAAAGAAGGGTCTTTTCGCCATTTGGGGCGAGAGAGAATGGTGAAGATCTGAGAAGGAAGATCGGGCTGTTGAGAGAGAGAAGCGATTGAAGTTGAAGAAAAGGGTTTGAGGAAATGACAGTGATTGTGATGAAGAAAGGAGAAAAGGGGCGTGAATTTTCTCATTTAAAACCCATGAACAAACAAGGGTGTATCTTTCCAATGCATTGATCGACGAAGACGATCAAGTGCTACAGAAGATGAAGAAGAAGAAAAGAAAAGTGGCATGCGTTTGTGAGGCTGCGTGGAAAATGGGCCGGGTCGAGTAATTTGGGCCAAGCATGTGATGGTATCGTGGTTCATCCTCAGCCGCGGGTGCTGCACTCCCTTGTTCGTTTTCAGATTGATCTAATGTCAAGATTGTTCGATTTTTGTTGGGGTAAATTTTACACTGCAAGTATTTTATTTTTTGTGAAATAATTAGTGCTATTAATTTTATATTAAATATATCAATAAATAATGAAAGTTAGAAATATATTTAAAAAACATATAAATATTTTTAAAATTAAAAATTAAAACTTTAAATTTTTAAAAATATAAAATATTTTTTCAAATTTATGAATACTATGTAAATACTTTTTGTTATATGAAAATCATATATGCTTACTAGTTATATTAAATTGGTGGTATAAAAAAAATTTATGAAATAATTTTTCAAAATTAATAAATAAATAAATTTAATTTATTAAAAAAATTAGAGACTAAAATTCTATACAAATTAAATTATAACAAGGAAAAGTATAATTATAAATGAAGAAAGTTAGAAAAACAAATTATGAGTGAGTCATACTTAATTTTATAAATTTTAATTATATTTGAAACGTCATTTTGCTAACATTTATTATTATAAAAATAAGAAAATAGAATAAGTGTTTTGTAATTTAAAATATTCACTGTGACACAGTATATGAGTTCTTTTGCAACTGTATGGATTTTGAGATTAATTATATTAATTTTGAATTTTCAACAGATAACTTATTAAATAAAATATTTAATTAATTTTGTATTATTGCTATTGTAAGTTGTAATGGCTATTTATTCTTAAAAAAGACAAATTTTCTGAACTTAAGTTACTTTATATGAAATTAAATTATATTGAATTTAAAATTATAATTAAATAAAATTTACTTTCAAATAATATGATAAAATTCCTTAAATTTCTATATCTTTTAATCTCTATAATTTTCCAATTTTTAATTTTTTAATTTTTTAATTTTTTATTTAATATACTTACATAGAGACTGATTTTTATTATTTTCAATAATATTTTTTAATAGTTCACTCTCGATATGACTAATAGCAAATTACATTATTAAAGTTAGATGATAAAAATAAATTATTAATTTTATTTTTTAAAGTTATAAAATTCAACACATTAATCTTTTATTTTTTTTTTAAATTACCATTAGTTTAATTTTTAAATAATATTTTTACAGAATTAATTTATTAAATGTTTAACCTAACACTTTAAATTTTTTTTTGTCATTAAATATTTTAGCAAGAGATAAAAAGTTTAAATTATTAACTCTTTTTCTCTAGTCATAACTATATTTTTCTAATTGATAATAAATTGAATAAGCATTAAAATAATTATAAATTATATTAAATAAAAAACATCAAAACACAAATAAAAAAAATTAAACACGCACACTCAAAATTGATAATAGTTTAACAGTCTTATCTAATAATATAAAATTTTAAAAAATACATTCTCTACATAAATAAATACTGAGAAAAATATCAAAATAAAAAAACTTTCATTCTTTTTTATTTATTTATGTTTGAATTATCACATAATCTAGCAACAAGTTTAATTAACAAAATCTTATAAAAAAACTTAAGAATACAACTTGAATATGTTGGGTTGAGCTCTCGGACTATATGTTCAAAAAGTCCAAATTTGTAAAGTCTATTTTGTCTTACTTAACTAAAGTAGAGAAGGGTCTTACGAGTCAAGAGATTAATTCCGTAGCTTTTTGGGAGAAAAAGATGATAGAAAAATGGTTCGTATATTCACATGTCAACTTTAGTAAAGTTGTGATTCTCGCTTCGAAGACAGTTGTCTTGGTCTGTTGGATCTTTGGGAGGGACTTGTATTTGTGGTAGTTTGGGTGTATCATCAAGATCATCATTATGTACCATATCATGTTCCACCTTGAACATCATTAAGCAGAATCTCTAATTCATCTCTAACCTGTTGATCATCAACATCACTATGTTACTCACCATTTTGAGCATCAATCTCAATACTGTCAAGGTTGTGAACAGGCAACCGCATCGATTTACCGTAAGTCAGATTACTATCTTTCTCGAATATAGTCTTTTCTATCTTGTTAATATCTTCAATGATTTGATTTTCCATGAATTGTACATCACGACTTCTAACAAGCTTCTTCTGAAAAGAATCACACAACTTGTAGCTAAATTCATCATGACCATAACCAATAAAGATACATTGCCTTGTCTTCGCATCCAACTTTAATCTTTCATCATTTGGTACATGAACAAATGTCTTACAATTGAAGACACACAAATAATCATAGTTAACATTTTAGTCAAATCAAATTTTGTTTGGCACCTCAAAATTTAAAGTAACTACAAGACCACAATTAACAACATGCAATATTGCAAACAATGCCTCTCCTTAGAAATGCTTAGGCAACTTTGCTTCAGAAAGCATACACCTAACTTTTTCAACCAAAGTCCTATTCATCCTCTATGCTAGACCATTCAACTGAAGAGTTTTAAGAGGAGTCTTTTCATATCTGATATCTTGCTGCTTGCAATAGACATCAAAGGGCTCACAGTACTCACCACTATTATCAGTATGAATGCATTTTAGCTTATTGCCTTACTGTCTCTCAACCAAAGCATGCAATTCTTTGAACTTTTTAAGCACTTGGTCATTTTTCTGTAGTGAAAGCAAAGTGCAGTACTAGACGACTTTATCTTCAATAAACTACATATATCATAATGCACCAATTCAAACAACTCTAACTTTCTTAAGGGAGGATGCTTCTTAAGTTTATTTATCAGCCATGTAATAAAATTAATTTCTACAATCACAGACTATCAATCCATGATTCCAATGGTCAAAATGAAGGATGATGTATCATGAACCTGTTGTCCAATTTTAGCCTAATCCAACAGTGAACGAAGCAAAAATCACAATTTTACTGAAACTAACATGTGAATATGTGAATATGTTTTTTTGCTCTATTTTTCTCTTCCTAAATGCTACAAAATTAACACACTCTGTTGATCTAAAAGACATTTCTTCACTTAGGTTAAGTGAAACAAAATGAGCTTAACAAGTTAAAATTTTTTGGATACATAGTTAAGAGTCAAACCCAACATATTTTTTCCCTCACAATTATATGGATTTGAGATTAATTATATTCATTGTGAGTTTTAAATATATAACTTATTAAATGAAATATTTAATTAATTTTGTACTACTTCTATTGCAAGTTGTAATGGTTATTCATTCTTAAAAAAAAATTCTGAATTGAAGTTACTTTATATTAAATTTAAATTTATAATTAAATAAATTTTACTTTCAAACAATACGATGGAAATCTTTAAATTCCTATGTCTTTTAATCTTTATTATTTTCCAGTTTAAAAATATTTAATTTTTTAATCTTTTATTTAATATACTTACATTGAGATTGACTGTTATTTTTTTCAATAACATTTTTTAATAGTTCACTCTTAATATGAGTAATAGTGAGTTATATTATTAAAGTTATATGATAAAAATAATTCTCAATTTTATCTTCTAATATTATAAAATTCAACACATTAATCTCTTATTTTTTTAAAATTACGATTGGCTTAATTTTTAAAGAATATTGTCACTAAATTAATTTATTAAATATTTAACCTAACACTTTACTTTTTTTTGTTATCAAAGATAATGTCATTAAATATTTTAGCAAGAGATAAAAAATTCTAATTATTAACTCTTTTTTCTAGTCATAACTTTACTTTTTTTAATTGATAATAAATTAAATAAGCTTTGCAATAATTATAAATTAGATTAAATAAAAAAAATAAGCATGCACCTTCAAAATCGATAATAGTTGAACAATTTTATCTAATAATATAAAATCTCAAAAAACAGTAAAGAACTTCCATTATTTTTTATTTATTTTCTTTTGAATCATCACATAATCCAATAACAGGCCTGATGAACAGAAATTCTAAATAAGAACTTAAGAATACAACTTGAATCATCATCTTATAATAAAAGATTTTGCTGCAACTGTTTCGATTGAAGGCTGCATGAACTAAATTTATAGTAAAAATGACAATAGATTTAATTGTGGCTTTTAGAGAGCTCCAACACAAGGCCATGGTTGTAGGGGTGGATCCACCAAGATATGATGTAGGACGAAAAAGTGATAGAAGAAATGGTGAGAACAGAACGAGATAGAAAATATGGCAATAAATAGGAAAAACAATGGCTAAGTGAAAGAGAAACATAAGCGAGAAACAAAATTCTCACTAAAATGAAAAATAATTGACTAAATATGGATATAACACCTCCATAGAGGGAAGAGAATTCCTCCACAAAATGGATGAAGGAGAGCCCCCATATCGAGTGGGAAACCCTTCTCCTTCTCTTCCCAGCGGCGCATTTTTCTTTATTTTATAGGGTTTTGGATCTTTGATATTAGAAAGCTGCCTATTTATATTCTTGGTAATTTTGTTTGTATTCTCGTACCCAAATTTTTGTTCTTATAATTTTTTTCTTTATATGGGTTTTTGTTTTTTAAATAAAAAAAGGAGAGAAAATATTATTTTATTGTTATATTTATTCCAATTTTTATGAGTTTCATAATTATTATTTTTTTAGAAAATTCTCTTTATTATCATGCACTTTTGGTCATATGCAATCTTGACCTTGAGTTTTTAAATTATACAACGTCACATCTTATACTTACTAAATTATTAAAAAAAACTTTACATTTAAGATGAAAATAGACTAAGTTAAGTTAATTTGAATTTGATATATTATTAGTCATAAATTTTTTATTAAATCTAATATGACTTTTTTAAAAGTTTGATGTGACATATTAATCATTTTAATGACCTATTTTGTATTGAGATCTCTAATAGGTATGTTTTAAAGGCCATAAAATTTATATCTAAATAAGCTATAAAAAAATGTTTCAACATCATAAATATTTGCTATAAAATTATATATTCATATTTATCACTTTTTAAATTATATATTTAATTTAAATAAGTAAAAAGCTAAGCATATAACAAACATATGCAAATAAATATTAAATGTACAAGATAAATTAAGCAAAAGTCACACATAAGATTCTAGCAAACAGCACACAATCTCTTAAAGGGTATATAGTATGACACTCTCCAACTCTAACTAAAAAAATTAGTAATTTTAATTCAAAATTTTATTTATGTTAAATTTTAATTTATTTAATATAATATTATATTATAATTTTTATATAAATTTATTTAACATATAAATTTTATGAATCTTAAATATGCTATTTTATCAAACTTAATAGGATTTTTCTTAAGCTCAATAATGACTTATTCAATTAATAAATTTTTTTAAAAATTTAAAATTACGTTTATTATTTAAATTAACCAAGTTAAGCTAAGCTTTAAAAAGATTAGATCATAAACATCTATCAAATAACTTGAGTTATTTTTATCATTTCTTTCATTACAAAAAGATTCATTATGATAGTTAACTCCTCATATATTTTTCACATGTATAGGAGTTGAGTTGCACATTTTAAAAACTCAAGATTAAAAATACAAAAGATAAAAAATATTTTTTCTTTTTTAAATGAGTATTTTTGTTTAACAAATTATGCACAAAAGAAACACATAAGAAATTAATTATTATATTAAATGTCTTAAGAACAAAATAAATTATTTGTATAATTTAATAAGTATAAGGTGTTATATTGCACAATTTAACAATTTATGGTCTAAATTGCATATAACTAAATAGGGGTGTTCAAAAAATTTAATTTTATAAACTCAATCCATAACCAATGTCAATTTGGTTTTAAAAATCTAGATCCATATTAAACCAATTTTTTTATTAACTATATTTGTGTAACTAGTTTAGTGTATAAATTCATTTTCTAAAACTGAATTTTTTTTTAGTTATTTAAATCCATATGTATGAAGCAACTTTATATCTTTATTTATTAAATTTTAGCGTTATATTAGTTTACAAAGTTTTATTGTGACTATGTTTTACTACTAATATTTTTTTATTAATCTTAATTCTTATAATTAAAACTAAATATTTAAAATAATTAAAGATATTAAAATATAATAAATATTTTTAAATTAATTATCATTGTTATTTTTATATTTATGTTTTTTAAATTTTTAAAATATTATAACATAAAAAATTTATTATAATTTATATTATTAATTTTTATTTTTATAGATTTTAATTTAAATTTTTACTATAAACTTTGTTTATTAAAAATAAGTTAAAAAAATAAATATTTTATATACTCCTATAAAATATAATATATTAATAAATATTGTTAAAATTTTTGTGAAATGCACTAATTTAATGTAATATTTTGTATAATAAATTAGTTTTACCTTAAAAATATAAAATTAAATTTAAAACTAATTCAACGTAAAACAAAATTTAAAACTAGTTTCAACAAAAATTATTTTTAAATCAATTAAAAAATAAAATAAAATAGTTTAAAATTCAACTCATATAATTAATTTATGTGATAGATGATAAAAAGTAGAATATATTTAAATATTTATTACTTTAATAAAATATAAAAATAAAAAATATTATTAATAAATTAAAATATACGTAAATATTATCTAAATATGTTTTGTTAATATAATAGACTAGAATACTCCTTGTATTCATATTTTATCTTTAATAAATATTGGTGTTTAATAAATAAATAAATATATATAATGTTATATTATTTATTATAAAATTTAAATATTTTTTAATATAATAATTTAATAATAATTAAAAAATAGTTATAGTATATTTTTACCATATGTAAAAATGGTTTAGAATTGATTTTAAACCAAATTTAAACCGATTTTAAAAAAATTAAAATGGATTAATTTATAATCCAATTCATATAATTGAATTTTTAATGGATCTAGATTGATTATTTGAAAATTCAATTCATGAACACCTCTATAACTAAAGATATAACGAGATAAAATAAAAGTTATTAATTGATAGGAAGTTATTTTAACTTAATATGTGATCTTAAGTTTAAATCATAATAAATATAATTGTATAAAAAAATCTAAAAATATTTATGGTCTAGAATAAAAATGTTAATTTTGAATCATTTGCACTTACAAAAATCTTGTAATTTATGAATTTAAAAAAAAAAAAGTCATAATAAATGCATGCCTTTCATATATATATATATATATATATATATATATATAATTTAAAAAGTATTTAAAAACAATAATTTTGTAAAAATATTTATTATTGAGGCAGGATCTTCTTATATTATTGTAAGTCTAAAGACTCTTACATTCGATCTAAATTTTTTATTTAATTTATATTTAACGAGTTATAATTTATTACTTCATTGATAGTTAAATATAAGTTAAATAAAAAATTTAGATTAAGTGTAAGAGTTTTTAGACTTATATTAATATAAAAATATCATTTCTCTTTATTATTTATTATTTATAGTTACTTAAAAAAGATTATAAATATTAATTTTAATATAAAAATAATTACTAATAAATATATTTAATTTAATATAAAATATAAAAATTTAAAATCAAATGTAAATTTTAAGTTTATGTTAAATTTAAATAATATTATTTAAAAAAGTTAAAATATTGTAAATAATATTAGATACATAATATAAAGGTAGTTACATGATTGAAAAGGAGAAATATAAAACAATAATTCTTAAAATGCTTTTCCAATAAATACAGCTAAAATTTATTATATAAGCAGAAATATATATTTTAAGGACAAAACTAATGATTTATTTTAATGAAAAAATACAAAATTACAATTTACAACTAATGTCTTGTGAGTTATAAGAATAAAAAGTTATATTTAAGTCAGTCTTAAAATCTCCGTCACTCCCATTGAAGACCCTAGTGGACTGAGTCACAATCTGGTGTCAACTTGGACAACGAACAAACTAAGTCGCTGATTTTTAGATTCTTACAATTAAACATTAAACATCAATCACGTTTAACTGTTCAATTAAACTCACATCCCAGATTCAGATTCCTCGTCAAAGCACCCTAATACAAAACACCCTATTACAACTCTGCGCCCCAAACACCTTCAATTGAGACTTTTTACAATGTTACAGGCACAGTATCACTGTTCCATAACAAAACATTAACCTCAACTTGTGTTCTAAAGTAATAATAAAACCGAACATTAATATTTTTTTTTTGAAAAAGGTCCACGATATTCAGAGCTTCTTCCGCGTTCCTTCCATCCCATTTCACCACTCTACACTCTACCCTTTCTTTCTCTCTCTCTCGAATCAGCTACAGTAATGAAGAAAGTCTTAACCTTGTAAACGTTACACTTTCTTCTTGTCCTTTCCTTCCGATTCAAGGGACCAAGCGCGTGCCCATTCACCCTCATGAGAATAAGATCTCACCTGGGAACCCACACTTCACGCAATGCAAGACCCCACTTCTGTTTCCGAAACTGATCACCACCATCAGCAGCACCATCACCATGAAACTGCGTCGTTCAAGCGCAGCAACCGTTCTAAGCGACCCGTGTTCAAGGTACTCCCCGGTCAGATCGCGTTCCGCTTGGTATGCCACGCGTCCATCGTCGGTGGCTTGATCGGTAGCTCCGGCTCCATCGTGTCTCAGCTCCGGCGGGAAACGGGGTGTAAAATCCACTGCGAGGACTCGGTGCCCAGCATCGAAGACCGGGTCATATTGGTAATCGGGTCGCTTTCGCCCCGAAAAGGACTCGATTTGGGTGATGGGGAGGTTGAGGTTTCGAACGCGCAAGAAGCTGTAGTTAGGGTTTTTGAGAGAGTTTGGGAACTTGAGGCCGAGAAAGGGTTTAACGTTAACAAAGGCGTGAACGGCGAGGTTTTGTGTAAATTGCTTGCGCACACTTCCCAGATTGGTGCCGTTGTAGGCAAAGGAGGGAAGAACATAACCACTATTAGGAACACTAGTGGCGCCAAAATTAGGGTTTGCCCTCCTCCACAATGTGCTTCTAAAGACGAGGAGTTAGTTCAAGTGAGTTTTTTTTTTTTTTTTTTTTTCTGTTATTGTTGTTATAATTGGAAAGAATAACGTGTTAAATTTTTAATGGTCAACGCCTTCGTTATTTTTGTTGCTTGCCAGGGACCTTGTTTCTTAAATGCCGTATTGCTTAATTTGGAATGGAAATCATATTAGAATGTGTGTGAGAGTGAATTGGGATTTCTGTTTGAGATTGTGGGCAAGTGAATGTGATGTGTCACTCTGTCAAATGTCAATATTGAATTTGATTTTCTAGTAGCGCAAATTGTCGTTTCATTTTTCTTGCAATATGGGAACCTTTTTTTTTTTTGGTTCCTCCATCGTGATTTCATCCGATGCTATTAGTGAATACGTGGTTTTCGTGTCAACGCGTGCCCTTCATTTCTGGATATAGTTTTGGGTCCTACACTCTATTAAATACTTTCAATTGTTTTTAAAAATTGTGTGTTAAATGTTTTTTCTATTTTTTGATACAATAAGTACTATGGACTTCTTTTTCCTTTTACCAATAAATCCCTATAATTTTCAGGGGGTGGGGGATTTAAAATTGCAAGAAAAGGAAAGTTAGAGATCCTAGTTCCATATCTAGAATTTCTTTTCATGAACTTCCAAAAAAAAAAATCAGTCACTTGTCATTGAAAAATGGCTTGAAATTTTTTTCTTTATCTGGGAACTTGTTTAATTGGCAGATAACTGGTGGAATTTTGGCTGCAAAGAAAGCATTAATTGCTGTATCTCATTGTCTTCAAGATTGTCCGCCATTAAGCAAAGTTCCAGTTTCTTTTAGCACACCAACTGTTAGCTCGTCTGATAGGTCCTCCTCTGATCCAAATGCTGAACTATTTCCTCATCTTAATTCATTGTTACCGTCCATGGAGGGTTTATCTATGCATGATGCTCCCAAACAGACAACTAACTCTAATGAAACCTCTAGTCGCGATTCAAAAGGTACAGAACAGCAAGTTGTGTTCAGGATCCTTTGTTCTAATAATGTAGCTGGGAGTGTGATTGGCAAAAGAGGGGCTATAGTCAGAGCTCTGGAAAGTAAAACAGGTGCTTCCATTATCTTTGCAGCTCCTTTAAGTGAGTTTGCAGAGCGCATAGTCACCATTTCTGCTATAGAGGTTAGTCATGTGATTGTTGCACTATGCTGCTACTGTCTCACCTCATGCTCTTAGTATTGTCAGTTTTTTTTTTTTTTTTTTGGTGCCATCTTTCTCGTGTGTTCATGCAATGACATATAATCATACATTTGATAGATCTGCTTGAAAACACATTCTGGTTTACCATAATTGGTATTGTTGATTTAGAACTGGCTTATGTTCATCCAGAACCTTGAATCTTGTTATTCTCCTGCACAAGATGCTGTTACACTTGTCTTTGCTAGAATTATCGAAGATCAAATTGGAAAGGGTTTTCTCCCAGTATCGAGTATGGAATCACCTGTAACTGCGAGGCTTTTAGTTGCATTAAACACAGTAAATTGCTTGGGTGGCGGTGAAGGTCAGTTGATTTCAGAACTGAGAGAATCAACTGGTGCTGATATACAAATATTGCATGGGGAGCCAGTTCCAAATGGTGCTTCAGATAATGATGTGGTGGTGCAGGTACACTTATTTATTTAATCTAATTCAAGTCTCAAATGTAGAAAACAGTTGACAAATATTCTTGGCTAGAAGCTCTGCCCAACTTATTGAAATTAATTTTAATATTACATAGAAAATATTCATTACATCTGATGAAAAAGCAGTCCTCATTTGTTAGTTTCTTTCAGGAACCACCTGTGTGTCATTGTATTGTATGTATACTTAGTATGCAATATCTTTCCAATCTTTGTTCCATCTACTTAGTGATTGGTGTAGTTTGATGCTTTTGTCTACCGATCTAGGTTTAAGGTTAGGCATTAACTGATAACAAATATTTTATTTTGTTGCACTGGGTGACTATTGAGGCATTTGAGCGCTCAGAATAGACTTGGTTTCTTATTATGACTCCAACATTCTTTTGTTCCTGTACCATTGTCAAGATTGAACTTAAGAGAGAGAGGGATTTCATGCAGATCACTGGAGGGTACCAATGCGTACAAAATGCCCTATATAAAATCACTTGTAGAATCAGGGATAATCTTCTGCCAAATGAGGTGGTTGCTGAGGCAAGAAAGAAATTCAATTGGAAAGTGAATACGGATCCTGTAAAGGGTAATTCTTTTGGCCGTGGAAGATCTGCTTTTCCTTCTGGGAGGTTTCTGCCGAAGGTATTCTTCTATTACAACTCTTTCTTGTTCTTCCAGGGCTCACAGGATGAGATTGCTTAGGAGTTTGTATATTTGCAGAATGCAGGGGTGCATGCTGAAACAATATCACAAAATGGAGAATCAAATACAGATTTAAGTGAGAATTCGGAACGTGGGAGGTCAGTATGATGCAGGACCGAATACATGTTTATCTTTGCTGTTCTTTCCCCTTTTCCCTTTTCTTTCCTGTTTTGGGAAAGTTGTTCTCCACTATATAGTTAAACGTTTTTTCTTGCCCTAAAAATTTCTCTTTGGAGAACTGTTTTGTTTTTTGCGACAGTGATCTTAGAATTTATGGATTAATCGTATGTGGTACTAGGGAAATAAATGCAGCAGATAGGCACATCAACAATATAGCTAGAAGTAGAATAATAGGATTTTATGATTGATGGTATTTATTTTTCAATTTTCATTAAATAAAAAGCTTAATTACACTTTTGGTTCCTTTAGTTTGAATATAATTTTGGTCCCCAATTTTTTTTTTTTGGAGTTAATTAAGTTTTTCTTTACTTTAAAATACATTAAGTCTCCGGGTTGATTTTTTCTTTTGCCTAAAACTTTAGCATTGTTATTTTTAACTCAAAATCTTTATTAATTGAATTGATTAAATTCCCTTCTATTCAAATTAATCAACTAAAATATTCAAACTATTCAAACTCTATTTTCACATCTTAAAAAAATTTTAAATTTTATTTTAAAAATTGTTAAGTTTTCACTAAATTTCTGAATGTCGACCTTTTAAGATGTGCTTTGATATATAACTTATTTAATTACTTATACTATACAGTTCTTTTTAAACAATGATTTATACTACAAATTTAAAGATAAAATTTATAGGATAAGCTGAAAATAATTTATTTTCATAAATTATATTAAGAAGCTACAAGCTAAAAATGACTTATAAAATCATAAATTGTTGATTAGCTCTTTCATATATGTCTTTAATATTATTTTATGTTTGAATTTCATTACAAATCACCTATAAATTTAGATAAAAAATAAAAAATTGAAGGTTTAAGTAGAACTAAATTTGTGTAATATTTTAAAATAGAAAGATTTAATTAGCTAAAAAAAAAGTTGAGTAACTAAAATCACACATATTTCAAATTAGAAGGGTCAAAAGTGTAATTAAGCTATTAAAAAAAAGATTTACTTGCGTTTGGAAGAACTTATGGAGAGCTTGTGAAAATAGCTTTAGTTTATAATTCTCTAGTAAACTTTTGAATATAACTTGTGTAAAAAAGTTCTTTTTAACTTAATTTGATAAATTTCACGATTAAATTCATGCATAAGCTTTCATGTGAAAAAAAATATTAAATAAACATTTAATTTAACTTCTTACCCAAAGGCACCTTTATGTAGGTCGCATTATCATATACACATTCAATTAGTAAAATCTTTAAATTCCTAATTATTTGATGTTGAACCCAATGGCATAATATATTTAGGAAGTCAATAAAATAAGTAACACAGTGCTGGAGAGATAAAATATTTCAATTTGTTAAGACATCTCAACCTCCGTGCTTGTTGAAATACTTTGGCAGAGGAAACATGCTTGCTACTGTGACAAATACTACTGTGGAGATTGTAGTTTCTGAACACGTCTTTGGTTCTGTTTATGGTGAAGATGGTGGCAATTTGGATCGAATCAGACAGGTGCTTAATTATTCCCTTTAGAAAGATATGGTGGATTATTAATTGTGAATTTTGGTTGGGTGGTCGTGTTTTCTTCTGAGATTTATTGTGATTTGATTCCATTTTGTTACATTTGTTGCATTGAGGTAATATTTGGTTTATTTGCGCTATGATAAATTTATTGGCCATTATCTAAGTTTAGCTTGGTCTTCTCATGTATGTATATGTACTGATCAACATGGAATCAAAACTTTATAGAAATTACGGACATTCTTTTAACATTGAATAAATAGTTATCGATAATGTTGAGAATTTCATGATCATGATTCTATATATTTTTTCCCAAGACTGTATAAACAGCAGAAAATTCTGTGCTATAATGTATTTTCTACTTGGGTTATATGCACATGAACATATTTGTCCACTGGATATTACCAAATTCAGATTCATAGTTTGGTACACTTAAGAGCAGTGTTATGTGACCAGATTTCAGGGGCAAGTGTAACAGTATACGATCCTTCTGTTGGTACAAGTGGAGGGAAAGTTGTGATATCTGGGACACCAGATCAAACCTTTGCAGCGCAGAGCTTGCTTCAAGCCTTCATTCAAACTGGACAAGTGAGCTGATGGAAAACCTGAAAGCTGCATTTCATCGTCAGTTAGGGCCATAAGTGGTGTATATAGTTACGTCACACGACAACCTTCACATTGTTAATATGGATTCACTGTTTTCTAATTTCCTTTAAGATTTTTTATGCTTACCTCCTATAGATTACAAACACATATTTTGTTCTCTCTATCTCTCTCTCTGTTTAAAGATTCACATGGTATCGTTTTGCTCCAAGACCCATTTATAAAAATTCATCCTCATCTTTTTTTTTCTTTTTGCTATTGATATTTATTTTCGTGATTTGATATACTTAAATTTAACAATTAGTAAACTATCCTCATTTTACTAAGAAATGAAACAAATCAAAGTGAAAATCTGTTACAAGATGAAGGTAGAGATACATTTCGACTTGTTCTATGACCGAAGTGGAATATATATTTGGATTTACTTAGTCTGTTTAAAGATTCACATGGTATCGTTTTGCTCCAAGACCCATTTATAAAAATTCATCCTCATCTTTTTTTTTCTTTTTGCTATTGATATTTATTTTCGTGATTTGATATACTTAAATTTAACAATTAGTAAACTATCCTCATTTTACTAAGAAATGAAACAAATCAAAGTGAAAATCTGTTACAAGATGAAGGTAGAGATACATTTCGACTTATTCTATGACCGAAGTGGAATATATATTTGGATTTACTTAGTCTGTTTAAAGATTCACATGGTATCGTTTTGCTCCAAGACCCATTTATAAAAATTCATCCTCATCTTTTTTTTTCTTTTTGCTATTGATATTTATTTTCGTGATTTGATATACTTAAATTTAACAATTAGTAAACTATCCTCATTTTACTAAGAAATGAAACAAATCAAAGTGAAAATCTGTTACAAGATGAAGGTAGAGATACATTTCGACTTGTTCTATGACCGAAGTGGAATATATATTTGGATTTACTTAGTCTGTTTAAAGATTCACATGGTATCGTTTTGCTCCAAGACCCATTTATAAAAATTCATCCTCATCTTTTTTTTTCTTTTTGCTATTGATATTTATTTTCGTGATTTGATATACTTAAATTTAACAATTAGTAAACTATCCTCATTTTACTAAGAAATGAAACAAATCAAAGTGAAAATCTGTTACAAGATGAAGGTAGAGATACATTTCGACTTATTCTATGACCGAAGTGGAATATATATTTGGATTTACTTAGTCTGTTTAAAGATTCACATGGTATCGTTTTGCTCCAAGACCCATTTATAAAAATTCATCCTCATCTTTTTTTTTCTTTTTGCTATTGATATTTATTTTCGTGATTTGATATACTTAAATTTAACAATTAGTAAACTATCCTCATTTTACTAAGAAATGAAACAAATCAAAGTGAAAATCTGTTACAAGATGAAGGTAGAGATACATTTCGACTTGTTCTATGACCGAAGTGGAATATATATTTGGATTTACTTAGTCTGTTTAAAGATTCACATGGTATCGTTTTGCTCCAAGACCCATTTATAAAAATTCATCCTCATCTTTTTTTTTCTTTTTGCTATTGATATTTATTTTCGTGATTTGATATACTTAAATTTAACAATTAGTAAACTATCCTCATTTTACTAAGAAATGAAACAAATCAAAGTGAAAATCTGTTACAAGATGAAGGTAGAGATACATTTCGACTTATTCTATGACCGAAGTGGAATATATATTTGGATTTACTTAGTCTGTTTAAAGATTCACATGGTATCGTTTTGCTCCAAGACCCATTTATAAAAATTCATCCTCATCTTTTTTTTTCTTTTTGCTATTGATATTTATTTTCGTGATTTGATATACTTAAATTTAACAATTAGTAAACTATCCTCATTTTACTAAGAAATGAAACAAATCAAAGTGAAAATCTGTTACAAGATGAAGGTAGAGATACATTTCGACTTATTCTATGACCGAAGTGGAATATATATTTGGATTTACTTAGTCTGTTTAAAGATTCACATGGTATCGTTTTGCTCCAAGACCCATTTATAAAAATTCATCCTCATCTTTTTTTTTCTTTTTGCTATTGATATTTATTTTCGTGATTTGATATACTTAAATTTAACAATTAGTAAACTATCCTCATTTTACTAAGAAATGAAACAAATCAAAGTGAAAATCTGTTACAAGATGAAGGTAGAGATACATTTCGACTTATTCTATGACCGAAGTGGAATATATATTTGGATTTACTTAGTCTGTTTAAAGATTCACATGGTATCGTTTTGCTCCAAGACCCATTTATAAAAATTCATCCTCATCTTTTTTTTTCTTTTTGCTATTGATATTTATTTTCGTGATTTGATATACTTAAATTTAACAATTAGTAAACTATCCTCATTTTACTAAGAAATGAAACAAATCAAAGTGAAAATCTGTTACAAGATGAAGGTAGAGATACATTTCGACTTGTTCTATGACCGAAGTGGAATATATATTTGGATTTACTTAGTCTGTTTAAAGATTCACATGGTATCGTTTTGCTCCAAGACCCATTTATAAAAATTCATCCTCATCTTTTTTTTTTCTTTTTGCTATTGATATTTATTTTCGTGATTTGATATACTTAAATTTAACAATTAGTAAACTATCCTCATTTTACTAAGAAATGAAACAAATCAAAGTGAAAATCTGTTACAAGATGAAGGTAGAGATACATTTCGACTTATTCTATGACCGAAGTGGAATATATATTTGGATTTACTTAGTCTGTTTAAAGATTCACATGGTATCGTTTTGCTCCAAGACCCATTTATAAAAATTCATCCTCATCTTTTTTTTTCTTTTTGCTATTGATATTTATTTTCGTGATTTGATATACTTAAATTTAACAATTAGTAAACTATCCTCATTTTACTAAGAAATGAAACAAATCAAAGTGAAAATCTGTTACAAGATGAAGGTAGAGATACATTTCGACTTGTTCTATGACCGAAGTGGAATATATATTTGGATTTACTTAGTCTGTTTAAAGATTCACATGGTATCGTTTTGCTCCAAGACCCATTTATAAAAATTCATCCTCATCTTTTTTTTTCTTTTTGCTATTGATATTTATTTTCGTGATTTGATATACTTAAATTTAACAATTAGTAAACTATCCTCATTTTACTAAGAAATGAAACAAATCAAAGTGAAAATCTGTTACAAGATGAAGGTAGAGATACATTTCGACTTATTCTATGACCGAAGTGGAATATATATTTGGATTTACTTAGTCTGTTTAAAGATTCACATGGTATCGTTTTGCTCCAAGACCCATTTATAAAAATTCATCCTCATCTTTTTTTTTCTTTTTGCTATTGATATTTATTTTCGTGATTTGATATACTTAAATTTAACAATTAGTAAACTATCCTCATTTTACTAAGAAATGAAACAAATCAAAGTGAAAATCTGTTACAAGATGAAGGTAGAGATACATTTCGACTTATTCTATGACCGAAGTGGAATATATATTTGGATTTACTTAGAATATGTTCGGTAATTTATAATTTTTTTAGTAAATTAACAGAGTTGTTTAGTAAGTAGAAAATAAAGAGTTTACGACATTTGAAAGTTAATTTATGGATTTGTTTTAGTAATATTCGGTTCACTAAAATCAATTTTTAGTAATTATTTATTTTATTTTTAACCTTTTAAATAATTTATATTTACCAAAAATGTTAACATTTTGTTTTTAGTTATTTAACATATTTTATTTAGTTACGCAATTAATTTTATCAATTATTCTAATTCAATTAGCTAATGGGAAAGTGTAAGCTTTTAATTAACTTGATAGTTATAAGCTATAAACTATAAAGTTTTAATTAATTTTATCAAATAGAATCTTAATTTTTAGCATATACTTATTCTATTAAATATTTTTTGACATTAAATTTTATCAATTGATTATTAGATTAAAAGTCTTAGTATATTAAGTGTAAGGTTTTCTTTAATATTTAAAAAATTAATTAATACTTCGTTAATTACTTTAATGACTTAAATTATATTTTAATAGTCAACACATAGTAGTCTAAGTGATAAGGAGTGTATTTCTCATTAACATTTTAAGTATAAATTTTGTAGATGAAAAAAATAATGCATTAGAAGAGCTTAAACTAGGAGCAACTTCACATAAGTGGGTTCCCTGAATAGATTTTTTTTTTTAATCAAAAGTTGATGTGATGTTTAAATAATAAAGGTTTTAGGAATTTTTTTAATGTGTTATTTTTCCAAAAGTTGAAATACTATACATTTTTAACTATAATTTTTATTATATTTGATAGGAAATTTATTACGACTTCTATAAGATTTTTAAATTACACAAAATTGAAAGAAATCATATATATCTGAAAAATGTATAGGATTACGATTATTTTATTTAAAATAAAATTCGAGAAATTATTTGTCAAAACATAAAATACCAATGAAAATTTATAAAAATCGAAAACATTCTCATTTGACCCTTATATTACATATGTCAAATAATAATTTAGTGCGTTGAAATTCAAGGACATATGTATAGACGAATAATTTTGTGAGGGAAAAAGCATGGTTTAATCAGTAGCAGCTTCACAAACCTCAGGTTAACTTGTCGTTTTTATTTTCTTCATTTTATTTTAAAAATATATTGAAGAAGAAAATAACATGAAAGAATGAATTTCTATTCTTCTCTGATCGCACAATGCGCACACACGAAATCCTTAACTGCCCTCAGAGCAGTTCACGCCAACGTCATCAAATCCGGTTTCTCGTACTCGTTGTTGGGACACAAGCTCATTGATGTCTACATCAAATGTTGTAGCCTTGCTGAAGCACGCAACTTGTTCGACGAATTGCCCAACAGACACATAGTTACTTGGAATTCGATGATATCTTCTCATGTCAGCCATGGGAAGAGCAAAGAAGCCGTTGAGTTCTATGGCAACATGCTTGTGGAGGGTGTTTTACCTGATGCTTACACCTTCTCAGCTATCTTTAAGGCTTTTTCAGAGTTGGATCTTCTATGCTATGGCCAGAAGGCTCATGGGTTGGCTGTGATTTTGGGTTTGGAGGTGTTGGATGGGTTTGTTGCGAGTGCCCTTGTTGATATGTATGCCAAGTTTGATAAAATGAAGGATGCCCATTTGGTGTTTGATCGTGTTTTGGAGAAAGATGTTGTCTTGTTCACTGCATTGATTGTGGGCTATGCTCAACATGGTCTTGATAGGGAAGCTTTAGGGGTTTTTGAGGATATGGTCAATAGGGGAGTCAAGCCTAATGAGTATACTCTTGCTAGTGTCTTGATTAGTTGTGGTAATCTAGGGGGTTTGGTTAATGGTCAGTTGATTCATGGTCTTGTTGTTAAGTCTGGTTTGGAATCTGTTGTTGCTTCACAGACTTCACTTCTTACCATGTATTCAAGATGCAGTATGGTTGAAGATTCTATAAGGGTGTTTAATCAGCTTGATTATGCAAGCCAGGTGACTTGGACATCTTTTGTTGTGGGTCTTGTGCAAAATGGGAGAGAGGAGGTTGCCGTGTCAATATTCAGGGAAATGATTCGCTGTTCAATAAGTCCAAATCCTTTCACATTGTCCAGTATTCTTCATGCATGTTCAAGCCTTGCAATGCTTGAAGTAGGGGAACAAATCCATTCCATAATCAAGAAACTAGGATTAAATGGAAATAAGTATGCTGGTGCAGCACTGATTAATTTGTATGGAAAATGTGGAAATATAGGCAAGGCAAGGTCTGTTTTTGATGAGTTAAGTGAGTTAGATGTAGTATCCATCAATTCAATGATCTATGCTTATGCCCAAAATGGTTTTGGGCATGGGGCACTTCAGCTGTTTGAAAGAATGAAAAAACTGGGATTTGCGCCAAATAGTGTGACATTTATCAGCATTCTCTTGGCATGCAACAATGCAGGGTTAGTTGAAGAAGGCTGTCAAATATTTGCCTCCATTAGGAATAATCACAATATTGGATTGACAAGAGACCATTTTGCTTGTATGATTGATTTGCTAGGAAGAGCAAGGAGACTTGAAGAGGCTGCAATGTTGATAGAGGAAGTGAGAAATCCGGATGTGGTACTATGGAGGATACTTCTAAACGCATGTAAGATTCATGGAGAGGTAGAAATGGCAGAGAAAATTATGAGAAAAATCCTTGAGCTTGCTCCTGGGGATGGGGGAACTCATATCCTCTTGACAAATCTTTATGCTTCAGCTGGCAAATGGAGTCAGGTGATTGAGATGAAAAGCACAATAAGAGATCTGAAACTGAAGAAAAGTCCTGCAATGAGTTGGGTTGATGTTGATAGAGAGGTGCATACTTTTATGGCAGGAGATTTATCTCACCCAAGAGCTCATGAGATTTTGGAAATGTTGCTTGGATTAATAGAGAAGGTTAAAACTTTGGGTTATAATCCTGATACCAGGTTTGTGTTGCAGGATTTGGATGAAGAGAAGAAGATGAGTTCTTTACATTATCACAGTGAAAAATTGGCTATAGCTTTTGCTTTATGGAAGACTATTGGTAGGACTACTACCATCAGAATTTTTAAGAATATTAGAGTTTGTGGTGACTGCCACAGTTGGATAAAATTTGTTTCTTTACTTACTGGGAGGGATATTATTGCTAGAGATGCAAAGAGATTCCATCATTTCAAAGGAGGGCTATGTTCCTGTAAAGATTATTGGTAAATCACATTTGTTATCTTCTATTCTTAGCCCCTCTAGATGTGCCACTCAGACACATGTCTGTCTTAACTAGTCCGTGAAGCAAGGTAACCATGCATGACTATTCATCTGGACTGTTGTCTTGCCATAACTTTTTACTGTAATTATTTTTACCATCCCTTATAGATCTATGCTCAATACTTCCTTACCACCAGTCCTTTTCCCATTAGGTAAGGGTTGGTTACATGGATCAAATGGTGCTCTAGTGCTCTATTGTGACTCATGTCCATAGACAAACTATTATCTACTAAATTTTTCTTAAAGATGTATATGAAAAATAGACCAAGGAAGATCTGAGTTTAATCCTTCAGGCATTACTAATTCAATTAATTTTGTTAGATAACTGCTAAATTTGGTATTTAACTTAGTGTAGCTCTGATTCCTTTTGTTCTTTTCCCAAACAGAAACAAAGGTATATTAGGAAAGGGATTCTTATGATCATGTGTCCCCTTCTCTTTGGTTTATAATGAAATTGAAATTTATCATTATAAAGTAGTCAGTTTTAGTTAAAATAAGAGAGTTTTAAACGTAATTTTTTTTTGCATCTGCTTTTCTTTTTTGCTTTCTTAATAGAAATATCTCCTTCATCCATTTTTCTTAAGGTAATGTTGCTTTGGCCTTCATCTTCTTGCATCTGTCTCAGTCTTAAGACAACTTTGCTCTTTTTAATATTTAGATCTGTGTCTAGAAGAACAAAATTATATATTAAATGTCTCTCCTTAATAGAAATAAATTTACTTCTGATACTTTCTTGGGAGTTAGATAAGATTTCATGCAATAAATTCATGTGTGGTGCGGCTATTGATGAAAATTTTACTTTGTTTATCATTGTCTTTTGGTGGGTAGCACATCCAATGCTTTTAAAAACTAGGTTGTTCATCCAGTTGGTAAGACTACTAGTTGGACAGATTTAACTGGTAGCCAAATTAGAATTACATTAAAAAAAGATATAAGTAATTATATCACTAATACATTTATGTGGATAAGTTAAATACAACTATTTTAATCATAACACAACACAAATTTAATATACAAATATTTGTATACAAAGGAGTTCTAGTAACACACTCTTTTTTAATACACTATTATTAAATTTATTGAAAATCACAAACTTATGAGTGGAACTCATTAAATAGTTAGATTTACCTAATTCTGTGATTCTTACTAAATTTCAGTGAATAATAAAGAGTCTGTCTATTTGAAAACATGTATTGCTAAGATTTTTCTATGTATATGTTACTAAACATCAGCTATTACAGAATATACATGAAACTTAATAATGTTAAAATCCACGTGTTGCTTTATTATTAGGATAAACAATGAATTATTTACCAAGATCTTATTGTATCCTTTATTAGTCCATGTCAATCTCTTTATATTCTGACTTCTTTGACTTTATTTACACATGCAATTCCATTCCTGAATATTTGTTATCTTGATTCTGTAATCAAGGCTTGTAAAAATCTAATATGAACTTGTTATTTATTTTTATTTTTATTTCTAGTTAGTATTTTCTGTCAGTACGACCTTTCAATGCTGTTAAATGGTATTCACATATGGACTTCGGGTTTGGGCTGGGGTGATATATAGTTTGTGAAGATGGTAGATTTCTCTGTTGGTCATCCATTATTTTCATGATGACTAAAATTTTGTCCCTTTAATCTGTTTTGACTAACAGCATTATGGGGGTGACATTTCGGATTTGTAATTATACTTTGTTATGGTTAATAATGAATATGGAGAGCAAACAAAGGAGGAGTTGCTTCCTGGAGGTAGAAACCTACGTGTCACCAATGAGAATGTCATTACTTTTATTCATCTTGTAACCAACCACCGCCTGAATTTTCAAGTAAAGTTATTTTTTATAATTTGGATTGCATCTTGTTCTACAACTCAATCCATGTTTCAATTACATAATAAAAATAATTATGCTTTCAGATACACCAAACGAGATGCAGCCGCCTAGTTGAGCACTGGCATATGGTATCACGATATTGTATGATAAATTGATAATGTTAATCCCCACATCTTACAACGAGAAGTTTTTCAGTTTTCATTTAAGTATGTTTCAAGCGTTTTGATTTATAAATTGTGGAACTAAATATGATTTTGATTTAGAAAGAGATTTCCAATTGAGATTGATGATTGAGATTTATAGATATGTTTTTGAATGAGTTTGGAAGTCAATACTGGTTTTAACATTGTTTTATATTGTCATGACTGGAGAGGCGATATGTTGATAAGGGTGGCTGAGATATATGTGGAACACCTGAGAGGCAAACCCTTTGAGAGATGAAATCATAACAGGTCTAGTTGATAGGTATGCGGTAGGTACTCAGTAAGGAAAGGGCTACCCGTTGGCACCATCCCCTACAAGGAAAGGGCTATTCATTGAGGTAGGGCTCCTAAGAGGAAAGGGCTATCCATTGAGGCATTCTCACTCTTTGCGGAGGGGACTACCTAATGAGATGCAGCCGCCAAGATATAGGCTGGGCCAAGCGAGGTGGAGCCGCCTAGCTGAGTACTGACATATTGTATCACAGATGCGAGTTATGATAATTCCATGCCCACACCTTATAACATATGGTTCCCTTTTCAGTTATGATGATATTTGTATGTACACGTATTTGCATTTGGTTTCAGATTATGTTGAGTGTGGTTTCCAGTTTTCACTATGTAAACATGACACCTATATATTATACTTTGATACTGTGATAATTGTGACTTTCTAAGTTGTTATCTGCATTTGTTTTACAAGACAACCTTCCAGACATATGAGTAAATCAGTAATGATGGGAATTGACCCTTCTTGAATCTGATTAGCTGGTATTTATCGTTAATTAAGATTCCAGCATGCAATAGAACGTGTTGTAACTGTTTGGGCTACCAATATGTGGAACCTTGTCATTAAATGATGTTATTGGTGAGTACAATTAATCATTCATGAATATTCAGCATGAATTGAATCAATATCGGTAACAAAATTGCTGTATCATAGCCTACAAGTTGACATCAAGACAGGTATTGTGACTGAGTTCAATTATTGAAAATTGACCAGCAAATGTGAGTCTTTAATTTTGTGACTTCCATGATTTCTGTTGCAGGACTTGTTTAAAATCACTCTCTTATTTCTGTTGTCTGATTTTGCAAGGGTAGCTATTAGCAACTTTTACTTAACTACAAAGCCAATATGGAGTCTTCTAAGACTATGATTTGTCTTTCAGGTCCTAAAATTTTTTTACTTTAGCATTAGAGCTTCCTTTGGCCTTTTCAGAAGAGACAAGACTGTTACAGCAATGTTCTTCGCTGAAAGTCCTGCTTCTTCTGTCTGATCTTGCGGTGATCCATGCTCAATGTATTTATCAGGAAGCATCATGGCTCTCCACTGCAGGAAAAACTCAAATGAGAATCACAAGCACAAAAAACAGAGCCATGTAGTACTACTAATCTAAAAAAAAAATGATGGCAAGCGTGATCTGTCTGCATACAAGATGGTTTACCTTCAAAGGTCCATCCAGGATACCAGCTGTGCTTAGGAAATGTGAAACGTGTGATCCAAAACCTCCTATAGAACCCTCTTCCACTGTGAGGAGAAACTCGTGCTCCTTAGCTAACAGCTTAATGAGATCAGTGTCCAAAGGTTTGCAAAACCTAGCATCTGCCACTGTAACAGAAACATCTAGTGGTTTGAGCAATTTTGCAGCTTGCAGGCATTGTTGAACTACAGAACCATATCCAAAAATAGCAACTCTGCTGCCTTGTATCGGAATTCTGCCCTTTCCTATCTACATTACCAAATTTTTTATCATTTGATTACTTATCTATTCAGCAATCTGTAAAGAAAATGTCAGTTACTTATGCAAACCTCAAGTGGAATTCCTTTGTTATTGAGAGGTAAAGTGGCTCCAATTCCATTGCCTTTTGGAAATCTAAAGCAGCTTGGTCTGTCATCTATTGCTGCTGCTGTTGCAATCATGTGCATCAGTTCAGCTTCATCAGATGGAGCCATGACCACCATATTGGGCAAGCAGGCCATGTATGTGATATCAAATGCTCCACAATGGGTTGGTCCATCTGCTCCAACCAAACCAGCTCTATCCATAGCAAATCGAACAGGTAGTTTCTGAAGATCTACATCATGGACCACCTTCATACTCATTATAAATTACAAACGAGATGTTTTGTGTTAGTCAAACTGATATACAACAATAATAACGAAGGCCTTATCCCACCAGATAAGACCAATTTCAAATTGATACACAAGGAACAAAAAACCAGCGCCTGCTATTTTTGCCTACTGTTAGTGGATCACCTGATCATATCCACGTTGCAGAAATGTTGAATAGATGGCACAAAATGGCTTGAGACCTTCCGCTGCTAAACCAGCTGCAAATGTAACAGCATGTTGTTCAGCTATCCCCACATCAAAACAGCGACCTGGAAACCTTTTTTGGAAATAATTTAGCCCTGTCCCGCCGCCCATTGCTGCATGAATGGCTACTATCTTATTGTCTATTTCAGCTTCTTTAATCAATGACTCAGCAAAGTACTGTGTGTATGTAAGTGTGGACGATTTTGGTTTAAACTGATGGCCTGTTGTTGGTTCAAACTTAACAACACCTGAAAGTGTGAGAGTATGAGCCATGCTCCTCATAATTCTGTTATGACAAGACAAATAAAGTTCCATACCATGCATTCTATCGGCAGCTGCTTCTGCTGGGGGGTATCCCTTCCCTTTCTCTGTCACAACATGAATCAAAATTGGACCTGGAGCAGGCGTTGCTTTCACCTTTTCAAAAATGGTGATGAGATCTTCAATGTTGTGACCATCCACAGGTCCGATACAGTATAAGCCAAGCTCCTCAAAAAATGAAGAACCGGAACCACTGATCATACCTCTTGCATACTCATCTACCTTTGCTGCAACTTGGTGTGTTTTTCCACCTATTTGCTTTGTGATGCCCTTTAGCAGAGAAAATTGGAGTCAGATGCCGCAGTATATTGAAATTCGAACTTAAGAACTGAAACCAGGAAGTATAGTTTCGAAGAAAAGTTTGTGAAGTTTACTTTTGCAGCTTCTCTAAGATTGCGGAATTTGGTGCTTGCTTGAATTTTGCTTAAAGTACTACTGAGGGCTCCAACTGGTGTTGCAGGGCCGTCAATGGTAGCAGTTGGTAATGAGACTTGTCTGTTGTCATTAAGTATAACTATCATGTTAGCACCAAGGAACCCTGCATTGTTCATAGCCTCATAAGCTTGCCCAGCAGTCATTGCTCCATCTCCAATCACCGAGATGATGCTATTTTTCTTTCCCATTAGATCCCTTGCAACTGCCATGCCTACCTTTTTTTTGTAGTAAAAAGTTTAGAACATTTGACCAGCATCTTGAGATACAACAATTTGTACATTTGTTTCATAAAATGTATGTATTGATGTTAAAGATAATATTACCAAGACCAGCAGATATGCTTGTAGAACTATGCCCTGTACCAAAAGCATCATATACGCTTTCTTCTCTTTTAGGAAAGCCAGCTAGTCCTGAGGTTTTCCTAATGGTGTGCATCCTGGACCTTCTACCTGTGAGAATCTTGTGTGGGTATGCCTGCATTTTGATTGCTACTTAGACCCTCTTAAACAAATTAAAAGGAAAAGCAGGAACTTTATTACAAGAGCAATTTTTTTTTCACTTGAATACAATTTAAATTCCTTTTTTTTTTTAATTCTATTTGATGTATTTTAAAAATCAGGAACAAAAGAAAAAGAAGCAAAGACTGACCTGGTGCCCAACATCCCATATAATTTTGTCTTTAGGAGCGTTGAAAACATGATGCAAAGCTACTGTTAATTCCACTACTCCCAAGCTTGAGCTAAGATGCCCACCAGTGTTTGATACACTGTGTACAACAGCTGCCCTTAGCTCTGCAGCAAGTTGTTCAAGATCCTGACAAATATAGGCATAATCTTAAAGACCAAAACGGCTCAAATTAGATAAAAATAACTATTTTGATCTTATTAGTCCTGGAAATTATATGAGTTGGACATCTTAGTATTTAAAATTTTAAAAATACTTTATAAGTTCACTGATTTGCTTTGTGATGCCCTTTAGCAGAGAAAATTTTAAAATTTTGCTTTAGATCTTTTTAATACAAACCAATAATATAAGAAAATAAAATGGAAAATGACTAAAATAAATATTACCTTTGTTCTTTTTTTATATATGAAAAATAAAATTATAATTCAATAAAACTAAGAGTAGTTAATTTTATAAATCCATTCTGTATTCTAAAAATGTCAATAGAATTAAATGGTTAAATTAATGATTTATATATTAAATGAAATCTTTAACTCTTTAATTTTTTTTTTTCACATTCAAACATTTTTCTAATACTTTTTCATATTTGATTACTATGAAGTTTTAATTTTCACAAGAGTGATTTTTAAAAAAATTTAAATTGGAATATGAATTCTAAACTTAAGAGTATTCAGTTATAAATGTGGAAAGTGGTGCTTCCCGATAGAGAAATAAAATCTTTTTTAAGACTTATATTCAATCTCAAGATATAAACTACAATATAGGAAATTATACATTATAAACAAAAAGGATAAATATATTGTTTTATATATTTATTTACATTATCATGTTCTTAGAATTAATATTTTATTTAAATGTTAAAAAATTATTTTAAATCATAAGAGCTAGTTATTGAATTTTCTTTTTTGAAGAAATGAGAAACATATTAAGTATAATACTACAATGACACGAATATATATATAAAAAAAAGCCCACATATAAAAGTAATAATCACATATCAGATATAATGATAGAGTTGTATCAATTAAAAGTTTTAATGTAAAGTGATTTATTATAATAAAAATTTTATACTAAATGTTAAATATATTTTTTAAAATCATAAACCAATAATTTTTATAGATAATCTATTAATAAAGTTATATTAATATTTGTACTAATTTGATTGAGAAATAATTTTTGTTACATTTATATTATTTAACGTATAATTTTTAAGTATTTATATTGGAAACATATTTATTATCACTTTAAAAAATATATGATGATAATAAAACAATACATTTGTGTTACTTAGATTTAAAATTTAACTATTATTCTATTTTTAATTAATTAGTGTTGCTTTAATAACTTATTTTATAAAATATTAATTTTCACATATTTAAAATTTTACTAATTATTAATATTAAAATGATAAATAATCAATATCTAGTATTAAATTTTATCAAAAAAACTAAATAAATTCATAAGCAAATTTAATACTCTAATGAACTGTTTTAAAATATTTTTTAATATAATTATATTTGATATTGTTAAGTATAATAATTTTATTATAATTTAATGAATAATAAATTTATGAATTTTAAAAATTATTTTTTATATATATTTAAAACATAATTTCTTCTAATTAATTTTAAATAGACTGATATAATAAAAATTATAAACAAGTCAGTGCAACGGTGTAGTTATTAGTATATTTACTTATAAGTAATAGACGAATAACTCTTTAATATAAATATCATAATAAACAAAAATATAAAAATAATTTAATAATTTATATATTTAAAAATAGTCTATTTATAATAATTAGGAAAAAAATACTTACAGTTGTTTTTAATGTAAAAAAAGGTCAGAGATAATAATTTTTTATAGTGCTAGTAATTAGCAAAGAGTTGTTAAATTTTCCAGAAATAATGTGTCCGACTTATAGAATATTAAAGATTAATTTGAAGGTTCATTGCAGTGCCTGCCATGCACAAGTAACATTGACTTCACATGGCCTCCACATGACTAATTAATGATTGCCAGTTTTAAATGATTCACCTGTGTGGATAGATTCTTCATATGCGCAGGGTAATTGATTGTATCAAGCAATGGGGTTGCTGGTTTCTGGCCTGAGTAATTGATCTTCCACCCATCTTTCTCTTTCCTTATAACTGTTCTTTCACCATCATCAAACCTACTTGCTGATGAAGCTCTCACGCAGAACTGAAATATATGCATCACACATCATTATCATCATTGCATGGTCTTTTGTAAGAAAAAAAAAATCAAAAACAGTGATCCGTTATGAAAGCAACACATAAACATAAGAAATTATATATATATGTGTGTGTATAACACTTCGAGAAATGGCAGCTTAACGTCTTATTAACTTGTTAGAGCAAAAAATGCAATTGAAACCATAGTAAAGGGCGTATAAGGGTCTCTTGTGACACTACATAATCTAAAGATCACTCTTTATCTAACTTTAGATTCTTTTCTTTTTTTTTTGCATACAGAGGTCGTAAAACTCTTTTGTAAGGAAAAGAGATGTATACGTGTGATTCACCGACCTGTTTTTGGTAACCATGGTTAGTTTTATGACATGGGAGAAGGGTGTGGATTGGCATAACGATGGTGCCGCAGAAAGCCATGGCTTTTTAAGATAGTGAGAAAGAAGGGGGGGAAAGGGTGTGTCTTACACGAAGAGGAGAGACAAGACAAAGAACCGGAGCAACCTACGAGTGCGAATGCATAACGTGGTTACAACTGATGAACGTTGGCCCTCTCGAGAAATTTAATTTATACAATAATTTTGTGCGATGGTTTTATATAACTGTAAGAGATAAGAAAAAGAGAGATAAGTATGTAGAAAAATAAATAATGTAACATATATATATATATATATATAAGTGTGCAAAAATATAGAAAATTAAAGAATTAAAAATGCATTTTTTTAAATGTTATTAGTGTACTCTTATTATAAGTTTTAATGAATATTTATTATTTATTATTCTTTTAATCAGTGTCTATATTAGCAAGGCCCAAGTAATTTAACTCAAACCATTTCATTCTTCTTTTGCTTTGTTTAATGTGTTATATATATGTATATATAGATACAAGAAAAAATGTATAAAGTCTCGCATGTTATGACATCATTGCTTGCTTTTTGTATGTCTAGATTCAATTATTATTACTTCTTAGCAGCCGACAATTAAAAAACTGATCCTTTTAAGATATTAAAGTCATTGGAGTGTATTTTATTTTTTTAATAAAGTATTTTCTTTATGCACGACCAGAAAATATATGCAAACACTGTTAGGATTAGACTAGTACGTGAAACTTAAATAATTTACTAGAAGTTACAAGTTTAAATCACAATATAACCATTATATATAAAAAAAATATAATATATGGAGCATAAATTGAATTCATATGCTAAGATGTACACTTTATTTATATTTACACTGGGAGTTCATGTGTCTTTCTTAGTATTTAACTGAGTGTAAATATTCATGTGAAATAACTAGGGAATATTTAACACCATTTATTAAATAATATTAATTATTTAAAAATGTTAGTTATTTTTTTACAAGGATAACGTGACAATTCAATATTGTCGGTCAACAATATATGGATTTTACTTTTACAAGGTGAAGAGAAAAATAAAGTAGAAAAAATAGACTTTGTGTATTATTAATTTAAAAATTAATTATATTTATAAAATACTTAAAATTTTAATTGTATTATCTAATACTATGTTATTATATTGTTGCTTATTATTCTAGATTAAAGATTTAGATACAATTAAAACATTTAATCTAAATCTCGATTTGTTACAGTTTGTATGGGACGCAGTCACTACAGTCGGCGACTGCTGCCACCAATCACATCACTGATAGTGTTGACTATCCGTTTTGATGAAAGCAAATGATGGTGAAGAATCGAGTAGTTGTTAGGTGTTTTTATATTTGAGATGATTTTTGTGATGCGCATATACAAAATATATCAAAGTGAATAATAAATAAAAATAATTACATACACTATTTAATTTTTAATTACTTAGACAATAAAGCTGTTCTAAGTATGTTTGATGTCCCTGACAAGCAACAAGAGCATATTCAAGATAATTAAATGGTGACCTTTTAATTATTAAAAGATGAAAATTACATCTAAGCTCTCTAAATGAGTAATTTATAAGTGAAGATGATCCTTAGTAATTTAATTAATATCAATTAAAGTTAACAATGGTGCACGTACAATATATTAACTATCTATAGTTGTAAGAGAATTTCTTCTTCCTCTCGACACTCTTCGGATGACATTGTTTTTGCCCTTTGTCAGGTCAAACAAGACATTGTTGTTTTCTTTTACCAGTTTTCCCAATGAAAGAGACCTAAATTTTCTCACTCAAATATCTATTATATATTCTTACATAAGTTTTTAGTTCTTTTAAAAACTGTAATTTTTTTTAAAAAAAAAATTATTATTTTTTCAAGTTTTATTTTATTTTACTCTTACTTTTACACTATCCTTCTATCAAATATATGATAGATAAACTTTTATATTGATTATTAAAAAATAAAATATTCTCATGATATTTTTTATTATTAAATGGTAGTATAAAAAAGTATTATATTGTTAGTGATTTTAATTAGTTTTTTTAATGAGTTGAAGAAAATAAATTTTAATTTTTTAATGCGTGTCCAAAATTAAAAAAGATAAATTTATTATATATAAGTTTTTACTATGTATTTTTTAAACGTATATTACAAAAATTATTTTTTTACTGCTGTGCTATTTTTATATTTCATTTAATTCCTCTAAATATTTTTTAATTTTTATTTAATTCTTTTAAATTTCAAAAAATTGAAATTTAGTCTTCATAAATATCATGAATTTCTTATCTAATTTTTATTAAAAATAGAGAATAAAGTAACAAATTTATTATATTTAGAGGAAATAAATAAAAAATTAAAGAAAAAATTGTCTTGTAACCAAAAAAAAAAATGTAAAATACGTATTTTAAAAAAATTACAAATAAGAGACTAAATAAAAATCATAAGTTCAAGAAAAACCTAAAACTTAATCAAACCAAACATAGTCGCACCAACTAAAGAAATGAAAGCATCACCAGTAGTATAAGAATCAAATGTAATAAAAACTATATAATATTTTTATTTTTACATTTCACAATATTATATGGACAATGATGGTTAGAAGCAAATAAAAAATAACCGTATATGTAAGAAGCCGACGTAATGTTCATCTAATTTAATTTGTTATCAATAATTATAAAAAGGTTTTTTTATAAGATTTTTTATATAAAAAATAGCGAGAATATTATTTTTATAATTTTTAAGATTTTATTTTCTATGATATATAATTCTAAAATTGTATGTTTGTGATTTTTTTTTATCAATATACATATATTATTAAATTATGTTTATATTATATGTCTTTTTAAATTAAGAAATTTTATTAATTTTAAAATGTAAAAACTTTTATTACAATAACCAATAATAATAAACATTCTATTGTATAAAATAAAATTAAATAAATAAATTTTTGAATTAAAACAAATTTTGAAAACCTTAAAATTTAAATAACTATTTAATTATAAAAATCAATTCAATTGTAAAAAAAATAAAGGGTTAACCTCTAAAAGTGTCTTTGTTTTGAAAGATTTTAAACGATAAAATTTATAAACTTAAAATAATAAATGTTATAATTATTACTGAAGTTAAAAAATACACTATGAGAAGCTCAAATTTAAAATTAAAATTAAAATTTAATTTACAAAAAAAAAAAAGATTTCAAAATCGCTTCTATTTAAAAAAATTAAGAATATTTTTATTCAAAATGAGTACTCACAAAACATATACAAAGTTAATTTTTCTTTTATATAAAAATGAGTATTACGTGCGTACAAGAATTAATGTCCTAAACAATGGACACTCTCTTTAAAGAATTATATTTTCCAACTACAATATATTAAAATAAAACAACAATTATAACTTGTCATTAGTTAATTTTTGTTAAAGAGTTATAAAATATTAATTTTAAAATATATTAGGTACTTTTACATTTTTTATTTTTTTTTGCTCACTATGCCTTTTGTTTTAATATATTATGCTGAAAATATTTTATCCATCCATTTTCGATCTTGACTGAATTGATGAGCGTATTAAAAGTTACATGCATGACTTTATTCAGTGTCCAATCTGCCAACCGTACAGCACATAACCCACTGCTGGTGACATATTTTAATTACTCCCTCTGTTTTTATTTACGAAGGTGGCATTTATTTTAAACACTGAGCTTATTAAAGATATTAATTAAAAACCTAATAAATAAATATATTTTTTTAGTTAAAACTATAGTAAAAATGTACTATAAATATTACAGTAAATATATATATGTATATATTAATAACAATTTTTATTTCTTATACTTAATACTTTAAACATATTTATTAAATGTGTAATTTTTTATTTATTGTGATAAGGACCTAAAAAATAATTAAATGTAAGTCAACCCGGTTAAGCATTAAAGAGGAATATTTTAGTAAAGTTCTCAATTTTCATGCAATAATTTGAGATTTAATTTTGAAATTAATTTTGTGGCATTTTAAAAGTTTCATGGTGTAGTCTACAACATATGAATAATTCTTCACAATTCAATTTTGACTGGAGCTTTGTGTAAGTACAAAAGCAAATAACTTTGATATGACTTTAAAAAAATTATGATATGAAACAGTTAAAATATAAGAAGCAAAACATATGATTTGTTGAAAACATATTATTACGTAACTTGTGATACATTGGATTGTGACGTAAATGAATACGGTCCTCGTGACATGATGTGCATTTATATTTGGATTAATGAACCTTGTGATACATGCACGAATGGCATAATGAGTTATGAGATGCATGCATATTTAAAGAAATAAAACACTTTTAGAATAGGGGCCTTTTGATAACCAAACTAAATTTGATTAAGTTTGAACTAAAATAATTTAATTTACCAAATCATTAAACCATTTAGTTTAATTGTTTGGATTTAAATTATATAGTTTATTATGTTAATTTAATTTACCGTACCAAACCAATCTTTAAGAGAGAGTAGAAGGTTTTGTTTTTTTTAAGCTATTATGTATTCACAGACTATTTGATATGATAAATCAATAAATACATTTCGTTAAATGTTTCAAATTTATTAAAAAATAAGTATTAAATAGTTTTTATATTCATATAATAAATATTTTCTTTTTTATTTATTATAAACTTTCTATTAACTTCCTATATCGCATACAATCCTTTTTTATTTGATACCGATTGTTATCAAAAGGATGGATAAAGATTGGTTTAGTTCATGGCTATTGTTGTTGCATAAATTCATTCTAAATGAAACTGTATAATCTTCTGCACAATATATATATATTATTGGAAAAGATAAAATATAAATATGATTAATTGTAGTAGGTTTTTATGTGAAAAAAAGTTATGCATTTCTCTTATTAACAGATATATGTTATTATAATTTTATTAATATCATACTTAAAGCTAATTTGCATCAAATAAAAAATATTTTAATTAAAAGGATTGTTATTAAATTTTGAATACAACAAATGTTATTGTTTTAATGAAAATCCTAATTTTAATGATTTAACATTAATTTTAATGTTAGAAGTTTGCATTATACGCGTTGGGATGCAGATGAATCTATTTTATTCTTGACCCAATTTTAATATCATCAATTATTTAAACTTAACGTCAGCACAATTAAAACCACATGATATATGGAATAACACTGAATGAATCTAATTTGTTTACATCATTTTAATATTATATGTAATCAAAATTATAGAATAAAAAAATTCAATAAATTAAACATAAACAATATTAATATAAATAAATATAACATTTATTATATAAAACTAAACATAAACAATATTAATATAAATAAATATAACATTTATTATATAAAACATTATTCATTAAATTAATAGATCTTATTATTAATATATTTACTAAAAAATATAACTTTAATAAAACATTGCATATAAATTGAGTTAGAATGACTCAAAATATTATTTAAATTCATTTTAAAATATAAAATACAATTTTTAAATTCAAAATTCTTAAAACAACTTTAAATCAGATTAGTAGGATGGGATGTGTTTCTCTTCAGGAAACACTAGTCTTCAAGTTTCTATTTGGATAGGGTGACATCCTTCCGTATCTTACTAACGTTACTTGATGTGAGGAGGGTACCTGTAAAAAGCACTCAGATGCTGAAGTTAGAATTCGGTTATGAGCAATAAATATTATTTTATATTGAAAAGTTCACTCCTTACATGTACTTCCTACCTTCCTTTTATAAGTATTATTATGGGCTAATAGGCTTGCTGAGTCAGTATTAGTTTTGGCCCTTTAATTAAAGTAAATAATATTTTGATTATTATCCTTAATTGAATTAATTATTTTTTAATTTGACAAAGGATATTCAATTATATTAGACTGAAGGAGTACTCAATTATCTTTTTCTAGAGATAAGACCAAATAGTACTCTATCCCATTCAGGATAGATATTAACATCCCTACCTCCCATTGTCTTTATCAAGTATTATTGTTTCTTTTTTTAACTTTGTTACGGATAAAGAAAGAAGAACCAAACCATCGAGGCGAAGAAACTAAATGTTATTGGGAGTTGTACGTGTTTGAATTTAGTTTAAACAATTAACAATAAATTCATATTTATTTACCTGATTAAATTTACATTTATAAACTTATATATATATATATATATATAAGTGTATATTAGGAGGTGTTTCATATTTCTCAAGAGAATTTCCATCTAAGCGATGTCATTTTTTCAAAAACGTTTATTGAATAAATGCAACTCTTAAAAGATTACTAAAATGGTGTCGCCATAGCTATTTTGGTTTTAATTGCACTACTTTAGTAAAATTAAAAATAATCATTCCATTTGAGTAAAAAGCCCAGAATTATCTTCATTCTTTGCAATGTTTTTTATACGTAAGTTTGCAGAGAACTAACTGAATTTTATTCACAAATAGAAAAATAAAAATCGATTGATTTCAACAATCAATGTATGAAATGTTTTTAATATTTAATTTTGTAGAAAAGTAACTCATTATATTTAAAAATAAAGATATTATAAACAACAATTTTAAACCAAACAATAATAGATTAAATAGTCATTTTTTATTTTAAATTTAGATATACCATTAAAGTATGGATAAAAGATATTAATTATGTGATAATTAAACAAAACACTGGAAGATAAAGTATCAAATCTCCCAAAAAGTAAAACAATTTTTTTAACAAAACCACTCAAGTGTAAAGTATAATTTACATCATTATATGTTATATTGGTTTAAACACTTTAGGACTCTCTATTTGGAATACTAGCTAAACACATAAATCTAAATAAATTAAAAATTAAGAGTATATAGATTTGTTTCTCTTTTTTTAAAAACATTTTTCTGTTTTTAAAAATAAAATGTAGTACAAATTTATATTATATTATATTTTTAAAAATAAAAAACTGTTTTTAATAAGAGAAACAAACATTCTCTAAATTTTACATCCATTCACTAATGCATTTAAGACCCCCTCCAGATTTTGCCAAACCAAGATCATGTAGCCAATCAAAAAAGGAAACAAGCGTAAGATTGTGTTGGCATTAACCGGTGATGATCAAGTATACCCATTTCAATCACCATGAATATCGGTACTGTCGTGTAGTGGTGGAACTTCCCAATTGCTAGATTTCACGAGTGAGAATCATTTCTAGCACTTCTCAAATAATATTATGTTAGTCGTTTAAGTTTGCCAGGTTTAGTTCCTTCCCTTTACCTTTTCCATCAAATGTTAAGGACTCCAAAGCAAAAACAATAACCTACGAAACCTATTATTTCCGCTCAGATCGCTAATGTACTGTGAGATCAAGTGCACGTTATTGATTTATATCATAAACTGTTATAGGATAACTAAAAGTATAATCAGACCAAGAAAAAATTGATATTTTAAAAGTGACCGCGAGCCTCTATAGACGTAATAAAATGCTTACTTTATCTAAGTATTTTGACGCACTTGTATGTTTTGGTATAAAGGTTTAAAAATAAAACTGAAAACAATTATAAAATGCAAAAGGGCATTGAAAATATGTATAATGTGCTTAACAATGTTTTACTCGAGTATAGGCTCTTAGATGACCACATCTAAACAGCGATGTCTATGCTAGGTATGACCTATACCAGTCCAGTGTTGTTGCAGACTCATCATTAGGAATGGAGTTAACCAAACCAAATCAAGAAACATTCATGTGGAGCCCTCAAAGGTAAGTCATTTTACATACACAATTATTCTGTCAAAACACCTTCTTAACTTAGACATCATAGTATTTCTTGCAAAAATTCCCTCCTTATTCAACCATTATTGGCATCACTACTAAGATCACCGTAGACCTCTGTCTCAAAACAATATCACCGTTGTTTGAAGGCAACACCAAAATAGCAACTTTACATCAAAAGAATATTCTTGCAAGGAACACACAATTTTCAAGAAAATTCTTCACAAAATAAAACACTCTTACACCTCCACAAAGCTCAGACAGACTCTCACATGCCAATTATTTAACCAACGATTAATAATACATCAGACGTATTGGATTGCCGATAACTAAACTCATTTAAAAAGAACAAAGAAAACTTCAACCAATCTAATTCATAGTTAAATACAGTTGTTATAGTTGAAAGCCGAACCAACCCCCGTTCAAGTTAGTTTTGGATTTTGAACAGCCCTAACGATTGCACCTGCCTTAATTCAATAGCCTTGGCCATGTAGTAGTTTCAATGCAACAAAGAGCCTCAACACAAACAAATAACAAATAAACGAAATGTTGTGGGTGCAAGAATATTGAAAAACCAGCTGTTATATAAAAAACTGTACTTAGCTATTTACAGTGCTCTCTTGATTGCTAAAACTGTAGGTTGTATACAAAACGAGTGTCTTAGAGTGTGAGTCTTAAAATCAGTATTTGATCGTGTGATGGCGTAACCAGAGGTCATACATAACCATATGGAAAGCATCGTGTCTGATTGGGGGCGAATTCCATTGGAAGTGTCTCTGAATCTGATAGAACATGAAACAACTTTGTGAGCTCCAGCATATCAACAAATAATTCAACATAGTTCCAGAAAGAAAAATACAAAAAGTTTAACTTGTAGAGTTCAAAGTTCCATTTAGTTCCTTGTTTTAGGGGAATCAAATGATAAATTCATAATATTTATGAGGATCAAGTGAGAAACTCGTAATCTTTAAAGGAACTAAATGGCAAAAAATAAAATCACAAGAGAACCGTTTGACAGAGAAAAACATATTATGAAGGATTTGTTTGGGAAAAATGAAAATGGAAGAACCAAATTGTGAAATTTTTATGGACTAAAAACTTAATTAGCTGCTAAAATATAATATTGATTCCACATAACGTAAAGAGAGGGTTTATACCTTTACTAAATTATTATGAAGTGCAACAAACTCAGCATCCGATATATTTTTGAGGATTTGTTTAAGCTGGTATACATCACTCTCCTTGAGTACGACAGCAAATTTGTTCCAGTCAAGAATATCATTAAAAGGAAGGTCATAATAATTTGACAATATAACTGCAAAACAACATTTACAACTTTAGGTTAGTTACAAGGTTGCCTACATACATCCCCTGTCCCAAAAGGCAGAACATCAAAATCAAAATCTTAAACATGAAACAATAACTCATTCAGACCAAGATACAGTTCACATGTCACTCACAATATCCAAAATATACTTCTGAGATTCAGAGCAAACATATTGGCCAAAGTCCAAGTGTATGTGCAATATGTTTAGGTAGCTTCTACTGAATTTAACCTTCATTATCACCCTCCAATAAAGTACCTCAACCTTAGCTAATGACTAAGGGGTGGAGTTTTGGTGGAAACTCCTAAATTTGATCCCTAGGATCTTGTATTCCACAACCCAACCCCCACTACCTCCAACAATAGAAGAGCTGCACCAATTCTTCATTCCAATAAACAAATCTGCCTTTTCAAATTGAACTGTATATGTATATAGTAGAAGCTTATCAATTAACTGTTTATCAAACCACCATATTTCAGAGACTAAATCATCATCCCTCAATAAAGTTGCAATTCCATTCTTATGAGTGATAAAAGCAACCAAAGATTAATCAGTCTAGACAAGGATATGATCTGGAAATGTTTCTTAATAGACACCATTTAATTCATATTTTAACACAAAAACAAAGGAACAGGGGCATCTAACACCAATACAAGAATTATGCAAGGCAAATCTACCAATCTCATATCATCCATGCAAGGTAATAAGTATTCTGTTTATATATACCAGCGGTTTTAGCTTATAAGATGCTTACTGTGAAACATAAAAGCAAAGAGAGGGGGTGTTCATTAGAATGGATGATCTTACCAGGGATGCACCCATAATGGATCGAGTCTGCTATTCGAGCGCTATTAACCTGTGATCCACCAGGACAGATACAAAACTTACTTCTGTAAAATCTCTTCTGGTACACTAGATGCCCAGTGGCCCTACTAATTCTATTGTTTGAAATATCAAGTTCTGTGTCATTTTCCCACACACGTGCAAGAATCACTCTAATTTTAGAGTTACGATGACCAGCCCAAAATCCAAGAGTAGTCCTGCATAGCACAAATTAACAAATTTGCAGAATGAATAAATGAGCACGTAGAACCATTGTCTATTGATCTTACAGAACAAGCTAGGTATCACTGCACCAGAAAAATTTACTACGCTTATGAAATAAATCATCTAATTATCCCTATCAACTCTGTTGCTTGAAACATTGAATTCTCTATTACATTTACATACTATTTTACATGAAATGAATCATATGTATTAAATATGAGGTTCTTGAATAGGATAGCAAGACTGAAACCCAGAAAAGCATTTCATAGCAATATGAAGATAATAAATTGTCACAAAAATCACCAACATTTAGCATATCATTGGTTCTTTGAGTATAACAGTTGAACCAGGTTACTAGAGACTGAAATGAAACTGTGGAATACTATAGAAACTAAAGTTGCTCAGAAATATCAAGAAATTTCCATCATTCTTTTCAAGTGACCATAAAAGCTTAACAAACAATCCAAAAGGCAGGATAATAAGTAACATAACAACAAAATCTGATTGCCAAAACCTAATACCAAATTACCAACTGAAGCAGCAGACATCTAAAAAAATTGCACCTGTTTTCCATATCATTCCCTCCAGCAGGAAGAGCAAATGGCTGCAGTACTTGAGGGAGAGCAACATCTTTGTGCGGAATGAACCCAACATCATAGCTGGGGGAGCACACTGCTCGAATAGAATTCTTTACTAGAAACTGAAGTCCTTCTGTTGCCCTCACACCAACGTCATGACAAGTGACAAAGAAGTGATCAGCACCCAAAGTTCTGTTCCAATAAGGATATTTGTATATTAAGCTCTCCACGTAATTCTGGACAATTACAGTCATATTCTCATAAGACGTGCCCTGCACAACACACAACAATGAGACCACATCCCACCCATAAACACACTTAACCATCCAAGCCAAACACTGTCAATCTTTCCTTTTCACTTATTACTATCTCCAGATCCTATTTACAAAAAACAATTATCAATATCTTTTTGTCTTAATTATAAGAATTAAAGACTCATTTCAGGTATGTTAATTGTTAAATTCTTTTTATACTTTTATTTATTTTGAGATTTGTGTTAATGAAACATTTATCCATTATCCATATAAGTGAATGTATACATTTATTCAATATATAAGTCACTAATCAGACCGTTTAATATAGGTATTTCTAAAATATAATATAAATTTATAACATATAACTTCTTTTTATTAGTCTTGATGAATTAGTTATTTGATTCTTATAAATATAAGGGTCTTACTACAAGGGCACTGGTTAAGGAATCGAAAATGGAAGGGTTTTAGTAAAAATTATATCAAACTGCCTGAAAATAATGGGAAGAGTGCATTAATAACATTTCAAACATTTTTTTTTTTTACTTTTGATTTCTTAACCAATGCTCTTAAGCCACTAATTAGCATTTGACTTAATATATATGAGAGGTATTACTACCTTTTTTAACTAAGAATCCAAAGTAACCTATACATAGTTCCAACTCACTAACTGTACCATTGCCTCTAGCAGCAAAAAATAAAAATAAAAAAATACCTCCTTAGATCTCACACCACACAACTACCTTGGAATGCAAATAGGGGAAATAGTATACCTTGCCACGCATCTTGTGACATGAAATGGGAATGAAGAAGAGGTGTGCCTGATCGGGATTTAGGGTGCGGAAGTGACTCTCTCTAATATTTTGGAAGAAATAGCCCTCACTAGCATACTTTCCTGTGAGCTTCCTCGGAGTCTGGTAGAACGTGTTGGGATCCCCATCAGGGTATATATACACCTTGAAGTTCTTCTCCATTTCCTCGAAGTTCAGCTTGAACACGCGCGGCGAGTGGTACACATCCCAAAACTCCTCTCCATCCTCTTCTTCGCTTTGCACATCGTTCAGCTTCGCAACCGAAACCTTGGAAACCTAAACCAAATGGGCAAACGAGAAACCGTTTAAAAATGGAAAATTTTGAAATGGGGTGGGTGGAAAATGTGAATGGAGGGTACCTGTAGTGAAGGGGTGGAGTATTTGAGAGAAAGGTAAGTGAAAGAAAGGAGAGTGAGGATTGCGAGGATAAGGAGTGAACCTCTTAGAGAGAAGAGAGTGTGCGGTGAGGATTGTTGTTGGGTTTGCTTCACGGACGTCATCAGAATTGGATTCAGAGGTTCTTTGATTTTGATCTGATTTGAAGGGTTAGATTAAAGTGTCGAGAGTAGAAGATGAAGACGAAGATGGAAATGGGTTTGTTTGGTGTGAAGAGGAATGAATCTGTGATGTGAGGCTTAGAACCTTCGTTACTCTCGCCATTTACATAACCCATTTTGCCATTCTTTCTGCATAGCTGGCTCTCTCTGCCTGTCTAGTTTTCTGTATTTACATTTACGCAACCATTAATTATTTACTTACTTTATTAGTTTTTATTAGCCATTCAACTCGTGCAATGCATGGTTAAAAAAATTATTTATCTAAATTTTACATGCTTTATTTTAATTGACGTAGTTATAGTTTTAAAATTATTTAGTACACTCTTCCAATAAAATATTATTTAGTACACTCGTTATCTTTTCAAATTTTAAAACAACATATAAGAAAAAAATATTCGTAATTAAAAATTTAATCTAGAAAAAAAAGTAAATCAAGCTCGTTGTATTATTGTCTCATCAAGTAGTCTAACATGGAGACACTAATTTATTATTCTTTTAAATTTAGAAGCGCATAAAATAATTTTAAGTGTCCATATGTATTAAAGTAATTCTATAACTTCAAATTTTAAAACATAATTAAGATATATATATATATATATATATATATATATATATATATATAACAAGTTATCACACAAGATATTTATAATGCAAAATTCAAATTAAAAATAAAAGCAATATTTAAGACAACATTAAAATTTTAAAAATAAGTTTATGCGAAATGAATTGATTTTGACTCTTATTAACAGTTATGGTAAAATAAAGCGTTGACGAAAATATGTCATTTAAAATGTTAAAGGAATTTCAAGATACGATGGAATTAAAATTATTTAAAGAATATAAACTTTCTTAAGAAATGTTTTTCTTGCAATTACTATTTCACTAGACAGTATTTGTAATTGTTTCATTGCACGATTTGACAGATTAATCAATTTTTAGAAGAAACATAAAACTTCCCTTTTCAAAATCAATTTGAACTAGTATACCTTTTCTTTGTTTTACTATTTAATATTATAAACATTTAAATAAGATATAGATTTATAGTACATAACTTTTTTTTATTAATTTTAGTTATTTAATTTTTATTAAAAAATCAAAAGTAGTACCAACTAGCATATCAAACTTTAAAGCTTTGTTTAGGAATTAATTTTTTAGGACAAAAAATAAGAAAGAAATTCAATAATAATTCATGTTCAAAATTTTTTCAATAGCTTCTTCATCGTTACACATCATAAAATTAAACTCATTTTTTTTTTCTTTTCACGAGAGATTAGGGAACGAACAAATTCGTTAACATTACGATAATTTTAAGGATTGAAACAAGAACTGACCTTTCCATAAAAAAATCAAAGTTTTTCATATTATCCTATAAAGTAGAGTAAATAAAATTAACAAAAGTGACCTAAGATTGTATTGTTTGCTACATCAAAAAAAATCTTTCACTATTTCAATTTCAGCCACTATTCTTCTCCTAACCATTATTCGTTACCTTTTCTTTCCACTTTTCACTTTAAAAGGGTCCTTCTTTGCAAGAACTGAATCATGTTTCAGAACATTAGTGGAGTCATTCTTGATCACTTCATTGGGATATTGCAGGTGAACTTTAATTTAGTGCAGATTTTTACATCAGAGGATTCCCTTTTCAATGCAGATGATAATAGTACAATCTTTTTAAAGCTCTTTTATAATAAATAATAAATATTGTTTTCTCTAAGTTATAAGAAATATAGATTTATTTTTAGATGTATCAATTATTAAATTTTTATATATTTTTTATTATGAGATCTTCTCTCTAATTTTTAAAATATTTTTGGTTCTTATTATAAGAAATAAATGATAAATTTAAAATATATGAATTATTAAATTTTTTTATTAATATCATTAAATATATAAATTATTAATTATATCATTTAATATCATAAATATTTTTTAAATAAAATTTATGTTTATAAAAAATATAACTGATTTAATTATTTCCTTTAGTTTGTTAGTTTAATCTTTTATTTTTTATTAAAAAATTAAAAAGAGTATATATTATAAATTATTTACTTATTTTTTATTTGACTATTTGTATTTTTAAAATTTATAACATATAATTGATTTTAGTTATTTATTTTAAATATGATTAATTTTAACTTTTAGAATTGAGTTTAAATGATTAATAAAGAATAAAATTGATAGTAATACCAACAAACTTAAGAGACTCTAGTAAATGGCTCTCAGATTGAAGTTGTTAAACAGCAAGGCCTTAGATCTGGGGTGTCAGATGTTGCCTTTACTATAATTTTCCACTTGAGAAAATATTAAAATCATACACAATTAAGTAAAAAATATAACAATCAAACCGATAAAAGAATCTGTAAATGTGATTTTATTTTTTATTCTAATATGTTAATTTATATATTCTTTATTAAGTTACAATTAGTTAAAACTACAACGAAGTAGAGTGTAGATTTGTAAATAAAAATGATTTAATTTAAATATTAAATAAATTACATTTTTTTTATACTTATCTGTTAAAAAGTAGACAAAACGAGTCTCTTGGAGATAATGTAAGAAAAAGTGATAAAAATGAAGGTTTACATTCGTTGGACACGTGGCGCAATCATGCTATATCCAAACAATGACATTTTATTTTATTTTTATGGGGGTGATGTAGGGAAGCGAGTTAAAAAGCAGAGAAAATAACAGAAAGAAAAAAATGAGAGATAAAAATGGATGTAATAATAATAATATCATTTTTTAGTATTATATTATTTAATAAATAAATAAATAGTGTACCAAAGTGTCAATAAATGTCAATTCATCTAGGGAAGCTGAATAAAGATATAAGGAAAGAAAAGGCGAAGGTTCAACGGTCGGTTAATTCAAAAACTTATCAACGTTCACGAAATTCAAATTTGAAGAATACCATTCCAATCCCTCACCCCAGTTGGAAACACTCTAATCTCTGAAACTTTCTTTCTGCCACGAACCAGCTCTTTCTCTCACTCTCTCTCCCTCTTAAAATTCCTACTTGATTGCCAAGACCCTATCTTTTTCATGGATCTGATTCAATTGAACGATGTTCAGACATTCCCACAAACCCTAATATCGGAGCATAAAGATTCTATAATGAAAGATGCCAACGAGTCCTTGTTCGATTCGATGCTTTGTGACTCCAGTTCAAGACTGATCCCAACTGGGTTTACGAGATCTGATAACGCAGGTTAGAATACTAAAATTGGGTTTAATGGTTTTCAAGTTTGAGACATTATTGGGGAACAAATGAAAAATAGATAAGAAAAGGTTCCATTTCCCCTTTTTTAAGTTGAAATTTAGTATTTCTACATTTCATTTTCCCAACTACGCTTAAAACGTGCCTCCCATTTGCATTTCAGAGTCATTCTGTTTACTTACATGACTGTTGGCTGGCAATTGTATACTGAGGGGTTAGTTGGGGTTTTAGAACTTTGGATTAGGGTTAAGTAAATTGTAATTGCGCGATTAGTTTGGGAGTATAATGCTAATCTGATTATGCGGGTATTTTAGACGAACATTTTGAACTTTCAGTGAAGTTCACTGAAAAAGCGAAGCAATATGTTATGTTCTAACTTCTAAGACTAAAGAAAGACTTAAGATTTATACTTATTTAGTTGCGTGGACGATAGAGTATTTAATTTTAGTATCATGTGTTTTGAAGCAGACGAGGAGTATTTCATGTTTGTAAACGCGGGAGGAGATGCTTTCAATGAAGCAGCTAATGGAATAACGATCCTGGGCGACACCTTTTTTGATGGTGGCAATGTTTTGCGTACCAATGAGCAAATAGTGGAGGGTGGGGACTTCCCATTTATCTACCAATCGGCTCGTTTGGGAAGCTTTTGTTACAGATTTGATAATCTTCCTCCTGGAGACTATGTTGTTGATCTTCATTTTGTGGAGATCATTAACACAAATGGGCCAAAAGGAATGAGGGTGTTCAATGTATATATCCAAGATGAAAAGGTATGTATTTCCACACAAATTAGATCTCTTTCTATGCATCTCATTTTGACAAATTCATACAAGCAAAAAACTTCAACTCTTTTTTTATTGAAATAATGTGGCAGGTTCTATCTGAATTGGATATATATGCAGTTGTGGGAGCCAATAAGCCACTACAATTGATTGATTCAAGAGTATTTGTGAAGGATGATGGGGTAATTCTCATAAGATTTGAAAGTATTACTGGAAGCCCAGTTGTTAGTGGGATTTGCATTAGGAGAGCAACAAAGGCATCAGGTACTATACCTCTGTTGCTTGATTAATTTCTCAATGGCATAGATGTTAGCAATTGGTGTCTTCTTTCTAATTCTTTTTTAAACAGTTCCACAAGTGACAAGTGATTACATTACATGTAACTACTGTGCTGCGCAGATTGAAATTCCTTCATCACAGGTTAGAGGTGCAACCTAGTTGATAAGTGGCAGTTTGCAGTGTCAAGTGTCATAGACTCACTACGTTTTGCTTTTGCTACTTTTCATTGGAATGTTTCAGATGAAAGTTATGCAGGCAAAATCTATGGCCAAGTACGAGACTAAGATAAAGGAGCTCACAATGCAGTGTGAGCTAAAGGCAAAAGAATGCTATGAAGCATGGATGTCATTAACTGCAACAAATGAGCAACTGGAGGCAGTCCAGATGGAACTTGACAAAGTGACATTCAAGTCACTTACTACTGGTATGTTTTTGCATGGTTTTCCTTCAAGATCATTAAAATTTAAGTCTTCAAGAAACTTAATTTTACTTGTTTATAAGCTTCTTTGACATGTATATGTAGGAATTTAAAGATCTGATTATTTCATTTGCTATGCATGGTGGTTTATGGTCTTAATAAATGTAATCCAGTAAGATGTGCCCTATTTCAAATTTTTTGGTAAGAGTTTTTAAAATATTCCTAATTTTATTGCCATTTCCCATGTCAGATCAAACTGTGGCGAAACAAGCTGAAAGCCTGAGGAATATTTCTAAAAGTTATGAGCTTGATAAGAAGAAATGGACAGAAGCAATTAGCAGTTTACAGGAAAAAGTAAAGGTAAATCTGAGGAAAGAGTTATGTTTAATAATAGTAGTATTTTTTTTTAATATTCTCGGAATTACATTTTAAGAGTATCTGAACTAAATATGTTTTGCAGTTGATGAAGAGTGATTATTCGAAACTCTCCTTTGAAGCACATGAATGTGTTGATTCAATCCCCGGGTTAAATAAGATGGTTTTTGCAGTTGAAGAATTGGGTATGTTTTAGTTATATTATTTTTAACGTCCATTTTTCTTAATGAAGGGTTGCACTTAATTTTGTGTATTTGAAATAGCACAAATCATCTTAAGGGACTAAAAACTCCTTTCTGCAGTTAAGCAGTGTGAAGATCTCAAAGTCAAGTATAACGAAGAGATGATAAAGAGAAAGAAACTCTTCAATGAAGTTCAGGAGGCTAAAGGTATGTTCTCATGTCTTGTTTACTTATTCTACATTGTATATATGGACTTTGTTTTGATCTGAAGAGAATTATTAAAAGTCAAAGACACTAATGCACTACTGTTCTGAATAATAGGGAACATTAGGGTTTTTTGCCGGTGTCGTCCATTGAATAAGCCTGAAATCTCAGCTGGGTGCACTACAGTTGTGGATTTTGATGCTGCAAAGGATGGATGTCTTGGAATTTTGACAAGTGGCTCCACCAAAAAATCGTTCAGATTTGACAGAGTTTATACACCAAAAGATGATCAAGGTATCTAAAGTGTAACCCAATAATTGTTTACTAGAATGTCATTGATCAGGTATCTGTACAAGATTCATACTATTAACACAATTGGAAGTTTTCTAAATGAAAGTGTTTACTTTGTCTTAACAGTTGATGTTTTTGCCGATGCCTCATCAATGGTTATCTCCGTATTGGATGGCTACAATGTTTGCATCTTTGCTTATGGCCAAACAGGAACAGGGAAGACATTCACCATGGAAGGAACAGAGCAGAACAGAGGAGTAAATTACAGGACTCTTGAACACTTGTTTAAAGTTAGTAAGGAAAGGAGTGAAACATTTTCATATGACATATCTGTTAGTGTGCTTGAAGTTTACAATGAACAAATCAGAGACTTATTGGCCACAGGACAAACATCAAAAAGGTGATTTCTGTTATGTTTCTCATTGATTCCAGTCTGGAGATAGTTTGGTATCAATATCACTAGTCTAAGCAGGAAACTGAAGTAGCTGAACTGATTTCTTTTCAAATAAATGGTTATCAGGTTGGAGATAAAACAAGCCTCTGAAGGATTTCATCATGTTCCTGGTGTTGTAGAAGCCAAGGTTGATAACATAAATGAAGTGTGGAATGTACTGCAAGCTGGAAGTAATGCTAGAGCAGTTGGAAGTAATAATGTTAACGAGCATAGTAGTCGATCTCACTGGTATCAAGCTCTTGCTTTTTCTTTCTTTTAATTCTATAGGAAGCTTTCTTGTCTAGAAGAATCTCTGCATCAAGATGAGTTTTTCTTCTTTTCTTTTCTGTACTTTCTAACAATTGCTTATTTCTTTTTCAGCATGCTTTGTATACTGGTAAAGGCTAAAAATTTGATGAATGGAGAGTGCACCAAGAGCAAGCTTTGGCTTGTGGATTTGGCAGGGAGTGAGAGACTTGCAAAGACTGAAGTGCAAGGGGAACGACTTAAGGAAGCACAAAATATCAATCGATCTCTTTCTGCTCTTGGAGATGTGATATCTGCTTTAGCAGCAAAAAGTAGTCACATTCCGTACAGGTATATCAGAGCACCTCTTTACTAGCACCCACCTTAACGTGTAAATATAAGTTTCAATGATGGTATTTCCTTTTTGGAGTTTCAGGAACTCTAAACTGACACATTTGCTTCAAGACTCATTAGGTATGTCTAGTTCTTCAGCTTTCTGTGTGTTTATTGTGAAAATTTGAGGAGTAAGATCCAGTTTCTGCAGGAATAGATAGGTAACATTCCTTTCATATTTTGATTTTTGAAACATTGCAGGAGGTGACTCCAAAACGTTGATGTTTGTACAAATAAGTCCATCAGACCAGGACTCAAGTGAGACTCTGAGCTCACTTAACTTTGCAACTAGAGTGAGGGGTGTTGAGTTAGGTCCTGTTAAGAAGCAAATTGATACAAGTGAACTTCAAAAGACCAAAGCAATGGTAGGCTACTGATCCTTACTAGAACACTTACAAAATTTATTTTCTATTTCACCAAGTTCTATAACTAGTTTTTGTTTTCTTCCTTTTGCAATTTGGCATTAGCTTGAAAAGGCACGGAGTGAGTGCAGAATTAAAGATGAATCTATGCGTAAACTAGAAGAAAATTTGCAAAGCATGGAGAATAAGGCCAAAGGCAAGGATCAAATTTACAGAAATCTACAAGAGAAGATTAAAGAACTTGAGGGACAGATCGAGCTGAAAACTTCCATGCAAAACCAATCAGAGAAACAAATCTCTCAACTCTCTGACAAATTGAAAGGGAAAGAAGAAACTTGCATTACTCTCCAACAAAAGGTTGCTTTCTGTTTGACATTGCTATTTGATTTGTTACTTATTGCACATTTTTTAGTATCACAGGGACTTGGGTCTTATTTTCAACAAAATGTGACGTCAATGTTCATATTGTTGGGTGGGCCACTTGGGTAAACAACGCACTTAGGACATACCAAAAAAAAAAAGTGCTTGTTTGAGTTTATTATTGAATAAACTGGACACTTCCTTAACATACCACAAAAAAAAATTGACTTCCTTTACTTGGTTCCTGGATCACTCATTCATTTCTAACTGGGCACACTTGTCTCTACTGAAGGTGAAAGAGCTAGAGAAAAAGATGAAAGAACAACTGCTGTCAGAGTCCTTAAGTTTTCAACAAAAGGTTTGTCTGTTACTTTGGTAAAACAGCTACCCTCCACTCATCTGTAATTCCTTTTCTTGGCATTAACAAACATACATCATCATACGTTGAATTATATACATTGGAGAAAAGTTTGCAATTCTTTGTTTGACCGATCAATTAGTGTGTGGTCGAAAGAGAAGTTAAATCACTAAATTAGTTCTTCGTGATCAGGTTTGGGATCTAGAAAAGAAGATGAAAGATCAGTTGCAAGGGTCTGAGTCTGAATCTGCCATTCTGAAAGATAAGGTAGCCAATGATTAGAGTTTGTTCGTACAATAAGATATTCAATAACCTCTCTTTTTATGTTCATTGCTTCATATTTTTCAGATCAAGGAGCTTGAGAGGAAACTGATAGAGCAGGAACGCAACTCAGTGTCCTTGCTTCATCAACAGGTACTTCACACTCATCAAATAAGAAATTGATATTTGTTTCTGTTGTGCACTGATGTTCAAAATGCTGTATGATCACAGAAAAAATAGTTTAATATGATCTATTCAAATGTAACTTAGATAGAGTAATATCCTAATTAATATGTGTTTTTAATTATCTTATTCATTCAAATGGAAACCTCTCTGAGTAACTCTTTATACACGAAAGAAGCGTTATCAGTGCTTGATCTTCATTCACATGTTCATCTGTTAAGTTAGTGAATTGTTTTATATCAATTCACATGTTTATGTGCCAATATATGTCATGACAGATGAAGGAACTGGAAGACAGGTACAGAGAGAAAGAGCAACAGTGGCAACAAACTCATTGTTCTGTAGATGCAGTAAAGAACACACCTGTGGTAGGTAAAAGCTGCATGAGTGATGAATGTCCAAGTGAGATTGAGGCTGGAATTTTAAGGAGTTCCAACTCAATAAATCGCCAGATAAGTCAAGGTTCTTCTTTGTTCAAAGGGAATGATTCTACTCATCAAATAAGAAGAAAAAGAGAGTTTAGAAGCAACGAAACAGAAAACCACTTTGTCATGCCATCATCATCTTTACAAGATAGAAAAGTCACAAGGAAATCTGACCCTCCTAAAATAGTGAGGGGTGGGAGGCCAACAAGGCCAATTATTGCTGCTCAAGCTCCGTTGTCTCACAAGAGAGCTAGTACAAGCAGAGATCAGGTTCAAGGAATCAAAGAGAGGGATAGTAAGAAGAAAATTTGGTCAAGATAACTGGTCCAACTCAAAAAGGAGGCTGCTCGCTCCTGTAACAATCGATATTCAATATTGTTTGTGTATTTTTTTAAATATAGAATTCCCCCCCTCCTCTTGTCATGAAAGTTTGAGTTGAAACTAAAATTTTCTGTTTAGAAAATATGATATATGAAATCATTGTTGTCATATTAAAGATGAAAGTATATACATATATATATATAGCAGTTATACTCGGTATGACAAAATGTTTTAAACTAAAACAACTACCTCATGATATCTTAACAGTTATAACATGAGCAAATATATAATGAGTTGGTAGCATTGGCTTTTCTAACTATTCAGAGTTTCTACAGTAAATTACCTGTTTGTCAACACATATAATTCATTCAGACAAATTACACACACTTTTACTGTTTTACACGATTATTCTTAGAATTTAATTTAAACACGTAGTAGTATAAAGATTTTTTTACATTGATAAATCATATTCATAATATACACGTACAAAATTATACTAACAGTAAACTAAAATTAAACTCTTATTTTTACATGTTAGTGCTTTCTTTTTAATTATACATGCCTCTTCTTTTAAGTACAAATTACACATAGTAAAACAACTTTAGATATTCTCTAAACAAATAGGGAGTAAATGGAAGATTGTCTCCAATATAAGATAATCTATGGTTTAAGTTAGAGTAAAATATTTTTAAAATTAATTAAAAATGCTAGTTAATAAATTACAAAAATGCCTTTTTATACATATATTACTTGTCTTCAAACTCATGTCAATTATTATAGATGTGTTCACAAACACAAACAAAATCCTAATTAAATTAGTTTTCGTGTGTAAAACAAATTCATTTAATTTTACAAAACATAATGTTTCAGCGGACCTCATTTTGTTGAAGTAGATCATTTAAATTTAAATAAAAATAAAATCAATAAATATTTTAAAAAGGAAAATATCCAATCATAATAATAATTTTTAAATAAATGTCAAATAATTATATTTTTTAATAAACAAAAATTACATACTTTGTTAATATATTAAGGGTTTTTTTTGGGTGTAATATCAATGTAAAAAAATTTACTTTGCCAATTAATTAGAGTAGTGTATAGAAATATTTTTATATTAAATTTTATTACAAAAATTAACAATTCTTGTTAAATGACAATATATTATTGGGTGACATTATAAAAGAATTTAACATTGTCAATGTTTTTAAATTAAATATATATATATATAAATCTAAATACAGTAAAACAATTACATTAGGTTACAATCCTTTAAATTTAAATTATTTTTATATAAAATTACATATGGTTTTTTAATGAAAGAATTTTAAGTAATAATTATATATTTTATTTATTACATAATTAAAAAAAATTAATTTATTACACAAGTACAAATAGAGCTGTAAAAAATTTGGTCAAGTCCTAACCCTAGCCCTAACCCATGTGGGTTAGTGTCAAAAAGTTCTGCAGGCCAAAAAGTCATCAATTCATAAGCCCATAGGGCTAAAAGCTTACAGAGTCAAGGTTAGGGTCAGGATTTTGTGGGCCAAAAAAATTTATATATTTTTAAAAAATTAAATTTAAAAAAATTTGATATAAATTGTAATAATTATTAGAATATCAAATAAAAATATTTATTTCATATAACTTTTTATTATAAACTTGTAGTTCAATAAAATTACTTAAAAAAATAATTTATATAATAATAAATATTTATAATGATTGTTGTTATTAAATAAAATTAATAAAAATAATTATTATTATATAATTTAAAATTTTTATAATTTTTATTTGTATTATTGACAATTATTAAATAGTTATAACAATTTTTTATGTAATTTTATAAATAAATTTTAAAATTATTTGAGTATTAATTATAAATTTTTTCATATTATAAAAGTCTTATATTATTATTTTTCTTGATTTTTTTTATAAAACTATTAAAAATATTATATATATATATATATATATTCTAAGAATTATATTATATTTATATAAGAACATCTTATATTTAAAAAATAAAGTCACAGTAAACATATAAAATTGACAATAAAAAAATAATACTAACAAAATTTGTTAAATCTACTTAATAAAAGTTAATATATTTTTAAAAAATAAATAAATATTTTTATCGTAAAAATTATAAATATAGAATATTTTACATTATAAAATTTATGAATGTAGAAAAGTAACTTGTATTTCTAAATTTTTATCTTAATAGAAAAATTGTCACGTTTTATTGGCTGGTTGATTCATGGTACAAATACAATTGTATTTCTTGAAAGGAACTCGAATGTGGAGAAGAAAGGCTGATCCAGATGGCTATGTCGCCAATTTTGTGGAAACATAACAAATTATGTAGTTTAGTGGGTATACTTCTTCATTTGTCACAATTATAAGTTTAAATTATGAATTTTGATAAGAATTACATGCATGTACGGTTAAATAGGTTAATAATTTGATGAGAATTAGCTTGTCATCAACTATTTTGCACTGTTATTATGCAATCAAGTATCTATTTATTTTCATGGTTATCCTTAACTAGTAAATAGGTTTTCATCACCTTCAAGCCGTCATTAGTAAAAATATTATTGACATCACTCTGATTGCAAGAAGATGCACTAGAAGAAATGGTATTCGAAACTTTTGAAAATTTCTATTTTTTCCCATAAACACAATTAGCACAAAACCAAAAAATTCTATTGTTTTTAGCTAGACTGCAGTTTAAAGAAAAGATAATGTGACTTTGTACCTCATCCTTCAAAAGAAAAGAAAAGAAAGATTTCGTCCTTTTCTTTCTCTTCATTTCAGACACTTTGGTTGCATTTTTCTTTCGCATTTTCTTTCTCTTCTACAATATTTCACTGATTGAAAACAGAAAAAATTGTAAGTAAAAGAAAACAAATTCAATAAAAAAAATAAATAAAAGATTATCTTAATTAAGTGCTACTCTACGACGTTAAAATTAAAGAAAACATTCTTGCAGTGAGGACACATAAATGTCATCTTTGGTGTTTTATTTTTGAGTGGCTATGTATTGCCTGTTTGTCATCTAAGAAAACCGGATAGTTCACACACGGAATTTTGACTGCCATGACGGCTTGAAGGTGATAAAAACTTATTTACTTTTCAATTTATGAATGTAGAAAAGTAATTTATGTTTCTAAATTTTTATCTTAATAGAAAAATTGTGATAAAACTTAATATAAAATTTTAAAGTAAATACAATGTATATATATAGATATATAATATTTAATTTTATTTTAGTCATTAATTTATTGTTTTAAATTTATAAATATACATAAAATTAATTAACTATAGCATTAATATAATATAAAAAAATAGTATATATACGATAAATTAAAATACATATTTACATATTACATATAAATTAATAAATTAACTAATAATTTAATTTTTTATTTATATGTTGATTTATATAAATATTTACTAACTATTAAATTTCAAGTTTGTATTAACAACTATATTTTTTAATAAAAAAATCTATTTATATATATATATATATATATATAATATTAAATTTAATCATTCAAGATTTTACATATTTTTATTTATATTAAAAATAATCATACCATGTATAAATTTAAGCTATAACAAATCTATAATTATTAAAAATTATTAAAAAAATATTTAAACATATTAAAATTGATTAAATTTATTAAAATAATTATTAAATAATATTTTATAAATTTTTTTTATTATTTAATTATTGTTTAGTTAAAAATATTTAATACTAATTCTTAATTAAAATCATAAATTATTAACATATTATATTAAATTTAATTTATAAAATTAAAAAAATGTAAAAGTTAAATTAAATTTAATTTTATAATATAATTATATTTAATATTATTTTATGATAAATTTTTAATAGATTAAATAAAAAGATTTATTTTTATATTTTAAATATAATTTTAAATTTATTTAAATAAAATAATTTAATAAAAAAATAATATAATAATTATTACTTTGTAAAATAAGTGGGTTAGTCTACTCCTAACTTTAATTCTATCTCACTATTTTTTTTTAATATAAACACATTAATTATAGGGCTTTAAAAAAAAATAGAGCTACAAGATAAGGCTCAGGGCTTTGATCTATTTTTACAGCTTTAGGTACATACACTAATTAATTTACAATATGTATAATATCATAAATCCGAAACCTGTACAATTCTTTTAAAAGGATCAAATATAATTTTTTTTTAAATGCACGACCTATTTGATTTTTGGCCGAATTAACCTGATCATGTTATTAATTATCAATAAAAGCTAACCAAATTGATGCAGATTACATTCTAACTAAAATAGTTAGTGGCAGATCTTAGAAGAATACAAATAATATATTCTCTAGCATTTTTAATTAAAATTTATCAAAAATAAAAAAAAAAGTATAAGAGAAAAAATTAATTTAAGAGGATAAAAAATGAGATGTTCATGATTAATAACATGCAATAGATGTTTATATATATATATATATATATATATATATAGAAATAGTTGGTGCGTGAATGAGTAAATTATTATAGAAATAGTTGCAAATGCTAAGCCTTGAGAGAGAAGTTTCTCACACAAGGCAGACATCTCATCAACTTCCCTCCCACATTTGTTTGCAAAGAAGATATGTTATTCTCACACAATTTTTTTTACAGTAAAATTTTATAAAAATAATAATATTTTATTTTATCACATCAATCATTTAGTAATTATTATTATTTATCTTTCTTCTTATTCCTCTCATTTGTGTAAGAAAACGTAACAATTTTATCATAAGAATAATGTTTCTCTTGGTATAGATGAAATAGCATGAGAAACCCAAACTTTTGTGCTTTTGTGTATCTGTTCAAATTACAATACTTATATTTTTATATTTACTATTATCACATCATTTATTATATCTTTTATTTTCTCTTTGTTTTTTTTGGATTTTTCTTTTTTTTTATAGGCAAAACAAATCTTATTAAAAAGAGTTCAAGGGGAACTCAAAACCCATATACACAAAAAATTACTTACTCAGAGAAATAAAAAGCAAAAATATACTTATGCAGAATTAAGACAGATGCAATTTTGTGGGTTCAAATACCAATCAGCTAACATAATAACTTCTCCCTTACTAACAAGTGAAAATCATTTCCAGGATCTCAGAACAATAGAATCTAGGACTTCCCTCTCATCCAAAACACCATTGAAAAATATAATTCTATTTCTATGCAACCACAAAGACCACACTATACTTACCCAGATAATTAATAAGCATATTCCTTCTCTTTTACTACAGCCAACATCAACTCAAGAAAGCAAGTGAGTCGATAAATCTGAAGGCAAAACCAGTGAAAATCTAAGTCAACGTGCAGTAAAGTACCAGATTTGAGATGAAACTGAACACGTTAAAAATAAATGAGTTGGAAGTTCCTCCAAACCATGACAGAAACAACAAGTTATATCATCAATTTGAACACCACAATCAATCAGTAAACCTTTACAAGGAAGTGCATTCAACAACTAACACTTTTGGATCTTTCTTTCTTCACCCATTCTACACTCCTCTCATTTTAAGAGTGTAAACGAATCATTTTCTTTCAAACTAACACTTCAAAATAATTTTTTAACTACTGTAATTTCACACTCACTTTTTCTTATAATTATTCCCATCAAATCTTTCTTTTCTTTTTATCTATTTCTTCCTTTTCTATTACATTTATTAGCTTTTTTCCCCTACTTTTTTCTTCTGACAGTCCATTTTACACTCATTTAATGAGTGTCAAAGAATTATTTTCCGTAATTTATAGAAAAAAAATAAAGGACGTATACAATCTAGCTTATAGTATATGTCAAGTGTTGAGCCTAAAATATTCTCCTCAAAATCCTTGTCTTGTTGTCTATATCTGTCCTTATCGCCGTCACCACCCTAAAACCGAGAATATTTCGTCTCCATAACCATTTTTGTTTTCTTCTGCTCTTTTGGCCACTGGTTTTGAGTTGAAAGGATTCAAACCCAACAGCCTTCACCAGCCACCTTCATCATTTCACTTCTTGTCCTTTTGTTGATGTGCTTCTTCTCATTTTCTCAATTTCCCTCCTTTTTTTGTTTTTCTCATTCTCGATTTTTTTTTTCAAACTTTTCTGCCATATAATGTAGTAGGTGTCTTACATGCTAAAACATATTAAACCTGACTCAAACTCTTTGATATCTTGGAAGCGATTACTTTATGTGATTTGGATTGTACCCGGCAATTGCTCGTTGATTTTAGTTTTGAAAAAAGAAATTAATAAAAGTATACAAAAAACAATCTATATTTTAAAAAATTATATTTTCTATAGTTGCAATTATAAAAAAATTATTGTAAAGATCAGTTATAATTATAACTTTTTTTCTTTCTTAATGTACTCATGATAGCTTCTGAAAGCAATTAGAAGCTTATTATAAAAATAAATTTTCATAAAAAAAATTAAACTCTCTCTCTCTCTCTCTCTCTATATATATATATATATATATATATATTTTCTTGTAAACCTTTCTCTTTGAGATTATTTTATAAAAGATTGTTATTCCAAGTTTATTTTTTTTCTCTTCTCCCTCTTAGCCAATTTTGTTATTTATATTTTTTAAGTAGATCCACCCAATCTACTTCATGGATTAAATCATTTATGTTCAGCGTAGCCTCTAAATACAAAAAGTTAAAAAAGAATATTGAAAAAGATAAAAGCTTGACCCTAGCTAGGTTGCTACAAAAGAAAATAGAATAAAACCTAAAATTAGCTACCAAAACTATTAGACATGGGTCAAGAGACATCGCACAATCTTGTAAATATGTACGTGATGCTCTTGAGAAACCGTTGAAATTAATAGTTAAAATGGTGAACTTTATTTGAAAACTAAAAATCCATAAAATATTATCAAATGATCTAGAAATTTCTAGGTCTATTGTATATGTGGCATCTTTCTTTATGTTTCTGGTCTTACATATGATTGCATGAGTTGGTTTAGTGGGGGAAACTATCAAGTGATGAAAGATGGTAGGGCCAGGCATTTCGGTGTAGGATAAGGAAAGGAATGATGAGAAGTAGAGAATAGTTTTGTGTTATATATTTATTTATTTTCTTCATATATGTCATGAGCTTCTTGCGCTTGTAAAATGACGGTTTGCTACACACAGTAGTCCAAAAAGGAGTGTCTCTCTCCAACTCTTTCACGTTACTCACGCAGCTTCATGTTCTTCATTTCCCATGTCATCCCTACTCTTCCTTTTCCGATTCTCTCCTTCTCATGCCGTGACTCATGATCCATAGAACCCACATATATAGAAACACATATTTACTAGAAAGGAAACATATTCTTTACATGGACAAAAATGACTGAGTACTTCCTACGTTCATGCAAATAATATAATATTTTATTTGAAATTAAAAGAGAGCCTTGTATATGAAAAGGTGCGTTATATTTGTACGAACAGAAGAAAGAAAAGACGAAGGAAAAGTTGCGTAATCATATATATATATATTTGAAGAATAGAAAAGTGCCTAAAAGCTAATATAGTTTTGTGGGGGCAAAGGGTTTGCAACCAAAGTGGCGTTTTCTTTTTTTATTAAGAGCCAAAGGAATGTTGCTATTAACATGTATACTTATTATAAGAATTAAAGGCCTTTAATATGACACACCTTGCACATTTCACTAAATAAGTTTTACATAACTGGGTAGATAGTGCACTTTGCATGGACGCATATTTCTTTAGTTATGATTTGAGGGATAAAGATAAGTAAGCACATATATATATAATGCTAATCTTTTCAGCATTTGTGGGGTCTATGTATTTTCGCGCAAACAGTGAAAGTGAGGAATAAAGATGACAAACAAGCAAGGAAAGCAATGCATTCTGCTTTGCTTTCTCTCTCTTCTCTCTGTACATGATACAGTATGGCAATGAGAGTTGATGCTCAGTGGAAAATAGCACGGATGAAAGGGCTCACTCTCCAACACTCTATAAAGCTAAACATAACTTTTTTTTATACACCAAAAAACCGAACCCTAAGCTTTAGATCCCATATTTTTATGTCTCTTATTCAAACGTTGACAGTGTTTCATTCAATTCACTTTCAAACCACCACTTTTTCAGACACCACCAAATCACACCACACTGCAACAATAATTACGAATAGTCTTAGCAGCATACTAGAGAGAGAGAAGAGGGCTATAGGGCTCGATACTGCAGGGCTAACAAGAGGCCAAGCAGCGAAAGCTACGCCCAGCCACTGCTTGTTTTGTGTAACGTTGATCAGTAGCTGAAGAGCCTGAGACTCAGTTCTCTGATAGACACAGAGAGGGACACGCTGAGGCACTGATGTAGTTTAAGTTTTGGAGATCAACTGAACATAAAACAAATCAAAGATATGCCATTCAACTCTTCCCCATTTTAAATCACAACACAACAGGCCAAAAAAATTCCATCACTGATCCCAATGATATCTTGAGGGAAACGGTAACATTATGGCTAGTGAGGCTTTAAGAACGCCATACTTAGAGAGTAGAGGGTTAGAAGAAGCTCTCCAATTCATCAAAATTATTAATTAAAATTAAACCGATTTAATTTAAAACAATCATGAACAATTCTAAAGCTGGCCTTTGATCTACATTTGATATAGGGAGTGCTAGCAAGGGTGGTTTGAAATTAAATCACCATTTTTCTTTGTGCTTTCAAATTCAAATTAACACATTACCAAAGCAACTAACAACCAAAGGAGAATTAATGTAGATATTTAAAAGAAAAAAGGTTGAGTGATGTGTTATTTTTCAATTGAAAAGAGAGGAAGGTAAAAAAAAAGGGGTGAATTCAATATGCAATAATAAGCTGAAGAAATGGAGGGCACAGCGTACCATCTAATATTAACAAAGAAATAAGAATATAGACAAATGATGAACATCTAGCTGAAATTGAAGGGTGTATGAACACATTATGATCTTAATTTTACCATCTGTTACATATATGTTCCTTTTGATGCCAAGGTAAAGAACAAGAGTGACATAACTAACATATATCTAAAGGAGTTTTAACACATTTAATTATCAGAGTTGGCCTATAAATTTCTTCCAAAAGTTATAAGAAAAGCTCTACCACTCTACCTCTTAGTCTTTTTCATCCTTCCTCTTGGCTTCACACCTAGCTAGGGCAAAGCACTATATTGCTGCTGCACATCACCCCAAGCATGGACACCACTACTCCAATTGCTTGCATTATCATTCGCAGGGCCACCACTAGTGGTTGTTGGTGTAGGAGCCACTGAGGCATAAGAGTTTCCAAAGAACCACTCGGTAGATGGTGTGTCCCCACTTGGCCCTTGTTCTTTTCTGGAACTCCCAACGGGGAAACTCCCTGGCTTTGAGATCTCAAGATTCTGAAACAAAATGGGTTGAGGCTTCTGGGTCTGGTTCTCAAGCTGGTTAACCGTTGACACCACCCCACTATCTTTCTGGCTATGATCTCCACCAAACAGCATCGCCAATCGCTGCTGCTGCAACTTCCAGTGCAAGTCCTGATTTATAGAACTCAATGACTCAATGGAAGAAGCAAGGGTAGTGTGAACGTTCATGGAGCTCATGCCTTGGATTGCACCATTGTAAGAAAGTGGGTAATTCATTGCAGCCAAGGGATTTGAGGCAGCAGAAGAAGGATCGAGGTTGAAAGGTGAAGAAGCACTAGAAGTGTCTCCAAAAGAGGAGAACTGGTTATAGATGGAAGTGTTTGGAGGATGATGATTCAGCCTAGGGAAGGGTAACCCTCCAAGGTGAAAGTCCATAGAAGGAGAAAGACCATGAAGGAACTTGAGGCCACCAAGGTCGGAAGAGGATGCAGAGTCTTTGGAGTCACATGAGAGCCTTGATGACTTTACCTTCTTGTTCTTCCTGCACCCCCCACCTATAGGCACGTTTCGCAAAGCTCCACCTTTTGTCCAGTATCTTCTACACGTCTTGCAGAAATGCCTTGGCTGTGTGAGACTATAGTTGTTGTAGTAGCAGAATTTGGTGTTGGGTGAGTCACATCTTGGGCACTTGAGGCCTTGCTCTTGGGGTTTCGTGGAGGAGTTTTTCCGGCCACCGGATCCTTGGTTGTCATTGTCTTTTGTTGTTGTAGTTGTGGCCTTTGGAGGTGGGGTTTCATCGGGTGTCATGGTTGAGAGAGAAAAAGTGAGGAGGGAGAGGGAAAAGGGTGGGAGAAAATTAAGGAGCTTTTGGCCTTAAGGGGGGGAAAAGCAAAGCAAGCTGGCTTCAGTTATTTTCTTTTCAGTTTCCTTTTGCAGAGGCAAAGAAACTCACCAATTGAATGATTTCATGCATGGATTGAGGAAGAGAAGTGGAAGGAAGAGAGGATCTTGTTGTGTCTTTGATAAGCACCTGTGATCCTCATCAAAGACGGTGATTGGGAATTAGTAAAATGATATGTGAGGTTGGGTAACTAGTCTTTTTCAGATATAATGGAATAAAGAAAGCTGTGTCTAATCTATATTCATAATTGTATGGAAGAGAGACAGAGAGGGGGGCACAGATGTCACTAGATTAAACAGTCCGTAATATATATACTAGAGAGAGAGAATGGGGGAGGAGAGAGAGAGATGATCCAAAACAGTTGTGTCAGTATGAGTGATCCACTACTACAACTAAACTATTAGACAGAGAACAAGTCCTTTAATACGGTTATTAATCAATTATGGGAAACGTGTGTTGGGGTATGATGAATCATGAATGACAATTGGTAATCAAGTTTCATCATGTTTTGCAGATTAATGAGCAAATACTAGCGCTAGCATAATTATTCTGTATTGCGTAATAAGAAAACATAACTTTCCCTTCTCAGCTGGGACATGTTTAACAAACTTTTTCGTCATACATGCAGGTCTTTTCTTTCTCTTTTAAGTTATATATACGTGGATTTTGACACTTGTGTTTGTCTATTATTGTAAAATTCTTAGCCACACACATTTTAAGTGGACCAATATTATGTTGACTTTAGTCTTGAAAATTAAATGTTCTTGCAACTGATTTCGTAACTAGCACGTATAAATGTACCAAAAAAGCACTCAAGACAGTGCTCCCAATCCAAGGAGAGTACCTCAATAATTTCTATAGGAACAAGTTTGAGGTATATATTTCTGAAAACAATTTTCTAAGTAGTGTTCAAGCTTGAAACCATCCATTAAGCACCCTCAGTGCTACAACTGGTTTCTTTCATTACACATCAGGTAAGAGATAAAAATTAATAATGGAGGCAATGTTCAACACATAAAATGAGCCAAGTGAAGAATGAAAAAAGAAAAGGGTTTCATAATTAAAATGGTACATGGCCTACAGGGTAATATGAGAATAGGAATATAAGCTACAATTGGAACCAGCTAGAACAACAAATGATAGGGGGTGCAGTAGGAGTAGAGAGGATGGTACGTAGTAGGAGGGAGAGAAGAGCTGAGTCAGTAAAGGGGAACATAACAACAGCAGTACAACAGCACTGGGTGCTCCTCTGTACACTGCCAACACCTTGTCTATTTCCTTCTTTGAAACGTCCCTTTTGAACCAAAGATTAACTGCACCTCTCTTACTTTTCTATCAAGAGTCCCCTAATGAAAGTTCACACGTGTAACAATTTTCTAGCTATCACTCTAATCTACCTTATCTAATTAACATCATTAGCTTTAGTTAATTGCACTGAACTAGTGGTCTATTTTGGCCCGCAAAACACTGCTCCATTATGAATGATATATGTGCATCTGGCCCGCCCCTACCACACCCCTTTTATGCCACTTAATTGAACTGCAGATTGAGTAAAAGTAGTACATGCCCTTGAAAAGTCTTGTTCAGTTACAAGTGGAAAGTTGATTAATTTATTGAACTCATAGATTATGTTTTTTTAGTTTTTTTTATTATAAAGTAGAATATCATACAAGTACCAACAGAATGGACTATACACTAGCACAGACTCCTTAATTTCTTTTGCTCCACAACTACTAAAAAAGAAAGAAAGAAAAAGAACTTGTTTCAATTCAATCCAGTCTGCTTGACGTCTATTTCTATATTTGAGTCTGACATATAGAAGGAAGTACAATTGTGAAAATCCTTAGAACTGCAAAGATACCCAATCTATAACAGGACTTTAACGGTCGTGATCAACCATTTACCTGTTTGTCTTGTTGTAGCTTAGTTGATAGAATGGAATACCTTTCTGGGAACCAGGAGATCTAAAGCATAACGTGCATTTGAAAAAAGAGATTTACTTTGAGATTACTGTGCAGAACAAGTGAGGACAACTCTCTCATTGCCCGCTACTCCCACAAGACAAATACCCTTTTACAATTGAATTATTCAGTAAACAAAAATAGTAGTTAAAGTTTGAAACACATTTATTATCAGAGTCTTATTATTAATTTCTAACAATAGCATGTATAGTTTTGTGTCTTTACAAACGTTTATTTCAATGTTACTGGTTTTAATTTTGTGTTAGATTTATGTTTGCAATTTTTTCAATGTATTTTCTAACACACGGCAAATATAGAAACAAGAACAATCATTTGTCATTCTAGTGTTGTAACAAATGTTTTAAGTTCACAGCAAGGTAGAGAAGGGAGTTAGATATGGAACCACCGACCAAAGCTTGTGTTGTATGGTTGTGAAGAAACGTGCACGCCTTAGGATTACTATTAATGGTTCTATGCACGCTGAAAAACAACCGAGAGAGAGAGGAACACGTGAGAGGGGTGGCTGGATTCCCGTGAGAACGAACCAAAAACCATACATTAACATAAGAACAAGGTTTCCTTCAACGTTACATCTCACGAGCTATACTCTCTTATCTATAGCTGCCAATAAGAATGAATAATTAATTTCTAAAAAATCAATTAAATTTAGTTATATATCTTAAATTTGTACTATATTTTAAAAACATTCATAATATTTAAAAACAATTATTAATATATATATTAAATAAATGAATATACTTATAGATAATTGATGTGTATCTCATTAATATAAATTTTATAATAAATAAAATATAAAAAACTATCAATTAATGCATTTGAAAATGACTCTTTGCTTTTATAATTAGAATAAAAAAATATTAGTAATTATTTTTATAATCAGAAACAGAGATAATATTAGAATTATTATAATAGTTAATTATCAAAAACTATAATTAATAAATAAGGGTATTATTAAAAAATAATTCCTACTTGCTTAAGAGACATGTTAATTATCTGCTTAATTAATAAATTTATGATATAATGTAATATCAGCACAAATTAGCAGTTGGATTGAAATTTGGGTGAAGTATAATCAAAAGAGTACGGTGCATGAATGCTTTAGGAAAAATAAGTATGATTTAATTTATGAATTGAGTGGAGTTTAGTGAATAAGACCTACCATTACCCTTTTCTAACTATCCGTTCATTTGATCCGGTCCACATTTACAGAGACTAAACTTTTCCATTCTCGCCAGTATGTTTGTAATTTTTAAAAGAGACTTTTTCAACAAGGAGATTATAATAATTTTATAAAAATAAAATAAAATTCACATTACAAATGAAAAGTAATACCTTCTTAAAAAAATAAAAAAGAAAAACTCTATCATAGAGTTACTTTTTTCCTCTTTCTTTCTTTATCTTACTGTTTATTCACTATCCGAAACTTATAGGATATTTGGGCAGCATGCTCTAGAAAATTATTTTTTTTCTTATGAAAATAAATAAAAATTTTGGAAACGTAGTGATTTAGGAGATAATTTTTTTAGGTTTTTTTGAAAAATTGACAGAAAATAATTATTGCTTTAAAATAAATTGAGTAAAAATGCACTAACACTTTTTTTTTATGGAGGGTTTTGAAAAGAAAAATAAAAATAAAAACACTATTGTTTAATGTGTATCGGTTTTTGTGTTAAAAATATCGCAATCGTTTATTTTGAATTAAAAATCTACTCTCAAAGTAAAATGCACTGAGTTAAACAAGTTTTTGTATATGTGCTATGGATTTAATTGAAATGTATTGATAATATAAAATTTATTTATCATTTATTATAAATTATCATGTATCAATAAAAATTATTTAATTTTATAATAATTAATTTTAAAAAATATTTACTATATATTTTAATTAATTAATAATATTTTTATATTATACTACATAAAAATAAAACTCATAATTTTTACTTAATGGAAAGAGAAAATAGTAAATTGAAATGCTGGAAATGTGATTTGGCTGGAATAGCATAATCCCACAATCTACTGATTATCAAAGAGATTGATATAAGTATATGACAGCAAAAAATGAAGTTTTTCAAAGTAAGGTCATATTTGGAATTAAAAAATTAATCTTTTTTAATGGAAAAGTGACTTAATATAACATACGAATGATAGTATGCCTGTGCGTGTGAGATTTTTTTATCATGCATTATGTGTTACTAATTGCTTACTAAAATATTATTATTATTATACAATATATATTTTTATATTACTATTTTTTATAATTAATAAAGATATGTCATCTTATTGATTTGTATATTATTAAAATATATGTACAAATATTTACACGAAAGTAATAAATTACATATAATAAAATGTTTTTTTTTAATTTTATATTATTTTTATCATTCCATAATATAAAAAGTTTTAGATTTATGATACATATACTTGTCCAATATGTGTCACTACTTACTTATTAAAAGAAGTTATATTTGACAAAAATAACAAATAAGCTAAATAGCTAAAGTTGGGGTTCAGGTTTTTAACTAAAAATTATTAAGTCAATTTATTCAATTAAAAATATTTAACCAAAGTAATTGTTAAATTAACTCATAAATATAAAATAACATAAAAACAATGTTTGTATTTTTAAAATAAAATATTAATTTATAGAGAAACATGTTTTTAATTAAGTAATTATAATTAAAATTTATTTTAAATAATTTTGAATGCATATTATTTTGTGCTTAAAGATCAAATGTTAAATTAAAATAAATAAATAGTATATTCAATTGATAATTAAAATAAAAATAACAAAAAAAAATTTAATCGCAATAAATAATGTAATATTAAAGGAGGTGTTAAATGATCAATTTTATTAAGCTATTGAGGGTAAAAATAAAAAAATAATTATGTGTTATAAGTTAATAAGATAAGTAATTTTATTAAATATCTTTATTTTAGTTAAATAAATTTATAAATTAGTTTAAATTATAACTTAGCTAAAATAACTTGTCAAATACATCGTAGTATGTTCAGATCATATTGTAAAATGAATCTTCACTTTATTATTATCGGAAAGTGGAGTGATAAGCATGTTGAGTCGCCCTTCGCCTCACCCCAGTTTGAAGAAGTTTAGGTTGAAAAATGATTATTTTATTTTTCTATACATAATGACAAAAACATTTCTATCAAATTAAGAAGCAACATTATTTAATGTTGTTGAATACCACGATATCAGAATTTA